AAAGCAAAGAAGTTTACAAAACCAATAGCACTTTTCACGGAAGATGCTCTTTTGAAGATTCGTTCGATGAAACCTGCTGGGGCTCCTCAGATTGGCATAACGACAGCTTCCATCGAGCAATTTTGGCAGCAGGTCAGTAAGTTGTTCTTGAACTGACTTCTCTCCGTCAAATATTGACAGTACGCCAGTTTTGACATAAATATTGTAAGATAAACTTTCCTTTAGTAATATCTGTAAGTTTTGAAGTTATTATTTTTGTCTGCTTCAAGAACTTTCACCATTTCAGTTATACCAACTTTTCTTTGCTTTATGAAAATATTTAGTTCAGCAAAGACTGCTATTCTATAACATTTTCCATTGTTTGTATAAAGAACTATTCTGTCAATGTATTTGTATTGTTTGTGTGTGTAAACTTTGTTCTGCTTCAATTCAATAAGATATCCGAATACGTCCATCTTTTATTCTAAGTAAAATGTCATTTCCGAAAAATAGAAGCGATAAGTGTTTCAAAAGGTTTAATGGCGGTGGCAGATGTGAAGTTAAATTCACCAACTCAAACAAACAGTCAAAGTGTTATTGTCAATGTCAAAGACAGAGATGTTGAAGTGGGGAAACCATACGAAGACGAAGATGGTATAACAATTGTTCTGTAAAAGAACAACCAACATATCCTGAAGTTAGCAGAGACTTAAGTTCTGTTGCAGATATTCGAAACGACTACCAACAACTGAAAGACAAACTTCAAACTCAGGAGAAGATTTGTCAAGCTTTAAGTATAATGTTAAACTTGGTCGAACACAACCCTGTAAAAGTGAACTCATATGTCATTGCACCTCATGAAGTTTTGAAAGAACTATTGAAACTTTTGACAGAGGCAGACGATATAAACATCAAAGAAATAGAACCCGACATTAGTTGCTGTGGTGTTTCATATAATGCCATTGACAAGATATACGTTATGAAGGATGTGAAACGTTGAACTTAAAATATAGTTTCCCAGACGTTATAAAAATATTTGACGACCACAACATTTCATTAAAATTTATTTGCTAAGTAAATGGCAGAAGACATAATGGTTTATACTATTACGACTAAAAACCCTGAGTCATATAATTCTATAACAACAAACTTACAAAGTCCTCAAGGACGATATTGTAAACTAACCTTAAACACAATGACGACTAAAGCCTGTTTTGCTCTTTTGACACCAGAAGACTTTATTGTTGTGAATGGTAAAAATACTCCTTTGAAGATACTTACTCAGATATACCACACAACAGGTTTTGTTGACTTATTTAATACTTTAAGTACGGGTGTAACATGTGCTGCAACTAGAGCAGGTTTCATTATGTTTGGATGTCCGACTGAGTTTATATAAACGATATGAGCTATAATACAAAACTTATTTCTGGTTTTTACTACCAACAGTTTCCTATAACAGGAAAAGGTGTCATACAAGGAATGTCTATTCCATTGACATTAAGCACACCAATCTTATATATTGTTTCAAACTTAGGTTCAAAGTGTTATTCGAATGTCGACAGAAACTATTATGACCAAAAGATACTTATGCGTATAAACAATACTTTCTCTGCTGGTTTGCCTATTGTTCATTCGAATGCAGAATTTTCAACCTTAGTGAACTCAAACACTTTGGCAAGTATAACGTTGACATTAGTTGACGCAAACTTTGTTCCTGTAAAACTTTTATGTCCTATGTATTTGTCAATGACGGCAGAAAGTTTCGAATTGGAAGATGCAACTGGTGAAAGTATTGTATTACAAGAACAACTTCAACAACAAATAGCTCAAGAACAACAAATGCAACAAATGGAACAACAAAGTCAAGAATAAAAAAATAATATTTTTTTATTTTTATAAAAATGTACAGAATAGATGTTTCAGATTTTTATGACTTCCAAGCATTCAGAAATATGTGTCCATTTAGAGACTATAACAAAGCAGTCGAGAATTTGAAAACGTTTAGTCATTTATGTTGACTCTGCCCCAGAATGTTATGTTCATGAAAGAATGGGATGTTCTTTAACAAACCAAGAGCAACAATAGTGTCTGAACAAGAATGTAGACAGAAACTTAAGAAAATAAAAGTCGTACAAGTTGGCAATGAAGATGTTAGATGCTTGGGATATCTTATTGTCAAAGTTAGAAGATTTTTCAGTTCGAGGTATAAAGTTCTATACACCTTCTCCAAACTTCTATTCTATCTTCACTGGATATAAATACGAACAAGTAGAATGGAAAGAAAATATTATAGAAGCTTGGTTAGACCATGTCAAAGAAATTATATGCAATGGAAACGAAAAGGTTTATGAGTATATCTTATGTTGGTTTGCAAAACATCTTACAACATCCAAGTGCTAAAAATGAAACTGCTCTCATTATAATTGGAAAACAAGGAACTGGTAAGAATACTTTCTTTACAGATATTTTGTGCAAACTGTTAGAAGGTTATTCGAATCCGAATATGACAAACTTAGAAAACATCTGTGGCAAGTTTAACTCCTCAATAGAGAATATGAAACTTATAGTTTGCAATGAACTTCAAAGTATAGATACAACAAAAGTTTTGAACTCAGATGCTTTGAAGAGTCTTATAACAGACAAAGTTGGAGTTGTTGAAAGAAAGTATAAAGACCAAAGAGTTTGTGAAAATGTTGCAAACTTCATTATGGTTTCAAACAATGTTGTTCCGATGAAGTTAGAAAGTTCTGACAGAAGATATGTAGTTGTCAGAACGTCAGATTCTCATATGCAAGATACAGAATATTTTGACGACTTAGCAGAAACTTTGACATCTGACTTTTACAACCACTTGTTCTCATATTTCATGACATTAGATATTTCTAAGTTCAATCCAAGACAAATTCCACATACAGAAGAGAGACAAACATTGTTAGAAGCAAACAAGAGTGTATATGAACTGTTCATAGATGAAACTGACTTTGTGTCATTAGATGAAAGGTCATTGTACGATTCGTATAAACAATATTGTCAAGAATATGGTTATATGGCAGCTTCTAAACGAACATTCTTGGCAAATGTCAAAAGTCTTTTAGATGTTCAGAATGGTGTATATACAAAGAAAATTTTTTCTGAGTAAATTTAAAAAAAAATTTTTTTTATCCGATAGAAAAGATGACGAAATTCATCTCAGTAAATAAGTACATGACAGAAGTCAAAGATAAGTTAGCTCCATTCGCATATTTGAATGTTTACTTCTATAATTTTGAAAAGTCTACATTTGACAAAATTTGGAACATTGCACCAGTTAAGTTTGCTGTTGTTAGAAAAAGTGGTGCAACTTTTGAAGACTTATACATTGACGGTATGTTGACAGTCAAAGAAAATTTTGACAGAAAGTTCTCAAAACTCGAAGAAGGCAAAGCATACAAACTTGTTATACCTTATGAACCAAAGAAGACAGACGACTATGAATATTATGAGTCTAAGATAGTTGAAGTTCAAGGTAAATTGGGTAAAAAGATTTTAGAGTCTAAGCCAGTGTTTACTCCTAAAGAGGAAGAGAACATTGACATTGACCCAGAAATGTTCTAAAAATAAAATTTTATTTTTACATGTCGAATTTCTTTTTCTCTGGAACTGGTTCAGGTTCTTTCTTCTCTTCTTCTACTTTTTTCTCTTTCTTTTCTCTCTTCTTCTTTTCTGGTGGAGTTATGTCAAACTTCTCAGAACCATATTTTTGTAAAAGGTCTTTGTCCTTTAATAGCTCATCTATTCTGTTTTCTATTTCATCTTCAAGAACAGCGCATGTGTCTTCTTTGCATTCTAAGAACTTTTGTTGGACTTCATCTTTCCAATCGGCGTTATCTCTGTCAACAAGTCTGTCATTGACAAATTTTAAGACTGCTCTTTGTAATGTTTTATGGTTCTTGTCATATTCCCAGAAACAGAACTTTAGAACAAATTCACCTTTCTTGTTTACACTATGTAAGATTTTATGGTCGACAGATGTTTTGCTGTCGAAAAGCTTGTCTCGAATATAGATAGCGAAATCGCTAGACATTTTCTAAAAGATAAAAATTTTAATTTTTCTAAAAATATGTTAGAAAAAAGTTTGCTGACATTGACAAGAAATTTGAGAATGTTTTAAATAAGAACAAGGTGAAGTTAGAAAATGCTCAGATAAAGCCTATACATGACAAGTTCTTATTTGCTCAGAATGGTATAACAGGTCTAATTGCACCACCTGGGTCGGGTAAGACTTTCACTTATCTTAAAATGGCGGCACAACAACAAGAACTAGATGAGAAGAACCCATTCTATGAGTTAGTTGTTATTTGTTCGACTTCTGGTCAATTTGACCAAACCGTCAATTCGTTCAAAGATATTATAAAGAAGTCTAAGTTAGTATGTATAAAGGATACTGAGTTGTTAGATTGGATAAAGAAGTACCAAAGAAGAGTTTTGAAGTATAATGCTATAAATGAGTATATAAATTCTAAGTTTAAAGACCCAAATGAGGAAATGCAGAGAATATTAGAGAAGAAACACTTCAGAAACAAACAGAAAGAGATAGAATACATTTCGAAGAAATTGCAATCTTACGATTGGAAGACATACCCTCATAGATGTCTTCTTATCTTAGATGACTTTGCTTCTCATCCTTTGTTAAAGAACAGAGAACAAGATATGTGTCGAATTCTTAAGAAGCTCAGACACTTTAACATCTCAGTTGTCATTTGTGTACAGACAGCAAAGAGTTTAAGTAAGGATGTTAAAAGAATACTTACTGACATAATACTTTTCCCCGGATTGTCCGAAGACGATTTCATGGAACTTATGAAAGAGTCCATGGCAGGTAAGTTTGACAGACATGAACTATGGGAGAAGTACAAAGTCATACAAGACCCTCATACTTCTTTCAGAATTCATATCTACGCAAACAAAGTTCAAATTGTAAAAAGTCAAGCTTGAAAAATAAATGGTTCATCTACCCTACTTGTTTGAAGTTGTCAAAATTCTCTGTTATTTTTTCTTTCAGTAGCGGTAAGTCTTCTTTGAAGGTAAAAATTGTACAACCTTTCATATCATAGTGTGTTTGAGGTAACGTATCTTGAACTATTTGTTTCACATCTTCATTTGGGGTCATTGAAATCGGTAAGTTTTCGCGATAGAACCAATTTCTGTCAGATTTGTAAATCTTAGCAAGGTCGTAAAAGCTTTTGTTGTTTCTTCTGACTAAATGCAACATAACCATATCTTTATCTTCTTCATTTTCCATCTCTTCAGTATAAATCATATACTTATAGTTCTTTTCCTTACCTTTTGGTACCGAACGTGGTATTCTTTTCTGAATGCTTTTGTCTTTTGCTTCAATGACTTCATCTTTTGCATGAAGTTTCTTTTCCATCTCTTCACGTTCTTGTCTATGAATTTCGTCAAGAAGTCTGTAAATATACCAAGCATAACGAGGCGAAGCCCACATTGCAACAGCATTTACAAGAAGTCTATGTACATAATATCCTCTCAAACCGTTTGGCAATTTTTCACGATTTTCATAGAGTTTTGGCGACTGGGGTTTTTCTCCCACTCGAATTTTCAGCTTCATTTAATAGTTCAATAGTGCTTTGGTTCCTAAACCAGTCTTGTGGTTTCTTATTGTCGGGTGCAAAACATGCTGTCAAAATACTTTGCATTTGGTACATATCGTCTTTGACTGAACGAATGAGACGGAGTTGTTTGTTAAACTGTATGTACTCGTATTCTTCATTTATAGCTTCATGGACTATAACTGTTGTTGTGTTCTCTGTTGTTGACATATCTGTCTTTACATACAAAATAAAAAAATAAATAAAAATAAAACTAACTTTATTTTTTCTATCTTAAGGAAATTCATGATTTTTGTGCTGAATTCAATAAAAATAATGTTTAGGTGAAGAGGTGAGATTTCACCTCTTTTTTCACCTCTTTTCTACCCCAGTTATTTTATAAACGTTTCACATGGTAAACGTTATTTTTTAAATTTTGTGAAAACTCAACGGTTTGACACATGCCCTAAAAATTATTTTACTCAGAATTTTGTTGCTGAATTCAATAAAAATATATTTTAGGTGAAGAGGTGAGATTTCACCTCTTTTTTCACCTCATTTTTCACCCCAGTTATTTTATAAGCGTTTTACATGAATTGTACGATGTATATTTGAAATCCTAAACAGTTTCGTAGCTTCTATTTCTTCTTTTAGTACATCGAATGTTTTAACGATACCGAAAGTTTCTTTATACTTCTTCTTGACGTCAGATAGAAGGAAATCGTCAGCAGTTGGATAGTTTTTGTTCAGAAATTCTAACATGTCCATTTTATTTTCTACCGGCTTCTCTGCTTCTTCTTTAAATCTGCATAGTCGTTCTCATTCTTTCTATCTCTTTGACGGAGTAGTTATATCTCCTCATTGCTGCTTTACATTTAGAACATTGCGGTTCATTTTTGCTTATACATTGGAAACCTTACCTGCTAAAACAACTAAGGCGTCAATGGTTTTCTTTAAATCTGAAGCAGTTGGTTTTATCTGTTCATTCCATACCTTACCTCTTCTATCTTTATCTCTTATCTGCCATACACATTTGGCAGCTAATGAAAACAAAGTTGTCGTATGTCTTAAACTCCCCAATTTTATATATGTCAGAGATGTTCTTATATACCATGTCGCAATCTTTGTCCATAACTTTATGGTTGCAATGAAAACAAGGAATTCATAATTTACCTTTTGTATGAACTTCTTTATTTCTACTGAGTCAGTTGCTTTGACTTCAATTTCGTCGAATTCAGAATAGTGACTTTTGTTGGATTCAGGTAGTTTAGGCAAATGGTCGATGAGGTCCTGCATTTCATAAAAGATACTGTTCATTTTTTCATCCTGTGCGGTACAGTCTAAATTACTTGTTAAAAGTTCTTGCTTTATTCTTTGTATTTCTGTTTCGAAAGTAAATGAAGAAGGAATGAAGCTTTCATCTCTACTAACATAGATGTTGGATTCATGACTACGAGTTTGGTGCTGTTGTTTGAATTTGTTGTGCCGATTGTTGACATTTCTGTTCTTAATACAAAATAAAAAAAAAAATAAAAATAAAACTAACTTTATTTTTTCTATCTTAAGGAAATTCATGAAAATTCAAGAGGGTAGAAATCGGTTAGAAATCGGGTTAGATCTAACCATCTACCCTAAACATTATTTTTGCTGAATTCAGCAACAAAAATGAACGAGGTCAGGATGTATTAAATACCTTTGAATTCATTTATAACGCCCTTAGTAAGCTCATAAAATGCTTGTTTTGAGGTCGAGCCACTTTGGCTCCACCGTATTCTTTCAACCAAAACTCAAGAATTTCCTGCATGAATTTTGTATAAAAAGCAACAGTCCGAATTCCCGTTGCTATATTCTTCACAAAATGCCTTATAATACTCTTCCAGGACTTATTTTCCAACAACTTTCTAAAGTCTTTCCTAAACTGACTGACTGACTGACTGACTGACTGACGCCACAAAGTGGCTTAACGAAAACATTAATATATAAATTCATGAAAATTCAAGAGGGTGAAAAAACAGGTGAAAAAAGAGGTGAAATCTCACCTCTTCACCTAAATTATATTTTTTGGTCCGGGAACAACTTTCTCTCAATTGGAGCTGTAGCATACTCTTTGCGTAAGCGGTTCAGACCTTCTTCGAAGTCTTGGTCTCTCTTGGACTGAGATTGGAATTGGAATTGTGGGGCAGGGTTTTGCATAAACATCCAAGGGTTGGGGAAATAAGGCATAGGCTGAGGAGGGTAGTTCGGGAAGCTTTGTGGTGGGTAGTAACCTTGAGGTGGAAATTGGTAGTAATTCGGAGGTACTTGCTGGAACTGAGGTTGCTGAGGAGACTGTTGTGGTTCTTTAGGTTCCTCTGGTTTGGGAATGGACTCGGTTGGTGGGACGTCGGACATTCGTTTGTGTCCTGTCGGAAGGAAGAACTTTTCCTGTCGGAAGGAAGAACTTTTCCTGTCGGAAGGAAATTTTTTTCCCTTTGTCCGGAAAATTTTTTCCTGTCGGATGGAAAATTTTTTCTAAAGTTCGACCAAAAAGTTCTCAATTTTCGAAAATTTGAATGGTTTACGGACGGACAACTGGAAGAGTTCTTCCTGTCGGAAGGAAGAACTTTTCCTGTCGGAAGGAAATTTTTTTTCCTTTGTCCGGAAAATTTTTTCCTGTCGGATGGAAAATTTTTTCCTGTCGGATGGAAAATTTTTTCTAAAGTTCGACCAAAAAGTTCTCAATTTTCGAAAATTTGAATGGTTTACGGACGGACAACTGGAAGAGTTCTTCCTGTCGGAAGGAAAAATTTTTCCCTTTGTCCGGAAAATTTTTTCCTGTCGGATGGAAGAGTTCTTCCTGTCGGAAGGAAAAATTTTTCCCTTTGTCCGGAAAATTTTTTCCTGTCGGATGGAAGAACTTGGAATGCAAGAAAGACTTGACGAGGCAATTTACCTCATTGAACTTAACGAGCTTGTTAAAGACTTCCTCAGGCAGAATGTAAAAGACAAGCTTGTTAACGGTTGGATAACGGGAAGGTCTACACTTCAGCTCGAGACTTCGACTGGAATTCCAATTCAAATACCAGACGGGACAGCCTACGATGCATAAAGGACGCCAAAAGAGAAGCTCTTGTTAAGTTCCTAAACAAACGTCCTTGGATAAAAATACCAAACAAGGAGAACCCCCTACCCCATATGAAATTGGCAATTCAGTCTCTCCTTCACTTCTCTGGTCAACCATTCTACATAACTACAGAAGGCGACATTCAGCCAGTTCAGTAAACATCTCATTTTAACTCACTTTTTTTATGTTTTTTGTGAAAGTGTCAAAAATAAATTGTTTTCATGAGTTTTCTACGATGTTAGAAAAAATGTTATTTTCTAATATCTTCACATTCAATACTTTTTCAGCACTTTTCCGTAGTTATATATGAAAGACAATTCGAGATAAAAGTCATAGTACAATGGAATAATATGTTGCACACCATTTGTTGTGAACCAAACTTGAAAGTCAGAGAAACTGTTACTAGATGGTTCGTAGAATTTAGAAGCAAAGTCATAAAAGTCCTTACCAATACATAGAAAACTATTGTTGCTTGAACTGAAACTTGCATGACACATAACATTTTGAGGGTCAAACACGTTTCTATAAACTGTCAAATCTGCTGGTGGAAGTATAAATTTAAATGGACCATCTGGTGGTAATGGTTCGTTCTGGTTTAGTAACCGAAGAAATTGTGCCCAAGAACGTTTGTCTACTTCCCAAAATAAAAACTCTGTATCTCTTGGAGGGTTAATTTCAATCTTTTGAAATGAAACGGTGGAGTTCATCTTGTCATATTCTAGTTTCAGATAGTATGTTCCATTTAGTAAAGAGTCGTATTTTTCTTGAAATTCCCAATAATATTGTTCATTTGAGTTTGAAAGTCATTTAGAGTTTTCTCAAGACTTTCGTCTGAACGAATTGTAAAGATTCTCATTTCGTCAAATTTGTCTATTAGACCATCAGAACCTTCATACTGCCCATGAAAATATACTGCGAACATAAATGCGTTAGTTCTATTTGAAAACAAAACTCTTCTAAATCCTATTGCCTTTGCATCTGAAGGACTTTGAAGCCAACGAATTGGATAGTCAAACCTGTATGCTCGGGATGAAATTTCTTCATCTGAAATAGTCCTACCAGCATTTGTAAAGATATAGTCTAACGGTTTTGTATCTGCTACTTTTGTTCTTTGTTTTTCAACCTGAAGCATTTAATATATGTAAAAATATATTGTTTTAAAATGGTATGCCATTTCATATTTCTCATCTAACAAACAAGTTTCCCAACGGTCTTCTCCAACAAACTCAGCGTACATTTCAAATAAAATTTAAAAAATGTCACTTTTTTTAAATAAATTTTTATTTCATGCAATGTTTTATTTCTGTGCCGTCTTCAAGTATGCCCCAATATTTCCTTTTCGATATTACATGAACTTCGGAAAATACCTTATCTAGCTTAAAACAGCCCATCTTTTCACCGACCATTCCCATTTCAATGAGTTTGTTGTATCCTTCTTCGTTCGTCATGAGTGCGTCAATGTTCTCATAGTAAACCTTCACTTTGGATTTGACTTCGGAGAAGAATTTGTTGTAGTTTCAAGGACTGCCTTTGCGAACTGAGGTAAGACCAATGTTCGACAATAGGTTTAATGTGGTTACTAAGCCACTTTGACCTTGAGTGAATTCGTACTTCAAAACAAAAGGAGAAAACCTTTCAACAAAGTTGTCGACCTTCTCATAATGTTTACTCTTCATCTCTTGAGGTTTCTTAATGGAATATCCCCATGTCGAATTCATAAGCAATTTGAGTGTCATTGCAAGTTTGGGGTTTGAAGCTTTCCTAATATCATACAGTTGTTGTATGACTTTTCCAACTGTATAGTTCCTTCCCGGGAACTCACCATCTTCGTTTGGAATTCCAGTCGGAATATATTGGACAAACCTCATGTATGCAGCGTTAAGGTCGACATAGTATATCTTTTCATCTGAGTCGAACTTGTCGCAACCAATTGGTCCAGTTTGTGGAAATTCAAGTGAGTCTCTTATCTTCTGAGAAACTTCTCCTGTTATCTCATAAACATCGTCGAAGCAACCTGTTTCATATAAAACCTTCTGACCTAACTCAGATGCTCTCCAATACAATTTGACGTCAATTGGATGTCTCAATGGAAGTTTGTTTATAGCATCTTGAAGTTCTTGCAACCTCATTGGAAGTTCTTCTGGTTCAGGTTGGTATCCGAACATACCAACCCCTTGTGGAACTGTGTACTTCTTTTGTACTAGAACTTTGTCTGGAACAACTTTTGGTCTTGCTAACAATGAAAAGTTTGTTTCGTCTTTTGGTACAAAACTTTCTGTAAGCTTGTCATCTGGAATTGGTTCCAACAAACCTTTCTCGAAAAGAATGTTTACAGCTCTGACAATGTTGCACTTACTTTTACCAAAGAATGGGTTTGTAAGACTTTCGTTCAACATGAAGTGGTTGTGGACAATTACAATCTTCAACCATGGTAAGTCTTTGTCAACAACATAGTCGTCATGTGAAGAACCTTTAGCTGTAGGTATGTTGACTCGGATATTGACATTTGCCAACGGTGCAATTTTTGCCAATTGACCTCTGAGAATGTACCTTGTCTTCACACATGACTCAAGATACTTCATTCTCATCTGTAACAAGACCAGAGTTCCTGAGACATGTAAGAATACAAGGTTCATTGACAATTGTTTCAATTGAATTGTAAATTTCATACCTTGTCAAGTCAATGTCAGACTTATTTATGAACGGGAAGTATCCAGCATGTTGTCTGACTGCTTGAGGGTTAGGTTGGTACCATTCGAACTTGACACTTGCAATTCCTTCAATTGCATTCAAAATGTCTGAGTCGGAGTCAACCATTTGTTCTCTCTTTGTAGTCTTGAAAGCGTCAAGAAGTTTTGCGGCTGTTTGTTCATTGCCATGTGCATAGTAAATGTGACCATCCAAATCTGTTATGGTCAATCTGAGATTGTGTCCTTTCTTATTTCCGTCTTGTATGGCAGCAAGTACTCCCATGAAGCCTTCTTTGTTCTTTCCTTCGTCAAAGTTTACTGTAAAGGTTCGACCAGATGTAATTTGACTTCTAACTTCACGATACTTTTCATATGCATATCTTGTTCTTTCCATGGGAGCATGTGCGTCTTCACCTTTTCCTTTTTTCCTTCTCAAAGGATGCAATTGTTCGTCATGTTTCCAGTAGAATCTGGCAAAGCCGTCGTGTCCTTCAACTTGAGGTTCACTAACATCGAAAGGCATGTCCATAAGACGTTCTTCTTCTAACCTCTCTAGTCTGTTTGGATAATTTGCACGTGCTGTTTCCAAATCCATTTCGTAGCGAAGACCAGACAATTTGTCATAGACTTTTATGGGTCTTCCCTTCCTATATTTAAAATTCTTCGAAACTCTCCAACCATATCTTTGCAACTCTGCTTTTATTCTAGCAGACTTTCTATCCATTCTATATGGGGGCATTTTTATAAAAAGAAAAAAAATATTTTTTTCTTTACTTTACATAACCGCCTGCTGCCATAAGTCTTTGACGCCAACCCATACCAGCTAATGAAGGTTGACTTGGTTTAGTTTGGAAACTAAACTTTGGTTTTGGTTTATCTTCAGTTTTTGGTTTTTCTTCTTCTATCGTTTTTTCGTCACTTTTCGGTTCCTCTGACTTTACTTCACTTGCAGGAACAGTTGTGTCGTCAACATCTTCATAAATATCATATGCCATTTGTTTTTGTTTTCCTTTCAACTTTTTGTGTTTGTTGTAAAGTTTAGAATATTTCGACTCTAAGTCAATGAGATGTTCTATAATGAACTGTTGGTCAGTGAAGTAAACTTTTCCATCTGTTGTCTCGAAAGCTCCTTCAGACTTCAATATTTTATTTGTGAGAGTCTGTTTCTTTTTTGAGATACTAGCCGTTCCATTTTTATGAAAAGTGACTTTGTAGTTAGGGTTTGTATTTCCAGACCTGGCACTTTCTATTATTGAATTTTTCTCTTCATCTGTAAGTTCTTTGACAGGTTTTGACAATGGTTCTGAACTTTTTGTTTGTGGTGTCAAATCTACCGTTTCAACTTCTTCGGTCATTTCATCTCAGTAAAAAAATTTAGTTTGGTTTGTTTTCAACTGGTTGTTTAGGTTTTTAAGTCGGTCTAAAACTTCCTGAGGTATAGGAAGAACTTTACAAACACGTGGTGTAAATGCTGGAAGCCGACAAATCCATCTTGAACTCATTTGTCTCAATGCTGTATTGTTCATTTCATCTCAGTAAAAACTTTACATTCCCACGTTTGAGGTGGTTGAGGTTGGTTATTGTTTACCCACTGTTGTGCATGGTTATATCCTCTGTTAAAGAATCTTTCACCTTGGTCCATATAGTGTCCTGCTTGGTTATAGTAGTCATTTGCTTTGTTATAATAGTTTCCTGCTTGTCTTCCTACATTGTCCATCCATCCTTGAACTTTTCCTCTTGTTTCAGGATTTGGAATAAGATTTGTTGCATCTCGTGCTACATCCCAACCTTTCTGTACAGTTTGTATAATAGGTTGTGCTTTCTCTTTAAGTATACCTAATGTACTCAAAATCTTCCTTCCAACTCCAAATACACCTCTGGCTATTGTTCCCACTGCGGGCAAAAATCTGGATGCAACTCCTGCTAATGCGCCAAATAAACCCATTTCTTATAGGGTAAAAAATGACGAATCCAAACAAGGACCCTATGTTTCTAAAGCGACAAAGAAAGCACTCATGGTAAAAATCTTTAGTTCAACACCAAATGCTTGGTTTATGGATATCTTGGAAAACATTCCGAGAGTTAGAACAGATGGACCTCCATACTGGTTAATATTTGTTGGTCAAAACACAAGATACTGTGAAGCCATACCATTATGGTCCAAAAATATTTTAGATGTGAAAACTGCTTTGACAATATTCGTTGACAAATACCATCCAACAAAATTGACATCTGACTGTGAAAGTTCTTTCAAATCAGATGATGTAAAAAACTATCTGCGTTCAAAAAATGTAAACCAATATTTCATTGTCGACCAAAACCATTCTGCTCTTGGTGTCATTGACGGTTGTATAAAAATGTTAAGAGACTTAAACCAACCACAAGGTGGTGAAGCAAATGAAATGTCATATGACGACAAGTATAGACACTTCTCCATGGCAAAGATGAGACAAGTTTTAAATATTTACAATAGCCGTAAACAAAAAGGTTTGGGAAACCACTCCCCGAAGAAATGAAAAACAACCCTGACTTAGAGAAAGACTATATATTTAATAATTTAGTCAAAAGAGACAAACAAGAAAGAATGCCGGGCTTCAAACTTCAGAAAGGTGACAAAGTAAAAATAGAAATACCTAAACGCGACCCATATGAGAATACTATTGACTATGACAACAATGGGAACTCGACAGGTACTCACATTCGTGTTCGTAAAAATAGAAGAAAGTATACAAGAGAATATTATGAAGTTTTAGGCAAACATGGCAAAATGTACACACTGCAAGCAGAAGATAAAACTACTATTGTCAGACCTCGTTTCAAACTTGTCAAAGTTCAAGGTGGTATACTTTCAAAGACAGTTCCTAACAAATATAAGACAACTCCTGACGAATATGCTAAAGAAGTTGAAAATGACGACTAAGCAATTCTATACCATGCGTAAACTGTCATGTAAGGTGGCATGTATTCTTTACTTTGTCCCGTTGTTTGCGTATATCCTGAAACGAAATGTGTATGGTTTCCTTCTCCCTGAGTGTCACTCCAGTAACAATTTATAGCAAACTTAACGTCGTCTTTAACATCATATCCTTTACCTTTTGTCATTCCTGACCAATCCCAATATCTATGCTTATGCCAACCTGCTTGAGATGTACTTAAATCTATGTAGTGACTGTGTGCAGGTAAATTTTCACCTGAAATCGTTTTACTTCCACCTGTTTCCTTTGAAGAGTTTGCACAATACAAAAACCTGTCGACTATTTGTTTCCATGCACCAACACCAAACATTACTTGAGGACCTCTTGCATCCATAGATGTATAAATAGAACCTACTGGGTTCATTAAATCAAACATATGAGATATATAGGATTGTCTCTTTTGAACTTAAAAATTAGTGCAACTATTTCAGGTTTCTTCTGGTTTTGTCAGAATATTTTTTATAATATATCTTATGTTTCAGGGTAGGTAAAATCTTGACTATAATATTTATTTCTGTCATCTGTATAATAATATACTATTCTCGTTTTTCTATTGCATTATATCTTTTATATCTATAATAATCTAAATATAATGTTAGCTTTTGTTCATCTGCATGTGGTGTTCTGTCTCATCTCCATAGTCATAATAATATGGTGCTGGAGCTGGGTCAGGCAATGTCATATCTGCCATTTCATAAACTCTTAAATATTTCTTTTGTTCGTCTCCATATAAGTTTAAGTAGCAGTTGTTGTCTAATGGAACTTTAACTTGTGTACCATCATTCTTTTATAGCTTACATACATTTCATTGTTATTTTTCGGAATGAGTTTACACCGTGTACCATTTTTTAAGGACTGTACAAACTGCCATCTAAAATATTTATTTTCTTCATTGACAGAAAAGTCACCAACAATAGTTTCAATATTTTTTTTGTTCCTATCAAACTTTGGTATATTTCATTGACATATGTTTTATCTGCTTTCTTTTCAAGGCTAACGTTTAAGTCTGTTATTTCAGATATAGAATGTGTATGTCTAACGTCACTTTTCCTGTTTAAGGTTTCTTGTAAGTTTGTAATATTTGCAATGGTATGTGTATGTCCAACGGCACTTTTACTGTTTAAGGTTTCTTGTAAGTTTGTAATATTTGCAATGGTATGTGTATGTCCAACGGCACTTTTACTGTTTAAGGTTTCTTGTAAGTTTGTAATATTTGCAATGGTATGTGTATGTCCAACGGCACTTTTACTGTTTAAGGTTTCTTGTAAGTTTGTAATATCAGATATAGAATGTGTATGAGTCTTATCTGCTTTTGTCTCTAATGTTCCCTTAAGACTTGGTATTTGGTTAATATAATGTATATGAGTCTTTTTAGAATATTCGTTTTCAGCTCTTGTCACTTCACTTGACATTTTATTGTCAACATATGTTTTGTCTGCTAGTTCAGGATGAGTATGTTCTTTTGTTGCATAAGCATTGTTAGCTCTTTCTTCTTCTTTTGCTATTGCATCGTCTACATATTCTTTGTCAGCTTTGTTGTCAACATCTGCTTTCAAAAGAAGTTCATTTATAGGTTTCTCGTTTAAAGTTCCTTTTGTTGGATTTATGCAGACAGTATGGTTCTTATTGTCTTGAAACAGAAACTCATCTGTCATTGGGTTTATTGTCAGTTTTAAGTCACCCCCTTTCAATGACTCAGATATCTTAGAATAGTTTGAAAAGTTTGTTGTGTTCTTATTTAGAGCTTGCATAATGAGTTGTCGGTTGTGTTGTATTTCTCTCATAGACGCTGTTTCATTTGACATTTTTATTATAGATAAAATATGCTTCCAATAGAAAAAGAAAATTCTAGAGTTGCTACAACTAAACCATTAGATGAACTTTTTACTAATGTCGGTCAAAAGTTTGAGACAGATACCGTAAAGCATGAAGGCTATCGTTTTGACTACCCATTAAGATGGTTAAGAGACCCATCCGTCACAAAAGCTATTGGCTTTCGTAGAATGAAGTTCATTTCAGAAGCCATACATGGTTTCCCATTTACGGTCGGTTTTGAAGTTCGATACTATAACAAAGAAAAAACGTATGTATGAGAAATTTGAACAGGGAAAACTTTTACAAGTTAGTTTGCTTTTAAACTTAGAAACAACTCTTCAAGCTTTTCAAGAAAAAATAAACGACATCTATATTGAATATGCAAACCAGTATAACATTGACGAAGGAGAATACCATCTCGATATTATTTATGACAGGAAAAATGCAACTGTTAAAATCAATAAAATAGAAGACCTTGGAGAAAACGTTTATATTTCTACAAAATATAACAACTTGGCATGGTATAGATTTATGAGGATGTTAAATCAGCCTGCAGCATATCCAGTACACCCGGACTATTATGAAGTCGAAAACCCTAATGGAACATATGAAAATATTTTCGACCCAGATGCTATTATTGTTCATGCTTCATTTTCTGGTGCGCAAAACTCTTTCTTATGTCTGATGAATGATTTTTACGAAAAACCTACAAAGTTATACGAACCACCAAGTGGAAGTATTTCAGACTTTCAAGTATGGTTTACTACAGATGGAAGAAAAAGAATAATTCCATTATACCATGCGTTTTACTTAGAACTTAGTTTCATATACAACTACTATCGAACGGTAAAAATATAATTTTTTAATACGGTTGAGGTGTTGGATTTGGTTGCCAACTAGACTGTGGTGCAGGTTCAGGCTGTTGTATAACAGGAGCTTGTTCTTCTGGTTCAGGGTCTTTAGGTATAATACCAACAAACTGACCTACTCTTTTACCAATATTTTTGGCACCGTTCCATACTCCTCTTCCGACAGATTTTATTCCATTCCATATACCTCTTCCAACTCTTCTGAAGAAGTTTCCAATACTACTGAAGAAACCCATTTACTATATGTAAAAATCTAATGTCCGCCTAGTCTCTTACGTTTCCTGTTGAGTTCCATAGCATTCTTTAACTGGAGCTCATACATTCTGTTTCTCCTCTGGTAGAAAACTATTCTGGGTCAACTCCTGTGTTCGCATCATCTGCATAAAGTTGTTTATATCCCACTTCAGGGTTTGTATAAAACTCTTTCCATCTCATATTTGCATACCATGGTGGCAAACCTAACGCAGCGTCATTTGACATGGCAGTTTGCATTTGTACATCTGTTGGCACTTGACCATAGTTTGCCATTGCAGTTTGTATTCTAACTTCATTTGGAATATTCTCTGGGTTTGGTTGTCCAGGTTGCTGTGCATTCGCTAAGTTCTGTGCGTCCATTTAATATTAGATAAAAATATCTCTTACGAGTACATATACTGAACATTTGCAGGCATTGGTTCATCTTCATATTCTCTGTACTTTTCTGCCACGTCAAATAAATAAATGACACAATGGAAAAAACCTAAAACTAACAATCCGATTTCAAACCACATTTACTTACTAATAAAATTTCTTTATTGTGACACTTTCTCCAGTTTATAGGACCTCTCTCATATTCTATCTTGTCATATATAAACTCATAGTCATGTATGTCCTCTAACCATCTCATAACGGTTTCCAAACCACTTTTATCGGATGTAAAGTAAAAGCATGGATGGTTATGTATAACGTCTAAAGTTTCTAAAGAGTCTCTCAAAGTCCAGTCTACTTGGTATTGAAAATCTCATGTGTTATAGAAAGGCGGGTCCACTATAAAGAAAACATTTTCCTTGTCTTTATATTTTTCATACAACTCTGTCCAATGACATCTCACAAACTCTATACCCTCAATATATTTTTCTATGTCCTCTTTGAAAACATTTGTATAGTTAAGATATAAAACTTTTGACATAAGTGTTTCAATGTCATGAACTCTTATAGCACCACTATATAATAGTCTAGCAGATATACTATCCCAGTCTATATATTCTGCTTTTTTCAAAACCTCGCTCACAATATTTTTCTTATCTAATGGTATACGTTCCATCTTACCTATAGGTATCTTTTCTTTTAACTCTTTCAATATATTGTTTGTGTCTGGAATATGTTTGAGACGGTCCATATAGTTGTCGAAGTCATTGCATATAATCTTTGAGTCAGGAAATACGGTATGACATAAATGGGATATATAGAAACTTCCACCGAACAAATCTACAAATGTTAGACCATTCGGTAGTTTCTTAAGTTCTCTCAATATAATATCTTTACATCTACTCTTATTTCCAAAGAACGGTAACGGTGGTTTTGTAAAATTCATTTATATATAATAATAAAAATGTTTTTACCCGAAAAGTGACAGAAAAGTGACAAAGCATGAAAACATATATAATTTGTGAAAAGCGACACATTATATAATGTTTTCGACCCAGAAGACTAACAATTTTCCGAATAAAAACTTCATTTATACTAAACATCTTCAGGGCTAGAGGGCGCAACGCGCCTGGAAGCCCCACTACCTTTTTTTTAATCCCTTCGAATTCATCAATTTATGGTAAAAATGCAGAGATAAGAAGGAAAGCAGTGTATCATTTTCTGCAGAGCATACTCAAACCATAGATACAACAAAGAATTCTATTCCAGGTATCGAATTCAGCTCAAATTGTGTTTTCATATTCCCTAAAATTAACCAATAATGCTTCGCGCAGCTTCCACATCTTCACAGATAAGAATTATCTATTTCCTATGTTAATCTGGCGCATGAAACTAAGATTTCCTTTCTGTAAAATTAAATTTACTCGTATTATTCTTGCTTTTTCTTTGTTATCAATAAAAATGTCACTGTATTCTATTTTCATTACATTTTGTTAATTTTTAAGCCTGTCGTTTTTAAATGTAACAGATTTTCTATCAAAATTATACGACTTCACAATTTTATGAGTAATGCTATTAGTCTGGATTTTGAATATATAGCGGCACATATCAGCGATCATATTAAAGAAGGTAACTTCTTTGACTTGTTCGAAGTCGAAGACATCAAAAAGATCATGAAAACTTCAAAAATAACATCAGACGATTTCGTATCTCTTCTTAAACAGTCACAACCTACTATTAATGCAAATGAATTATATAACTGCACTCGAAAAGCTATTGTTTATGTTAAAAACTTGCAAGATGTCATATTAGTACTTCAAACAGTTAAAACGTACATGAAAATCGAAATATTCAATGAAATGATTGATTTTTTATATAATACAGAAAAAGAAATATCTGAGAATTCAGAACAAATTAAAGAAGAAAATAACCAATTAAAGGAAGAACTCCAACACGCAGAAAAAGCTTTCTTACAAGTTAATGCAGACTACATAAAACTAAAGAAAGAACTTCGTGGTGGAGATAATCATAAACCCTTTCAAAATAATGAAAGTATTGACAAATTAAAGGAAGTTTGTTTCCAAATTAATGAAGAAAACATCAAATTAAAATTAGATGTCCATGACAAAGAAAAATTAATCAGTCAAATGAGTGAAGAGATCAACACATTAAATAATAGTCTGCAAGAAAGAGAAAGAACAATTCGTCAAATTAACGACGAAAAAAACAATTTAAAGAAAGAACTCCAAGATGTCGAAAGTATTGCAAGTCAAAATAGTGGCTATTTCAAATTAAAGAAGGAACTCTGGGATAAAGAAAAGAAAATCAATCAAGTTAACGACGAAAACAACAAACTAAAGAAAGAACTTCAAGAAAACGAAACGAAAATCAAGAAAATTAATGAAGAAAACAATGTTTTAAAGAAGAATCTCCAAGAGAAAGAAAAGCAACTTACTGAAATAAATGAAGAAAACAACGGATTAAAGAAAGAGTTCCATAACATGGAAACTTTCTTCTTAGAAATTAATGAAGAAAACAAAAAATTAAAGAATTCTCTTCAAGAGAAAGATAGAAAAATCAGTGAATTTAACGATGAAAACAATGTATTGAAGAAAGATCTCCAAGACAAGCAGATGAAATTCAATGAAATTAATGAAGAAAACAAAAAATTAAAGAATTCTCTTCAAGAGAAAGATAGAAAAATCAGTGAATTTAACGATGAAAACAATGTATTGAAGAAAGATCTCCAAGACAAGCAGATGAAATTCAATGAAATTAATGAAGAAAACAATATATTGAAGAAAGATCTCCAAGACAAGCAAAGGAAATTCAATGAAATTAATGAAGAAAACAATATATTGAAGAAAGATCTCCAAGACAAACAAAGGAAATTCAATGAAATTAATGAAGAAAACAATGTATTGAAGAAAGATCTCCAAGACAAGCAAAGGAAATTCAATGAAATTAATGAAGAAAACAATATATTGAAGAAAGATCTCCAAGACAAACAAAGGAAATTCAATGAAATTAATGAAGAAAACAATGTATTGAAGAAAGATCTCCAAGAAAGAGATAGAAAACTCAATAAAAGTAACGAAGAATACAAAGCATTACAGAATAGTATTCAAAACATGGAAGGAATTTTCTTACAATTGAATGAAGAAAACAAAAAATTAAAGAAAGAGTTGCAAGTCAGAGAAAGGAATGTCAATCAAAATGATGGAGAAAGCAATGCTCGTAGAGAAATTCTAACAAATGGCTTCAATTTCCTTAATGAACATACATGATACTTAAGTTGATGTTACAAAAAAGATCATAATTAACTGTAGTAATGATCACACTCTGCGATGGCCACTGTTTTTATATTATTTATCTCATTTTTATAGTAAATATTGTCTCTATTTTTTATCGGTTAAATTAAAGTTCACGCAGGAAATAAATAATGACAATGTTGCAAAATTTGTAAAGTTACGAATTCTAATTTCGATTAGTATGGATCTTATTCAGGATTATGAATACATTGACTATCATATCAGTGATTACATTAAAGAAATCTTGTGATTTCGAAAATATCTACAATTTCCTTGTTTCACTTTCATCTCAAAGAAATAAAAAATAAAAAAAAATATTTCAAAACTATGCAGAATAGGACATTGGAAGAAGACCTCTCCTAAATCATCTAAATTGAATGATGAATGGAATGTTCTTCATGTATAGGAAGTGAAAAAAGAAATCTCAAAATTGTCAAATCTCTCATTGGAGCTGGCTGTGAGAAAGAAACAAGAAGTTAGTGTAATTATATTTGGAGATTTTCCTTAAAACATGAAATAATCAACTTGAAGTTGTTAAATATTTTATTTCTGTTGGAGGTTATAAATATACAAAGGATAGAGAAGGATGTACTCCACTCATTCAGGCATCGGAGCATGGTCATCTTGAAATTGTAAATTATATCTTAACTCTGTCTAATAAAATGAAATATTCGTCAATAAAAATGATAAGGATGAAAATGGAGTAACTGCACTCAAGTGTGCAAGCGAATATTTCTGATATTAACTGATATCTGTCTAAGCGAAGCAGACTATTTCATGTTTCGGTTTGATGTTTTCATAAATACAGAAAAAATGAGACAATAGATGAGAATTGACATGTTAATTATTTCCCAAAGAACTGCAGTATTTATCAAGATCACACTTGTATATAATTTGACGTGATCTAATATCAAAATTATAATATATATATATATATATAATGAAAGAATATTATTTTTTGTTGTATACCCCTATGTGATAATAAAAATGAAATATTCGTCAATAAAAATGTCAAATAAAAACATTTTATTTTTATAAATTATTGTATGTTATACTTCTTCCTTAATTCAGTTATATTTGGATTGTATGAATATTTCAGATATTTACGCGGAGTAGAATTAGATTTATGGAATGGAGTATCGATATTTACATTGTTGGCAAGGAGGAATTCCATAATTTCAAGTCTTGGAAATGGAATGTATAATGCTGCTTCACACGCTGTTGGGCAGTCATCATGTCCTGTTGCATCTAGATCATAACCATTTTGAATTAAAATTGAGAGAGTTTCAATAACTTTGTCCTCATCATCTCCGCTGATTAAATATTTAATTGGATATCCATTGTCAACTTTCGAGTAAAATTGTTCTTTAAATATCGATCCATATTTCTCGAATGCAATCCTCGTTGTTTCAGGATCACATAGACGGCATATGCAACCAAGTCCATTTGTTTCTATGCTTTCTTTGATATCCATGTTGATAAGAATTCTTGCAGCTGGAATTTTGCCGATGAAACAGGCATGATAAAAGGGTGTATAGCCATCCGAATCCTTTGCATTGATATCCCAATATTTAGCAAGAAAAGCAATAAACTGCGCGTCGTTGCCCCACATTATACATTGTTTTAAAGGATTTCCCTTTGATAAACTCTTGTTCATAATATAAATTAATATATCATATTGGCTGGATGAAGGAATTGAGATACTTCCCACGACAATAAAATTGAGAGGTTTACATTATGACTGATCTTAGCATGCAACAATTATGCAAAAATTCCAGCAATGTGGAAATAATTTGAAAATTTACCAGCTTTTTTATTCCCAATTTAAGTTTATGATAAAAATAATAGTAGATAAGATATTTCCTTTATTACGTCACATTTTTTAAATAATCTATAGTTTTTTTTTGAGTTCCGGTTCACTTCATCATATCATTTTTCATTATTGAGCTTGCGAAAGTATTTAACTTTGAAATTCATTAAAGAATTTATTATACCAATTCTTATTATTTTGCCATGTAAAATAAATTGTAAAGTTGGAGTTGGCAATAAATAATTAAAATGGAACTTAGAGAGCCTTTTCGAAGTAACACAAAGAATTTAGGTGATGCAATGGCCTTAATGAATTTGAAAAGATGTGTTGCTGAAAAACTACAAAAGTATACAGTTCAAAACTTTAACACAGAAGAAAAAGCAACTTTTATACTTTTAAGAACAGATATTGGATCAAATAATACATATGATAATACACCTGATATTGATGGTGTTGTAAGCTTTATTATTAATATCAATAATAAACTTTTTAATGATCTCAATCCTGAAGTTATTAATATAAACCAGATCGATTTTCTACATTACCTAGCTAAGAAGAACCAAAATAACTTCAAGAGTCTCTTTATGTCAATTCTAAAAGAAATTTCTGGATTTTACAAAGAAGCTCCTTCATTTTTTACTTCTTTGAGAGATAAAATACCCGAATTAAACCAATATATAACTCAAAGCCGAGAGATGATCCAGCTATTCTTATACAAATGTTTCAGATTTGTTGAAGATTCTCAATATATCTCAATCAGTAAAGGAATTTCCAAGAAGGAATCGACATTAGAAGAAAGTGCAAGTGCAAAGATGTTCATTATAAAGATATTACCTCGTACTTCTGCTGATCAAATGACAAGAGAGTTTTTACGATTCAAAATATCAGATCTACTTACAGATAATAACATCACGATGCCGCAGCATTTTACAGAAGACGTTTTACTAGCTCCTGCTGCTCCAGGAGTCACACAATGTTTTATTTCATCAAATTGCGAAAGAATTCTTTTGTCAAATGGTGGAAATATAACAACATTGCTTAGTGAACTTGGGAAAGACCTCAGAACTGGATTTATGTGCGATTGTATAAGATGGGCATTAAATTCTTCGAATTTTGAGGATTCTAAGGCATTAGCTGCATTTATTCTCAATATGCTTCAAAGGTCAGACAATAATATTGAAGTTTTGAGCATTATGATCTCATTATCTCTTGAATTTCTCACATTTCAAGCAGGAAACCACCAGGATGACGTAATCTGTCATTCAATGCTTCGAGTACTTAAAGCATCGAAAAACCTGAACCAAAGCAGCTTCCTAGACTTCATAGAATCGATTACATTAGATAATCCGAAATTTTCTGAGGGATTATCTCAAGCTCAGCTTCTTGTCAACAAGAAATTCAAGTTTAAGAACTTAGTTCTACCAGAACCATCTGCACAAGCCGTTCAAATCGATGTTAAAAAAGAATTAAGTATTATTCAGAACAAACTGAAGTGGAACCGCCATTCGCTTGATCTTTCCGGACTTGTAACCCAATTGGAGCCATTTCTTGGTAAACTCCAGTTCAACCTCCCTCCAAATAATGATGATGAAAATTTAAACCTTATTTTATCATCAGACATCAGAATAATTACCCAATTATCCATAGCATATCCGAACCTGTTACGATACTACATTATTTTCAATCCTTCCAACACTAATGAGATAATTGAAATAATGAAGCAGATGATTGACGAAAAATCCAAAATTGTTGTAGGAATTATATCGACAATGATACCCTTCGTACCAGAAATAGTCGATGTCATACCAGGAATCGCGAATTTGCTCGAACAAAAATGTGATTTATCCGAAATCATAAAAATTTCGAGTCATCACTGCACGATTGAAGAGATTGGACGAATGATGGCTGTTCCATTCTTTTCTCCGCCTGGAGAGAGGACCGTACAACTGTTTAAAGCCTCTTCTGAATGGCACAGAGTTGCACAAACTGGATTTTGGGCAATTACGAGTTTGGCGATGGATGTAAATCACAAGAATTACATTTTCAGTGCGATATTGGAATCTGCCATTCACTTCACTAATATAGGAAGAGTCTGTGTCGCTCAGATTTTCTCTGCTTCACAAGCTTCACAAGAGAATTTCAAAATTGTCGCTCATTTAGCAAATAAAAGTGACAGTTGGAGAATGATTTGTATGAAAATCATAAAGAACTGGGCTTCGTGGGATTCAAAGGCACTCACTAAGAGTATCCAACAAGAAAAGGATTCAACAATTATCATTAAAACTATTTTGGAAGCAGATAAGGAATTGTCATCAAAATTATCCTCTCTATTTGGTTTGGCATAGAATTTTATTTATATATTTTGTTTGAATAAATATAATATTGTTATAGATTGAAAGAACTTTGGAGGAATATATATATACGTGTTTAATAGGAACGAATGCAAAAAGTCCATTAGCATATAATATAATGCTTATATTTAGTAAAATTAATATACATTTCAAGGCTAGATTTCGAGAAAAAATGAAATTGTGATTTTTTGAGTGGCAATAATATTCGTAACTATATATAGTATCCAAATAATATATTATTGTGTATTCTGAAGTTTACGCTTTTTTTACAAGTTATCAAAAATATTTTGCAATATCTTGCATAACCCATTATTTGGTACTATTTTTAATTGAATGAAACTTAGCGGTCATTCAATTTATTGTGTCGATGATTCAAAAATTTTGAGAAAGTTTTTCTGAATTAATTCAATCTTCATACAAAGTATGTGAAATATGTTTCTCAATGATTACAAGTATAGTCTGGAAATATGAGTCTTTATTATTATAAATAAAAAATAAGGCGACCCGCTCTTGAACCTTTGCCTTTACGAAATTCTACATGAATGTCTTGTTGTAGCCCCATGTTCAACTAAGAAAGTGATAATATATTTTGCTTTAATTTTGATTGCAATATTAAGAGGGCATTCATTAATATCGAAAGAATTTCATAAAATAATGATAAATATGAAAAGAAAGAGAATGTCATAAAACAATGATAAATATGAAAAGAAAAAGAATAAGAAGCATGTTAACATCTGCACCATGCTCAACTAGGAATTGGACAATTTCTATTGAATTCGCTTTGATTGCAATACTAAGAGGGCATTCATTGATATCTAAAGAATTTTATAAAATGAAGATAAATATGAAAAGAAAGAGAATGCAATAAAATGATGATAAATATGGAAAGAAAGAGAATTTCATAAAATGATGATGAATATGGAAAGAAAGAGAATTAAATTAAACAATAATAAATATGAAAAGAAAGAGAATTTCATAAAATGATGATAAATATGAAAAGAAAGAGAATTAAATTAAACAATGATAAATATGAAAAGAAAGAGAATGCTATTAAACTTTGATGAATATGAAAAGAAAGAGAATGCGATTAAACTATGATGAATATGAAAAGAAAGAGAATTTCATAAAATGATGATAAATATGAAAAGAAAGAGAATTAAATTAAACAATGATAAATATGAAAAGAAAGAGAATGCTATTAAACTTTGATGAATATGAAAAGAAAGAGAATGCGATTAAACTATGATGAATATGAAAAGAAAGAGAATGTAATAAAATGATGATAAATATGAAAAGAAAGAGAATGCCATAAAACAATGATAAATATGAAAAGAAAGAGAATTTTATAAAATAATAATAAAAATGAAAAGAAAAAGAATAAGTTTCATGTTAACATCTGCACCATGCTCAACTAGGAATTGGACAATTTCTATTGAATTCGCTTTGATTGCAATACTAAGAGGGCATTCATTGATATCTAAAGAATTTTATAAAATGAAGATAAATATGAAAAGAAAGAGAATGCAATAAAATGATGATAAATATGGAAAGAAAGAGAATTTCATAAAATGATGATGAATATGGAAAGAAAGAGAATTAAATTAAACAATAATAAATATGAAAAGAAAGAGAATGTAATAAAATAATGATGAATATGGAAAGAAAGAGAATGTAATAAAATAATGATGAATATGGAAAGAAAGAGAATGTAATAAAATAATGATGAATATGGAAAGAAAGAGAATGCCATAAAATGATGATAAATATGAAAAGAAAGAAAATTCTATAAAACAATGATGAATATGAAAAGAAAGAAAATTCTATAAAACAATGATAAATATGAAAAGAATGAGAAATATATAAAATAATGATAAAGACACTAATCCAAAAAAATGCTATCGTCTTGCCTACATCTCCAAAATTTGAATAGTTTACATCGAGTTTTTTTAAATAATGAGTTTAGCACTGAATAAAATTCATCAAAAATTCTAACTCATCCTAGAGGTGCATCTCATGCGCTTGTGCAGGATATGGATTCTGATTGAAGATATAATTTTGGAGAATCCGTCAAAATTATGTGACTTGTACATAGAATGATTGACATTATCCTAGCGATATCTGTGGCAAAGAATCTGGTCGGTCATTGATATTTCTCAAGAATCAAATAAGATTCACCAAGCCCAAACTATAGTTTAAGCATGTATAAATAACATAATTTAATTATATATGTGATGTATAATAATAACATGCTGTGATATTTATAAGTTATCATATAAGAGGCATGGAATATGAAAAATGTAACAAAATTTTAAGTTTTTAACATTAAACGCATATGAGAAAGTGCTTCAGATGAGGTACAAAGACTTAAAAGATTGTTTGTTGCAATCTTTCAAGTCTTTAGTCGACAATCAGATGTTGATTGTTGACTTTGTTCCTCATCTGAGGTACTTGATTATATTTTGTACCTCAGATGAGGAACAGAGACTTAAAAGATTGTTTGTTGCAATCTTTCAAGTCTTTAGTCGACAATCAACATCTGATTGTTGACTTTGTTCCTCACCTGAGATACATGAATAAGTAATATACCTCACATAATGAAACTCCATTTAAAATAAGGTTTTTTAATATTTTTTCACTTAATTAAAACAATTTAATATTTAATTTATGTTATCTTCTATATCTAATTATCTAATCCAATACACATCCAATAATAATATCTATACATAGATTTAGATTCTAAAAATCCGTGTTATTTTTCAAAATATGAGAATTATCAATAAAAATAGGATAAAAAATAGATTTGTAATATTATGAATTTTGTATTTAATAATAACTATTAAATGGTTTTTAGTATTTGTTCCTCATCTGAGTTACAAAACATAATCAAGTACCTCAGATGAGGAACAAATCAACAATACATCTGATTGTCGACTAAACTGAAAGATTGCAACAAACAATCTTTTAAGTCTCTGTTCCTCATCTGAGTTACAAAACATAATCAAGTACCTCAGATGAGGAACAAAGTCAACAATCAACATCTGATTGTCGACTAAAGACTTGAAAGATTGCAACAAACAATCTTTTAAGTCTCTGTTCCTCATCTGAGTACAAAACATAATCAAGTACCTCAGATGAGGAACAAAGTCAAACAATCAACATCTGATTGTCGACTAAAGACTTGAAAGATTGCAACAAACAATCTTTTAAGTCTCTGTTCCTCATCTGAGGTACAAAACATAATCAAGTACCTCAGATGAGGAACAAAGTCAACAATCAACATCTGATTGTCGACTAAAGACTTGAAAGATTGCAACAAACAATCTTTTAAGTCTCTGTTCCTCATCTGAGGTCCAAAATATAATCAAGTACCTCAGATGAGGAACAAAGTCAACAATCAGATGTTGATTGAAGAAGAAAGTCTTCAAAGATCTTTGTTAAGAGTCTTTGAAGTCTCTGTTCCTCATCTGAGGTACAAAAATAAATCAAGTACCTCAGATGAGGAACAAAGTCAACAATCAACATCTGATTGTCGACTAAAGACTTGAAAGATTGCAACAAACAATCTTTTAAGTCTCTGTTCCTCATCTGAGGTACAAAACATAATCAAGTACCTCAGATGAGGAACAAAGTCAACAATCAACATCTGATTGTCGACTAAAGTCTTCGAAGATAATTTTTAACAATCTTTTAAGTCTCTGTTCCTCATCTGAGGTCCAAAATATAATCAAGTACCTCAGATGAGGAACAAAGTCAACAATCAATGTTGATTGAAGAAAAGTCTTCAAAGATTTTTAAGATCTTTAAGTCTCTGTTCCTCATCTGAGGTACAAAACATAATCAAGTACCTCAGATGAGGAACAAAGTCAACAATCAACATTCTGATTGTCGACTAAAGACTTGAAAGATTGCAACAAACAATCTTTAAGTCTCTGTTCCTCATCTGAGTTACAAAACATAATCAAGTACCTCAGATGAGGAACAAAGTCAACAATCAACATCTGATTGTCGACTAAAGACTTGAAAGATTGCAACAAACAATCTTTTAAGTCTCTGTTCCTCATCTGAGTTACAAAACATAATCAAGTACCTCAGATGAGGAACAAAGTCAACAATCAACATCTGATTGTCGACTAAAGACTTGAAAGATTGCAACAAACAATCTTTTAAGTCTCTGTTCCTCATCTGAGGTACAAAACATAATCAAGTACCTCAGATGAGGAACAAAGTCAACAACCAACATCTGATTGTCGACTAAAGACTTGAAAGATTGCAACAAACAATCTTTTAAGTCTCTGTTCCTCATCTGAGGTACAAAACATAATCAAGTACCTCAGATGAGGAACAAAGTCAACAATCAACATCTGATTGAAGAAGAAAGTCTTCGAAGATAATTTTTAACAATCTTTTAAGTCTCTGTTCCTCATCTGAGGTCCAAAATATAATCAAGTACCTCAGATGAGGAACAAAGTCAACAATCAATGTTGATTGGAAAAGACTTCAAAGATCTTTGTTAAGAGTCTTTGAAGTCTCTGTTCCTCATCTGAGGTACAAAACATAATCAAGTACCTCAGATGAGGAACAAAGTCAACAATCAACATCTGATTGTCGACTAAAGACTTGAAAGATTGCAACAAACAATCTTTTAAGTCTCTGTTCCTCATCTGAGTTACAAAACATAATCAAGTACCTCAGATGAGGAACAAAGTCAACAATCAACATCTGATTGTCGACTAAAGACTTGAAAGATTGCAACAAACAATCTTTTAAGTCTCTGTTCCTCATCTGAGGTCCAAAATATAATCAAGTACCTCAGATGAGGAACAAAGTCAACAATCAGATGTTGATTGAAGAAGAAAGTCTTCAAAGATCTTTGTTAAGAGTCTTTGAAGTCTCTGTTCCTCATCTGAGGTACAAAATATAATCAAGTACCTCAGATGAGGAACAAAGTCAACAATCAACATCTGATTGTCGACTAAAGTCTTTTAAAACTCTTTCAAGAAGCCATTAAAGTCTTTTTTCCTCGTCTCGATTATAGTATCTCAACAAGTACACCAGATGAGGAATAATAACTTCAATCTAACTGTAATTTGAAACATTCTTGCATAAGCTGATTTATATCACATATATATTATATTACCACACCATATATATCATTGCTCAACAATCTAAATAATCATTAACTCATATTTTGATTCTCATATTTTGTGAATCTAACAAATCTCTCAGATTTCAAATCCATCAGTCTGTTAACATTGTATAGAAACTAAATTTTCATGACTCAAACTCCTTTAACCCGAATGTTGAATTTTGTTCGAAATCTTTCTTATGCAATTTCGCATTAAATCTAACATTATGGTCTAAGAAGATAGACATCTTTTAATAATTTTTCTCGAATTTTTGGTGCTAGTCCCAGGTCGAAATTCGAAGTTTTGTCCGATCAAACTGAAAAAAAGCTCACTTTTGGAGATGTAAGCAGGACGATAGGATTTTTTTGGATACATCTCTAATGATAAATATGAAAAGAAAGAGAATGTCATAAAATAATGATAAATATGAAAAGAAAGAGAATGCCATAAAACAATGATAAATATGAAAAGAAAAAGAATAAGAAGCATGTCAACGTCTGCACCATGCTCAACTAGGAATTGGATAATTTCTATTGAATTCGCTTTGATTGCAATACTAAGAGGGCATTCATTGATATCTAAAGAATTTCATAAAATAATGATGAATATGAAAAGAAAGAGATTATAAATTTTGTTGATATCTTCTCCATTAGAAAGTAAATAAGATGCAATATCATAATTTCCGAAATACATACTTTCTGCTATTGAATCAAATGTTTGCCCAAAATTTGATTCAAAATACTTAGCAATTTCATAGTTTCTATAACCCAATGCTATATTAATCATGTTATCAAATGATTTACAATCTTCAATCATTTGCATAAAAATGTTTTCATTTCCACCTTGAACAGCATATTTTTCGGAGTCTTTAGTGTATTGAGCTCCTAAATTTTTCAAGTAAATGAAACACAACTCTGAGCCATATTTAATTGAACAATCAAGTGGAGTGATATTTTTAATCTCCTGATTAATATCAAGATTTGGGAATTTACTCTTAAGATCATCAACTTTATCCCATTCAATATAGTATAAAGGAGATTCTGTTGAATATAAATTCAGAATTTCATCTTCTTTCATTTTCGGTTTGAAGTTTTCAAATTTGAATCCTTGATAATGTAGAAGCGTAGTTAATCTCTTATTTACCGGTTCATTGATGTATGAAAATGCGTTTGATATCTTTTGATAAAGTATAAAAAATAATTTAATTTCTTCATCACGAATTGGTGAAAAAATATCAATCAAATGAAGCGCCATTTGGATAGTTATTTTGTGGGTTGTTATTAATTCGATAATCTGTGAAGATATTTGTTTAATATTATTGGAATTGACACTCCAAATAATTTTTGATGCTTGATCTGGGCATTCAAATACTTTAATTGGCTTGAAGTCATTATAAATGCACAAATTTTCATTTTTTAGTTGCTCTGAACTCGACATCCTTTGTAAAAATTTTGACTAAGGTTATTTTTTACATCAAAAAAATTCAATTTTAGCATGATTGAAGTATTATTTTTAAAAAATAACAATAAAATTTATACAAAAGTGTTATATATCCCTTACATTTTTGTGGCAAATGGAGAGGGTAAGGGCGTCGAAATTGCATAATTTCAAATCTCCTTATCTCAACGAATACAAGAGGGATGGGACTGAAATTAGGCTATTTTAATAGGTATGAGGTATCAAACATTTTCACTGATGAAAAATTGAAAAAGCTGATTTCAACTTTCTAATCATACCTTATATATGAGGTATCAGATCAAAATACTGATATGTTATTACTTATGGGGCCACCTGAATGTTATCACAATTTGTTTGTATAGATATAAAAAAAATTGTATTAAATTTAAATTAAGTCTTTTATTCCTAAAATGAATTTCTTTTTGACATTTTTAGAACTTTTATATTATGAAGTGATTAATCCCAATTGTAGAAATGATAAGGATAAGAAATTGATTACTAAAACAATAGTATTTCAAAGTGTTATGATGTTTAATGTATTTACATAGATATGGATAAATGAAAAATATATTTTAATCCGAATAAATTGAAAAATCTATTTCAATCTTTTGCAAGGAAAAGGCTAATGCACATGTATTTACTAAAAGAATGGAGTATTAATGATAAAATCAACAAATCCCGCATTTATTCCGATAAATATTCATTTTTTAAAATTCTCACCTGTTCAAGGTCTTGTCATTACTTATTCGATTTTTACATATGTTTCGAGTCAAAAGTTAAGTTTCTGATGATCTATTCTATCTATATGAGTCCTTTTCTCAGGCTAGAAATGATGAAACTACACTTTGATAATTTTTTTTTTGAAAAGTCAAAATCATTCACTCGATTGTTTCATTCCCACTAAAAATTGATGAAAGGCAAAAAGAATATATCTATTTCCTGGGGTATATGATCATCTAATATCATCAGCAGCTGATATTTTAGTAAAAAAAAGAATGGAGATACAGCTCTTCTTAACGCAATTTCTAATATATTCGAAGATTAAACAGAGACATATATGTTGCAATTGTGTATAGCAACTCATAGTATAAAGAATGAAAATAAAAAGCTTCTTTTCGTACATGTACAAATAATCTGATTTGTGAGTAAGTTTGTGGACTAGTTTCTCCAAAGATTGAATTCATCAATATCAACCTATTAAATTTAATTATAAGGCATTAATTAGTTTAAATCCTACCCTAAATTGATTGATTCCAACCAAAATTCAATTTGATTTCAGAACATCAATGATCGAGGGAAAATGTTCCATTTGTGCATGTCATAGTATATTTATGTCATTTGGTCAATATTATATGATTTCTATCGTCATGACCGAAAATACCAATGTTTTTTGCTTTCATAAGTTTTTCGCTTTCAACAATCTATTTTTGGGAGCCTTTTGACAGCAAAGATTGGGAAAAGCATTGGGTTAAAGGCCCAAAGCCGAAAACAGGCAAACCACTCGGCCGTTTCCAAATTAGCTCCGGATCATATACAGTAAACAGAAGATTGCAGCGAGGTTTAATGGCTGTTGATGATGATCGTCAGTATATCATCAGCTCCAAGTTTAATCAGCCATTTAATACATCAGGAAAAGATTTAATTTTCCAATTTAACGTCAAAAGTGAAACAAAGATCGAACTTGGTGCTACCAAAATGAAATTATTTGGAGAGCGCTTCAGACAAAACACATTCTCGTCAAAAAGCTCATATGAAATCCTATTTGGCCCAGATTTTAACGACTGGGATCGTTATCACCTCGAGACTATCATTGTTCGCAACCGTACTGAGTATGTTTCGACCAAACCAGTCCTTGCTTTCAGAGATCAGCTCACACATTGCTATACTCTTGTTATTTTTGCAAACCAGACATACCAGATCAGAAAGGACAACTTTGTCGATATAGAGAACAAGCTTGAAGACGATTTCAACTACTGCAACCCAGCTAAAATCGCAGATCCATTTGATCAAAAGCCAGAAGACTGGGAAAACCATGCCGAAATGGATGACCCAGATGATATGCCACCAGATACTTACAAAGACGTTCCACGTTTCATTCCAGATATGTCTGTAAAGAAACCAGCTGATTGGGATGAAAGAAAGAACGGAAAATGGGTACAACCATTAATCCCCAACCCAGAGTTTGTATCAGAATGGAAGCCACGTAGAATAAAGAACCCAGCTTTCAGAGGAGATTGGAAAGCCAGAGAAATTGACAACCCAGATTACAATCCAGACCCAGGATTCGGCAAGCCACAGAACTTGATGTATGTTGGCATTGACGTAACCATCGATAAGGCTCCAACAATTTGGGATAATATTTTAGTTACAGATGATCTCGCAGAACAAGAAAAGAAAGTTGAGGAATTCTTCTTCTCATTCCAGGACGCTGAGAGAGCTGCTTATCAGAAGGCTAACGTTGATAAAAAAGTCGATAGTTCAAAACAAAGAAACAAACTTCCTACAGAACTCTAATTTTAGCTTATTTTGTATCAAGGTCAATTTTATTAATAATAAAATATTTTTATTGCACAATTTATTACTATTTTTCATCAAATTTCAAATTCAAAATTTCAAATCTCAAAATTATTCTTTCCAAAATGTGTGCATTTTACGACACTTAGTATAAAAATTAATATGAAGTGGTCATTGTCCGATGAATTTACAAACTTGAGGTTCAACATGTGTTAGATCGAATTCTAGGTTTTACTCGAAGTATATTTTGCTTGCCCGTTCGAGTGTATTGACTTTCTGTTCCTATTTTCTGGAATTTTCATATGTTTGGGCGAATTTCGTAAGCAATTTGCCTGGTTCATTGATGTTATCTCAGCTTTCCTATGTGATGCTGGAGTTTTCAGATAAAGTCACACTTCAGGTGTATGAGCTGTGGCTTCGCTATGGATGTTTAGATGGAATGACCAATCAACAGTACATCTATATGCATCACTAGCTATCTGATTGTTGTGAGCATTCTTGAGGGCAAATCTGCTTGTTTGTCATGAAATATGATGGTTCATTCAAAATATTAAAGGTTGAATATTATTTGTAATGCATACAATCGAAATTTGATACCTAAGTACGGATATGATGTCGTATTGAAGATTTCTAATCTGAATTCGTTGATAATTGTGGCCAATTCGCTTTGAAATTGAATTTTTGTTAAATATGCTTAAAAGACCTGATAATATTATACTGCTTTGGACAAAATAAATTTTTGAAATTACTTTCGTCAGTTTTTCCAAATCAATGAGTTCATATCCCCGCCTTTTTGTAGACAATTTGCCTTATAGTACAGAGTTATCAGATATTCACAAACTCTTTGATCGTTACGGTCCCATTGAGAGCGCAAAATTACTGACCTCTCGCGATGGGAAATTCAAAGGATCCGCCTTAGTTGAATACTTAAGGTTTCAAGATGCAGAATATGCAAGAGATAAAGTCGATAGAACGAAATTCAAGGGAAAAACCATTTACGTAAAAATAGATGCTGATAGGCCACGTGGCCCACCGCCGGCACCAGATAGGAGACGCTCACGAAGATCCGATTTAGATTTAAGACCACCACGTGATTACAAGCCACAGCCAGTTCCTGTCGCTATGCCCCCCGTTATGCCTTTACCAATGCGACCTCCTCAGATGGCTCAGGCAATGGTGTATGCTGCACCAGTTGCTGGTATGCCAGTTTATCCGCAACAGGCTAATTATCAGGCTTATGCAGCATATGCTGCACAACCTCCTCAAGGATATTCTCCACAAGAGCCTCAAACATATGCTGCACAAGAACCGCCTGCTCCGAAAGAATCTACACCACGATTATCACCAGAAATAGAATTCTATAGAGAAGTTTTACAATTATACGCAGAAGAAGTCTCTTGTGTTGTTAAAGATAATACAGCTAATCACAAAATTACAATCGATAAACTTGGAATAGCCCATTTACCGAATGAGTAATTAATATTGTATTTGATACCATTTTAATTTCCAAATAAAATGAATTTGTTACTATTATATTCACCACAATGTCTTTTTCATCAATACTAATCTTTAAATGAAATAATTTAGTTAAATATCATTGAAAATAGTTGTAATTATATTTAGATAAGCCATTTCAGTATCATGGTATTGCCGTTCGATTCTAATTTAATAGGAAATTAGTTATATTTCGAAATCAAAATAATACTCAGAAAGTAAATTCATTAATGATAATGAAACATTATTTGAGATATATTATAACATTTTACAACAAAATAACATAATAATAGATAATGAAAGTGTGATTTGAACTTGATAAGGATATTTTCTATTAATACTATTGAATTAGCTCCTCTAAAACAAATTCTTTTTTGTGCTCCTATAGCTTGGGATATGAATGTTCCTTCTGCGGGAAGGATACATTGTTTCAATTATTGATTCAATTAAACCATAGATATAATTAAACAGCAAATAGATTGGATATGATGTGCATGCTGCAAGATAAAGTGCTTTGAATAGTTTCCTTAGCAATGATTCATCCCACCAGATATATCTGTTAGCTAAGGATTTATCAAAGAAGAATAACAAAATTGTAATAAGAGATACAGGAATAAGAATCTCTGGTAAATAGTATGCTGTTATAAACGCGGAAAGCAGCACAAGAATGTAAATCTTTAAGCGATCAATGTGTTTGACAAGAAGATCTAAGCCAAAAGATACATCACCAATATTAATTTGGAATTCTAAGATCTTTGTGTGTATTTGTTCTAAAGAATCTTTTCCTTCCTTTAATGTTTCGCTGATTTTGTCAATAGCGTTTTGTAGATTCTCTGAAGACTTGTTAAACTCTGTAGTGAGATTTTCTACCACTGCAGCAGAATGTACAGCATTATTGAAGAGTGTAATTAGTTGTTCTGTTGTTTGAGCATTAAAAGCTTCACCGCGTGCAAAGAAGCATAGATTTGTGATATGCTGATCAAATGTAATATAGATATTATAAACATGAGTCGGCATATTTGAAGTATCAATAAAATATGATTCATCGTATTTGTTTGAAGCTTTAAAAAAGCATTGAGTGAACCTAAGAGATAAATTCTTTCTAAGTTGTTCATTTTGTTTTTGCTCGATAGTATTGCAATTTATTTTTAGATCTGTTACAGCATTTGTATAGCAATCTGATTCAGATACATCAATTGTTTCTATTAGTGATGCAAGTGGTACAATAGCTGGATATTTATTTTTGACTTCCTGAAAATCAATTAATTCTGTAATTTTCTTCTTTTTCTCGTTGCGTTTAACGATAGAAGTATGTGCTTCGTTTTTATGTATTTCATCACAGAGTGATCCAATAAAAAGAAAGTTAAGCATTAGAAACATTAAAAATGCACGTTTATTAATTTGAAAATCTCCCTGGATGAGCTCTTATATGAATTTTCACATGAAACATAATTGGTTTTCAGATTTGGAGCGAGATCTTTGAGCAAAATCTACTCTAAAATGAATGAGAAATTCTTGATCAAGATTATGAATTGGTTTTGAATAAAACTCTATATTGCAATCTATTTGTAATCCAGTGTCAAGTTCATTGCATAATTGATTAGATTCCATTTCACTCAATAAAGTTGAAAATTTTAATAATTTTTGGAATCAAGCTTCAAAAATTTAAGCATAAGTTTGTTACTCTATGAGTATTTTATTTATGATGAGAAAATGGTTACAAATAAGAATTTTTCCTTCGACCTAAATTTTCGAAGTAAACTATTCAAAAATTGAAAAAGTCTGTTCAACTCATTAACAATGAGTACCACAACAAAACATGAGACACTCATGAAGCGCTATAAAAAACTTCTATTAGATTTCCAGAAGACACAAGCCAGTGTTAAGCAGCTTCATGATCAGATTAACGCAAAACGTCAAGAACATCAGGAAACCGAAAGACAGTATAATTCCCTTCAAGCTGTCGGTCAAATTGTTGGTGAAGTACTTCGTCCACTTGATGATGAGCGTTACATTGTCAAAACAGTATCCGGCACACGTTATGTTGTCGGTGTTCGTACAAGATTAGACCATTCACTCTTAACAAACGGCCGTCGTGTTGCCCTTGATATCGCCACACATACAATTATGTACGCCCTTCCTCGCGAAGTCGATCCTTCAGTTTATCATATGTCTACTGAAGATCCAGGCAAAGTCAACTACAGCGATATTGGTGGTCTCGGCGATCAGCTCAACGAAATTCGTGAAATCATTGAACTTCCTATTGTCAATCCGGGCATTTTCGAACGTGTTGGAATTCCAGCTCCAAAAGGTGCTCTTTTATACGGCCCACCAGGTACAGGTAAGACACTCATTGCTCGTGCTATTGCTGCTAATACAAACGCCAAGTTCCTTAAAGTTGTCGCTGCCTCATTATTCGATAGATATGTTGGTGAATCAGCACGTATTGTCAGAGAAATGTTCAACTACGCTCGTGATAATGAACCATGCATTATCTTCATCGATGAAATCGATGCTCTCGGTGGAAAACGTCTTGAAGAAGGTTCATCAACAGATCGTGAAGTCCAGCGTACTCTTATGGAGCTCCTTGCTCAGATGGATGGTTTCTCAAGTACTTCTAAGGTTAAAGTAATCATGGCTACAAACCGTCCTGATATTCTCGATCCAGCTCTTCTTAGACCAGGTCGTCTTGATAGGAAGATCGAAATTCCATTACCAAACGAGCAAAGCCGTCTCGAAATTATCAAGATCCACTCAAAGGGACTTAATATTCAAGGTGAAGTTGATTACGATGCAATTGTTAAGCTCAGCGAAGGCTTCAATGGCGCAGATCTTAGAAATGTCTGCACAGAAGCTGGTCTGTTCGCACTTAGAGAAACAAGAGACCATGTTATTAACGAAGATTTCATGAAGGCTGTACGTACTGTCAAACAGACAAAGGGTATGGAATCAACACTTCACTACGACAAGGTTTAAATAAATATCTTTTTTATTTATGTTTATGGCTGAATTTATTTAAAAATTATTTTGAAATTCTTTGTTAATTTATACTCATTCCTTTCATTTTTCTTGAATTCTTGATTGAATCTAACTTAAAACAAGTATGAAATTAAAATATTGAAAATTTATTTTAGTTCTTGTTCTATAATTCATAACAAATCTATAATTTTTGAACTAACAACGTATTATCACCAAAAAATGATATAGCCAGTCAATGTTTTATAATATCAATGATGATGGTTATATTGATACTAATGATACGCCTCTTGAATTCAAATCTGGTTTCCATTTGTCCAGTTAAAGTATGCTTTTAGTTCTTAATATCATACTCCCATTGTGCATCAATGAAAAACATCAGAACAGAAGATGTTTATGATATCATGCATGCACCGATATCAATTCTAAATTTGGAGATAACCCTTTTCAAATGATGTTATTTTACTAAATATAAAGGTTATGAGATATATGTTTTAGTTGTTTACTTTTTATAATGATGTTATATTTATTAGCAAGAAAGAGGAAATCTTAGTAATGAATTGCCTAGATGAGGAAATTCAAGGATTTTATCAAAAAGATATATTATCATTTTCTCAGTTACGTTATTAAAATATATTATGTCATTTCTGATGATTCTACTGGGTATATCAATTGATGTAAGCGGAACCGCAATTATGAAATTATATTTACAAAATCTTTGTGGTTTTCCATAGATTTTTAACCAGAATGGTCAAACATAATTTACTCTAGTGTGTAAAATCTACCTGATCTATTTGTTTGAACCTAAAATCATCAGGCCTGGCAATGTAGATGAGATTAATGCCTTTAATAAAATTAACCTTAAAGTTGTGTCTGAATGGATTTCTCTGAAATAATATCATGACTTGTTAAGACACAAATAAGAGTTTCGTTTTGCGAAAAAAACGTACAATACGCAATTTCGCTAAAAAACATTTAGCTAGCAATTTCGACCTTTGACTCCACTCAAGACGTCACTTTTTTAATTTTGCGGTATCATATTTTTGGAAAATCTTTATGAATATTATATAAAAAGTCTCTTTAATATCTATATTTCATATTTTTATCGATTTTTAAAGTTTTTGCGAAAAGTATTCAATTATTTTTGCTATTTGGTCGGGTAAATGTCAGATTTGCGACATTTTCTGATATGATATTCAGATTCTACGTTGATAATAATGCTTATAGAACCCTCTTGCTATTGTGTCAAAATTGCGAAACCGATAGCAAAAATATCTCGCAATATCAAAATTGAGATATTGAGTGAATTATGCATTATAGAGATTAAAAATCTGATTTGTGAAAACATCTCATCAGTTTCTAGCTAATTCAAAATCTTTACTATCTATTCGATTAAAATGAAAAGGGAATAGTTTCATTATGCTTTAAATGACAGCCTTATAATATAATCATAGTTTTCGCTCAATATGCAGCATTTTTTTTCGAAATCTATGGTCAATATCCTAAATACTGATTGCTTTGCATTCATATCTCTTACATTTTCTATACCCACATCACTATTCATTGCTATTCCTATCTTTTTCATTTTTGTTTGTTTCTCATAATTTCTCAAAAAACACGATAACTTGATATTTGTAAATATCATACTTTATAACGTAAATAAGAACTTGACCTATTAAGAAAAGCAGTAATGAAAAGAAAATCTGAAATTTCATAAAAATTACAAGTTTCTGATGACAATTAGCTTAATTAAACCAGGTACAAGATTATATAATTGTATTTTCTATCCAATTATCCATATAATATCTTATCCAGAAAAAATAACTTGATCAATACCAAATGATTTTTTTAACTAGTAAATAAAGTATTTTCTTTACACACACATTGTATATCATAGTTTTTTTTTGGTTTCGCAAAACATCCAAAAACAAATATGCTATAAAAGTGACAATTTTAGCAAAACGAAACCCTTAACACAAAACTTTAAAAATCAAAATGGTCGGTTTACTGTTGTAAATTTTCAAAGGTGTAAATAAATTTTTTGTTTGAATTTAGAAATAAAAATGATAAATACTGTAAATTTCCAACCGAGTCGCACAAGAACACGGCCTCAAAGAACCTCAAATACTACGTCACAAATGCGTAGTATCCCACAGAGAACAAGAACACGTAAAATTCGACGTAGTCATCAATCATCTGATAGTGGTGACGATAATTATGAGAACATCACTGTTATACAAACAGTTCCTGATCACCCAGTATTGCTATCAGACGACAATGACTCATCAAGCGAGTCATCCAGTGACCATGTTGAAGTTATTGAAAATCAATCAAATTGGGCAGCCCCTCTAACCGCCCAAAAGCCTGATGAAAAGAAATCTAGTGCATCAAGTCCACCAGAAAGCCCACAGGAACAGAAAAATGTTAAAAAGAGAAGAATTCGGAAACGAAAAGTTGCTTCAACAACTGGTGAAGAAGAAGATACAAAGACTGAGCCAGAAACTCCTGAAAAGCCTAAACGCAAAAAAGTTAAGCGTATTCGCAAGCGTGTTGTCAATGACGAACCGGAACCGTCGACAGAACCAGAAAAGAAGCCTGAGCCTGCACCACCTAAAAAACCTTCAAACGTAAAGATAGTTAAAGAGATTAAGGAAAGCAAAGAAAGCAGTACTGAAGAGATTAAAGTTACAAGGAAGCGTAGTGCTGCCAAGAAAGAAACTGAGCCTGAATTAACGCCTGAACAATTAGAAGAGATTGCGAAATTACCTCTTGATGTCAAAGATTCCTCGAACTTTGAGATCAAACGACACAAATCTTTATTAGGAGCACCAGCATTCACTCTTATTCAATCGGATAGATCTCTTTACTTTACGAAATACGGAAAGCTGTCTGTTGGCAAAGGATTTTCCATTTTCAAGAAAAATTTTACAGATGGCGAGTTTGTTGGCTTCTTACGTCAACATGACAGGAAGAGAAGATTCACATTTTACGTAGGCAAGGATGAAGAGAGTCTTGGCGAAGTTTTCGGCCTTTGCTACATAAATAATAAAGAAACATCAGAAAGAATACGACAAATAAGAGTTTGTTTTCCCAAGAGTCGCAAACTTAATTACCCAGCTACAAAAGATCAAAATCTTTCAAGAATTTGCATGAAATACGGACAAGAACACGATGAACCAGAAAAATCTAAGGATAAAGATAAAGAAAAGGAGAAAGCTGAAGCTTCTGACAGCGAAGATACTCAAAAGCATGGCGAAGAAGAAGAAAAAACAATAATCAATTTTGATGACTATGATTTCTTCCAAACAATGGTTCCCTGCATAAACGATGATGGATCTCTCACTTTGAACTTCGCTGGAGCTACTCCTGAGCCTTCAATGAAGAATTTCATCATTAGAAAACCAAAATCAAACAAAGTTTCAGTTATGGTATTCAGAGTATCGAAAGAAATGTTCAAGGTTAGATACGATGAACCTTGGACACTAGAATCTTCATTTGGATTTGCTCTTGCAGCACTATTTGGAGATGGATAAATTAATTTTTATTCATTTCCAAAATAATCTACATATATGTACTTTTAATAAATCATATGTTATTTTAACCAAATGTTAACACTCATTTTTTGAAATTTATTAATTTTTTTATAATTTTTAAACAAGAAATTGCTCACCATCTAGAATTTCTATCGCATGATTTGCTGCTTCTGGGTATGCATATGTAACGGTGGCCTTATGAGTGAGGATTTAATAAAATTAAATCTTCACCAGTTTCTGGATGTGTTGCAAGAACTCCTACTCTCTTACAAAACTCAGAAATTTGCTGAGAAGTTGTTCCTTCTGGAAGATTTTTGACAACAATTGATAATTGGGCGTTTTTATGCTCAACTACTTGAACTGGCTGATTGTTTTCTTCTTTTTTATCGTTTTGATCTGTTTTTGGCTCGTCTTGCTTTTTTTCAATTTGTTCTTGAGGAAGCATGATTTTTCATTTTGTCACTTTTCTAGATAGAATTTGCTTCATCAAAAATCATGAGTAAGTCAATGCTTTTACATACGAATTTGATTGTATTAATCAATCAATAATAATAATAATAAAATTTTTTTAATTGCAACATTAAAACAACACTGATGTCGAGAATCATTCCATGAAATAAAGATGATGAAGTGGTAAAATATGAAGAGCAGTTACTCATTGTAATTTGCACCATGTGAAATAAGAAGTTCGGCTGTTTCTTTACTATTATAAATTATTGTAATATGGAGAGCGGTATTTAGATAATTATTTTTTTCATTTATATTTGCACCATGTGAAATAAGAAGTTCAGTTATTTCTTTCCAATTAAAACGTGCTGCAATATGAAGAGCAGTTTCTCCATCACAGTTTTTTTCATTGATATTTGCACCATGTGAAATAAGAAGTTCAATTGTTTCTTTACTATTATAAACTGTTGCAATATGAAGGGCAGTTTGTCCATATTTATTTTTTTCATTAATATTTGCACCATGTGAAATAAAAAGTTCAGCTGTTTCTCTACCATTACCTAATGCTGCATGATGCAGAGCGGTTTCTCCATCATTAGTTTTTTCATTGATATTTGCACCATGTGAAATAAGAAGTTCGGCTGTTTCTTTATTATTATAAATTATTGCAATATGAAAGGCGGTTTTCCCATGCTTATCTTTTTCATTGATATTTGCACCATGTGAAATAAGAAGTTCAGCTATTTCTTTCCAATTAAAACGTGCTGCATGATGAAGAGCGGTTCTTCCATCACAGTTTTTTTCATTGATACTTGCACCATATGAAATAAGAAGTTCAATTGTTTCTTTACTATTATTCCATGCTGCTTTATGAAGAGCCGTTTCTCCATCATTAGTTTTTTCATTGATATTTGCACCATGTGAAATAAGAAGTTCAGCTGTTTCTCTACCATTACCGAATGCTGCATGATGCAGAGCGGTTTCTCCATCATTAGTTTTTTCATTGATATTTGCACCATGTGAAATAAGAAGTTCAGCTAATTCTTTCCAATTAAAACGTGCAGCAATATGAAGAGCTGTATTTCCATCCTCATCTTTTTCATCGATATTTGCACCATGTGAAAAGAAATATTTGAAAATGGATGAAATATTAAACATCAATGAATAAACAAAGAATTTGCTAATATCATTAGTTTGATCGAAATAAACTAATAAGGATTCAAGATTATAATACTTTCTACAATAATCTAATTTGATCTCTATATTGTATTCATTCATCAAGAAAGTAACAAAATCAATGTTATGTGAAATAATTGCATATTTCATGCATTTATAATTTGGGTCTTGACATTTCAAACATTCACTCATGATCTCTTGATTTCTTCCTAAAAATGAAAATTCTAGACATTGTTGAGTTATTTCTGAGTTAAATTTCGTTCTTAAAAACTTAAAACAATCAAATAAAGAAATATAATAATTGATTGAAATGAAACTTATTGAATAATAAGCCATTTGCCCCAATAAAATCGTCCCTTTTCGAAATACGCATAGCAAAAATCATTATATATAATAACAAAGGGTTGAATTAAATCAATAAATGCCTAATTGTGCTAAAAATAGGCTGTTTTCCAACTGCATGAAAAGAAAACCAATGAATCAAATAACTAATTGATTCGAATAAGCATTCCTCGTTATGACAATATGATATTTTTTGTATTTACCATATAGTATACCAATATATACTTAGAATTTATATCATAAAAAAATAATGCTTTCCAAAGAGAAATTTGTTGAACTTCTTGACAAAATAAAATCACCATTTCATTTCGTAGAATTAGCAAGAGAACTTCTAAAGTCGAAAGGATTCGTTGAACTCGATATATCAAAGAATTGGGAAAATATTCCAGAAAAATTTTTTGTAGTTCGCGAAGAAAGGGAATTAATTGCTGGTCTTTTGAGCAGCAAAGATACTGGAATATTTATAGGAGGCCATATTGATTATCCAGGCTTCAGAATCAAACCAAATACAGAAGAAGTAAAAGACAATCTAGAAATATGCCAAACCATGAAATATGGAGATCCTTTAGATCATACATGGTTTGATCATGACCTTGGAATCGCTGGAATTGTTTCTTATAAAAATAATGATAAAATCGAACAGAAACTTATCAAAACAGGTGCTGTCGCTATAATACCTAACATTTCATGCTATTTACAGAAATCAAGAACTGCAAATCTCCCGCCAATTGTTCCAATATTTGGATCAGCTGATGGATCGTCTAAATTACAAGATATTATTGCTAAGGAAGTTGGATGCAAGCCTGAAGAAATTGTTTCATACGATCTTCGATTTTACGATGTAAATCCAACTTTATTCCCTACATTTGATGGCGATCTCATCGGAGGACAAGGCCTAGATGATTTATGTTGTTCAATACCACTTCTTGATGCATTTGTAAACTACGCTCAGCCAAGAGAAAAATCATGTTTTGTTTGTTTCTACGATAACGAAGAAATAGGATCAGTAACTCCATTTGGAGCTAGATCCGACTTCATTACATCGATTATAGGTCGTCTTGGATTATCACCAACATTTTATGCAAATTCTTATTTTGTTTCAACAGATGTTGTTCACGGACATCACTACCAATATAAAGATATGACAGTTCCTGGTGCTGAATGCATTTTAGGAGAAGGAATTGGATTCATGTGGTCTCCACAAGATGCAACAGCAGCAAACCCTGAACTCTTCGCCCTTGTTGATTCAATAGCTAAGAAGAATAATGTCGTAATTGCAAAATACTTCCATCCTCATGGCGGATATACAATTTCAAGGCATATCGCGCCATCCCTTGGAATAAAGGCTATCGACATCGGTGTACCACTATTAGCTATGCATTCCATCAGAGAATACGGAGCTTTTGTAGATATTCAGAGCTTCCATCGATTAGTTATTTCTTCATATGCAAGTCTTTAATCTCTGTTTTAAAAAACTGGTAAATATTTATATTTTTTATCAAAATATCATGTTTAATTTCGAAAAATATTTTAAATCAAGTAAATATTATGGTAAATCTGCATTTATTGCGTGTAAAACTCATTAATTTAGCATAATGATCAAATCTTATATTCCAAAAAAATCCGAAAGCAATAAAAATATCTCTGAATATTTATGAAATCAATTTCATTTTTTGATTTTACTAATTTTTTTTGAACGAAAAGTATTGTATTCAAAGAATTCCGAATCGTAGAAACTATTTTATAATAAAATACAAATATTATTATTCTATAAATTTGGTATTCGATCAAAAAATTGTTAGGAAATGTGATATTGGATGGTAAAGGTTGTCATAGTTGGCCATCAAGCACTAAAAAATATTAGTTATCAAAAATAAAATTAAAGTAAGTTTGGTAAATGTGTATATGTTTAATATTTGCTGGCTTTTCGAATTCAACAACTATCCATCAGAAGTGTTCAAATAAGAATTCTATTTAAACCTGAAGGGTAGATAACCAAGCTGGAATAGCAACAGCGATGGTCTGTGTGAGGACGAGTCCATAAGCTGGCTTGAGGCCTGGGAAGAGGACTGTAGCGCAGAAAATGAGAAGGAAGACAAAGAAGGCGTTGTTGTAGGCAAGGGAGAAGAAGAGTGGGGAGCCGTTCATCTTCTTTTGAGCGTGGCACCATTTGGCGACGTTACTGTAGGCAATTGTAAGGAGGACGGCGCCAATACCGTATGAGACAGCAAGATAAATCTTATCAGCTTCAATTGTGCAGCCTCCGATAAGAAGGTAAAGAAGGATTGTTAAGCCAGAGAAAATGAGGCCAAATGGGATATATACGACCTGGAAAGATCCAGAGTCGGCCTTCTTGACCTGCTGGGACTTTAAATATTCATACTGCTGATCTTCAGTTTGCATTTCAGTTCAGTCTGACAATTCACGTGTCACTTTTGACAAGTCCAAACACATGACTTTTATGACAATGAGGAGATGAGCGTTTTTATCATCAGAGTAAGTTTATATTTTCTTTTAGTCCAAAATGTCATTCTGAAAGACTCGATTTAAACTTTTTTCTCACGGATGAATTTCAATTTCTGATAAGCTGTCAAAAAACTAAATATTTTTTGTATCCTACGAGCAGTAAAGAATCCTTTTCTCATGAAATATCTTAAAAATAATTATCTCATTGACCAGTTTATAAAAAATATGAATTCTCTTTTCATGCTTGGAGTGGCGATTCCACAATCTAAATCAGTTTGGAAATTCACATATATGATGGATAAGTCAAATTATCTACCACCACCTCCAGTTTTTAAAATTATTGAGCAAAATTCGACTTCATATTTTGTTGATGCTCTAACTTATCCAGAAAATGAAACGAATCCAATGAATTCACTTTACCATACTCTTAGAAGTGGTTTGGATATTAATGAAACTATCCAAAAAATTGAAAATTTATGCGAAAATGGTAATTCACAAGCTTGCCTTGGTTATGGAAGAATTTATGAATTTGGAGCGTTTGGTACCCAAGAGGACCACTCAATAGCACAGAAATATTACTTAAAGGCAGATAAATTAGGGAATAATGCTGCAAAATCTCTTCTTTCATTTTATCACAGAACTTACGAACCACTAGAAATACCAAAATCAGTAGTAGAAAGTAATTTATCTTGGGATTATTTGGAATCTATTTTACCAATAACAAATCAATATTTAGAAGGAAAGTATAGACCTTATTCATGTCCATCCGCGTACAAAACAATATCGCGTGCAGCAGATATTATACCAACTATGTTTATATTCCCAATTCATCGAAATATTCCAAATTCTACAGAATTAGACAGACTATCTAAAAGTAAAGATCCAATTGACATGTATAACTACGCCATGTCCAAGATATTTATTCCATATCCAACAGAGCAAAAAGTCAAAAACGCAATCAAACTTCTAAATAATTCATTTAATAATGGCTACAAACCAGCAATCGGCCCAATTACTACCTTATTAAAATACCAAAATAGTACCAAACTGTTCAATCAATACTTAAATATTGGAGTTAAAATGGGAGATCCAACATCTCTATTACTTAAGGCCGGAGTGTTGCTCGGACACACACAACCACCATGCGTAGAAATTCTTTCATACCTTAGACAAGCTACAAACCAGAATTACGCTCCTGGATTTTTTGAACTTGGCCTTATGTCGTACTACGGCTTATGTGGTGTCGGCCGCAGCAATGTAAATGGCTATATGTATTTTTCTCAGAGTGCTTCGAAGGGCCATTTCCCAAGTATGCTGAAAGTATCTCAACAATTGATCGGCGGAGACGGAGCAGTGGCCAATTGCGACAGAAGTGTTGAGATGCTTAGACAACTGATCGATTACGGACCATGGGTTAGGTTTTTCGATAAATACGTTCAAAGGGGAAGTGAACACGCTTTCCGTAAAATGTTGGACTTAGGATTAACTCCATCAAAGAATTTTCTTTCTTCCAATTCTAAGGACTCAAGAGATGCCAACCAATTTAGTTATGTCCGAAATGCAAGATCTGGAAACGCGACAGCTGCATTATGGCTTGCAATGAACTCTCCTTTGCATGAAGCAGAAGAATACTTCTACAGAATGTCTCAGATGCAACTTGCAGCTCAATCAATTGTTGGTCCAGTCAAATTCTATGTCATGATGAGAGAATTACCAAAGTATATCAAAGAAACTATGCCAGAGGAAGACTCTAAAATACTCGTAGAGTATATCAAACCTCTTGGAGGCTTATTAATAGAATTTATCTTATTTATTACTTTAATAATCTTAATTTCGGTCCGCGTCAAAACAATTCTTCAATAATTATAACTGATTGTAGTTTCTCTCTCTCTATTTTTATTAATTTTTTTGTTTTGTTGGTGATAAATTTTTATTTTCTTATTTTCCTATAGCAGTTTTATTCTTATCAAGACATTTCAAAATGTTATACAACAAATCATCGAATAAGTTAGAAATCCAAATTAATTAATTGATATTACATCATCAATATCGAACATTATACATCAGAATCAAATATACGAAGGAGATACAACAAAGTGTAGCTCACACGAGCTTCATATCCATAGTCATTAAAATTTTTGATTTTAAAATCTAAAGAGAAAGCATTACATTATCAGGCAATTTGCCTTGTTTTCAGCTGCAATATCTAATAATCATCTCCAATATTGTACAAAAATCCTAAAATTTTGTCGGGACACAAGGCACAAAAAAATTTTAGATAGAGAATGTCGAAAGATAAAGCTTCTGAGACAGAGTCTGAAGTAGAACAAGAACAAGGAGGTGAGGAAGGTGATGATTGGCTTGGTGAACCAGATGAGGAAGGTGATAAGGCTCTCGTCGAACGTGAAAAGAAATTAAAAGAACAAGAAGACGAATTTTTCGAAGATATGAGAGAAAATGCAGTTCCGAAGGGTGCATTAGACTTAAATGGTCCTTCTGTTGATTATGATGAAGTCAAACAAAGATGTCAACTCATTGTTGCAACTCTTCAAGACATTAAGAAGCTTGGTGAGCCAGGAATTACAAGATCTGATTATCTCAACAAACTTTTCGACGATCTTCAGCTTCTTTACGGTTACAATCGTTATCTTCTCGAACAAATCGCATCTTTAGTTCCAGTAGCAGAAATTATCGACTTTATTGATGCAAACGAACATCAGAGACCAGTTGTTATCCGTACAAATACACTTAGAACACGCAGAAACGAACTTGAAAGAGTTCTCAGCGAACGTGGTGTTCGTTTAGGTCCAGTTGACAAATGGACTAAGCTTGGCCTTATTGTCTACGATTCCCAAGTTCCAATTGGTGCTACACCAGAGTATCTCTCTGGACATTACATGATCCAGTCTCCATCCTCATTCTTACCAGTTATGGCTTTGAATCCACAACCAGGAATGCGTACTCTCGATATGTGCGCAGCTCCAGGTGGTAAAACAACACACATGGCTCAATTAATGAAAAACCAAGGCGTAATCATCGCAAATGATATCAACAGAACACGCGCTCAAGCTCTTATTGCAAACATTCACAGACTCGGCGTTACAAATACTATCGTTGTAAACTACGATGGCCGTGCTTTTCCAACTGTTATGGGCGGCTTCGATGCCGTTATGTGCGATGCTCCATGCAGTGGCACAGGCGTTATCAGCCGCGATCCCTCAGTTAAGACTAGCAAGAGCGAACAGGATCTCAAAGTTTTGACACAAAATCAGAAAGAAATTATTTTACACGCTTACGATTCTATTTCATCAAAGGGCGGCAAGCTTTGCTACTGTACATGTTCGCTCCTTGTTGAAGAAAACGAGGCAGTTGTAGACTATCTCATCAACAACAGAAAATGCAAGGTAATTCCAAGCGGCCTTGACTCAGACTTCGACCAGGACCTTGCAGAAGGTATCGTAAACTACAAGGGCCACCATTTCCACCCATCTGTTCAGTTATCAAGAAGAGTTTATCCACACAGATTAAACATGGACGGTTTCTACTTCGCCCTCATCGAGGTTCCTCCAGGACCAAGAGGACCAATTCCTGACCCTGATGAGAAGAAGAAGGAGGAAAAACCAAAACCAAAGACAGAAACAGAAAAGAGAGCTGAAAAGAGGGCTAAGAGATCAAAGAAGGTAAAGAAGTTTAGCAAGAGATTCGGTGGAAAATAAAGATTTTTATTAGAGATGATTTATTTATATATATATAAAATTTTATTATACAATTTATTTTAATTACCAAAACATTTTTTTTCTCTTTAACTACAAAACTTAAGAATTTCTTAATACATTTTTCCTAATATTGAATATTGAAAAATATGAAAGAAATCAATTGTAATCAAATTGACCTTCTTAACATTCTAAAAATGAATATTTGAATTGATAGCATATATGTTAGCATGAAATAAAAGTAAAACCAGGTATTTTGAATTTGAAATCAGAACATCATAGTATAGTTTACTGATAACAATTGAAGTATTTTACATGTGTATTCCAAATGCTCTATTATCTTTGAGAAGATTTTATAATTGAAAGGGAGAGATTTTGTGTCTGCAAAAAAATCAAAGGATTTTTGGTCAGAATCTTATGTCAGTTCAAAATGAGGAAGTTGAAGCCCCAGAGATACCGGAAACACCGGATTATCGCAGAGTAGCAATTCCACCCAACAGAAGGACATATCTTAAAAACAATTTTCCACAAATAACAGAGCCAATTATCAAATACTTAAAACTTGATCTTAGATACAATAGTAGAAAAGGATGTGTTGAGTTAAGAACAAATGCACTCACATCAAATCCAAATGCTATGACAAAAGCTATAGATTTTCTTACAGCTATTAATGCCGGTTTCGAAATCGCAGATGCACTCGCTTTAGTTCGTTTAGAAGATATATTTATGGATGTTTTCGATGTTACAGATATCAAACTCATTGAAGGAGATAATCTTTCACGTGCTGTTGGCCGTATCGCAGGAAAAGGTGGCCAAATTAAGTTCACAATTGAAAATGCTACACATACACGTATATCTTTAACTGGTACAAAGGTTCATATTCTCGGTTCTGTCAATAATGTTAAAATGGCACGCCGTGTGATCTGTGATCTTGTTATGGGCTCACCAGCTAATAAGATTTACTCTAAACTTCGTAACTTCCAGGCTTGGCAAAAGCGCCAGGGCTAAATTTTTATTATTATATTATAGAAATAAAGATTTCTTATCATATTATAATTTACGTTAATTATATACTGTATTTCTAACTTATGCTTCCTAAGATTAGACTATAAATGAGTTTTATGTTTTAAGAAAACTCATATAAAAATTTCTTTGTTTTTTCGCGATGAATTAATTATTTTGATTCAGTATGAATAAACTATTATATACTATAGTCCATATGGATACATAAAACTATTGAGAATTTCATTTATGACTTTTATGTGAAGAGATAAAAGCAATTCAGTTTCCCTTTAAGACTGATATTAGAGGCAAAATATAAATATTTAGTATTAATATAAGAATTATTTGCACTGAAATCTGAAATAGGCTAATTCGTTCAGACAGATTTAAAATAATCTCTTACGTCGCTTTTTGCAACTGAGAGTGCGGTGCTTCCATCATTATTCTGTGCTTCTTTATTAACTCCAATTGAGATAAGGTACTTAACAACCTCAAGATGACCATTTTTTGATGCCTTAATGAGTGGAGTATCTCCATCTTTATTCTGTGCTTCTTTATTAGCTCCAATGGAGATAAGGTATTTAACAATTTCAAGATGACCATTAAATGATGCGCAAATTAGTGGAGTATTTCCTTGATCACCAGTTGCTTCTTTATAAGCTCCAATAGAGATAAGATATTTAACAACTTCAAGGTGACCATATCTTGATGCATAAACGAGTGGAGTATAATCATAATAACTTCTTGTTTCTTTATCACAGCCACCTTCAATGAGAGATTTGATAAGTTTGAGATTTCCTCTTTCACTTGCTACATGAAGTACATTAATTTCATCAAGCTTCACTTTGTTAGAGATCTTCTTCCAAAGTCCTTCTTCACATGATTTAGAAATCATTTTTCGATTTCCTTGAGATGAAAGCTCATCAAGGAAATTGTATATACTTTTGAAATCATCTGATTCCTTTAGCTCTTTAATTTTTGATAAAATTGTTTCATCGATTTGATTGGTGTTACTTTCCATTTCATTGAGTTTTTCTTTTAATTTGTTGCTTTCTTCATTGATTTGATTGAGTTGAGATTGAAGTGATTGTATTTCGTTGTCACTTTTTTGTTTTTGAATTTCGTTTAGCTCTGTTTGAAGTTTTTGGATTTTCTCTGTAGAATCAGATATTTCTTTTCCTTTGTTATCTAAAAAGTCAACAATACCATTAAGAATTCCGAGTTTCATATACTTTTTGATTGATTTCAGTGTTGAAATAACATCTTCAAAGTTTTGAATATAAATATTGGCGTTTCGAGTACAAGCATATAATTTCTATGCATTTATAGTAGGATGTGACTGCTCAAGAAGAGCAATGAAGTCATTTGCTGTTAAATTTGAAATTTTTATGATCTTTTTGATGGCTTCTATTTCAAATACATCAAAGAAATTACCTTCTTCAATATATTCACTGATATGAGAAGCAATATATTCATAATTTTGAATAATACCTTCACTCATCGAAATTGGGAAATTGAAACTTTACAAATTATGAATTCAATTCACACCAAATACCTCCACCTGGGGAATATTACATCCCCACTTGCAGTAATGAATTAGATTTTTTAGAGTAAATTTAATCAAACACCAAATGAATTAAGTCCAGTTGAGAAAATAATGCAATAATTATTTTTAAATTTTCTTTTGCTCACGTTACTATATAGATTTTATAGAATGAATATTCCTGAATGAATTATTTCAATACAATACTCTAATTTGAAATATTTGGTATTTGAGTTTTTGAATTCCGATTAATCTAATGAGTTCTTATATAACCAACACACATGTGATCAGATGGATATAGGGAATTTTCAATCACACATGAATCTATATGTAGGCTTTTTACAAAATTCCAACAGAGCTCAAAAAATGATAAAAAGTAAACAAATCATAATCCGAATTTACATAAAGAAAACAAAATAATAGAAAAAGTATCAAGCAACTATTATGTATATATATTCTCACTTTTTAATAGTAGTTCCTCTTCTTAAGACTTTTGAACTTCAAGCCGACCACAGAGCTCAAAAATGAGAGGTTTTGAATAGTTGCACTATCAGTTTTTTTTTATTTAATTTTTGGTCCCTGTCGAACAAGAATTTGAGAAAATTGATAAAGTAAACCTGGGACCGAAAAACGAATCATAATAATCTGTATTTATATAAAGAAAACGAATCATAATAATTCGTTTAGCAAGTAGCTCGCATTTAAAATAAAGTAAACAAATCATAATAATTTGTATTTATTATAAAGAAAACAAAAAATAACAAAAAATATTTCTAAGAATTCTTTGCAAGATCAATGAAATCCAATGCTCTTTTAGAAATAAACATATCATCACAAATGACAGCCTTTTTCAATATTCGTATTGTAAACTTATTATTCATATCAATGTTGACATTCGTTTTCAGATTACTTAGAGAACTTTCGCAGAAATCCAAGAAAACGCTGAAGAAGTCATTATCATACAAATCATTCAAAATAATTCTTCTGTTGATGTATTTGAACAAATCTCTCTTGTACCACATCTTGAATCTCCTTCCTTCTTGTGCTGTGTAAGGAGGCTCTCCGCAGAAGTAATTAACATTGAAAACAAGAAGTTTCAATGCATAGAAAATGAATTTGTAGAAATTCAACCAACTTTGTCTTTCTTCTTCGTTTTCTAAATCTGGTTCGAATTTCAAAACAGAATCAATGATTCCAACAAGACGATTGATCATATCTACAGGAGCTGAATCACCATAACTATATACAGCAGCACCTAACGCAGCAACAACTTCGCCTTGGAAGATGCCAACAATGTCAGAACTGCTGTTTTCTATCAAATCAAACAATTTTTTGATGATTTCGTCTGTTTGAGAAATCAAATCTTGATCATTAACGACAATGTACTCGAAAAACATTCTTGCAGTCTCCGTCGCTTGTTTAACTAGCGAAGGATCTTGAGAATGAAGGTATTCACTGATTTTTTCAATGAAAAGTGATGAATAACTTTTCATTAAATTTGGAATTCTTTGGAAAAGTGTGTTAAATGAGATATTTAACATGAAAAGGAGCTCAGAATCAGCACAATTAAAGAATGGGCGCATGTTTTCCATGAAATTAGATAAAACAGACTGATCATTTTCAACAAATTTCAAAATTGTTATGGATAAGTTCTCAAAAGAAGTACTTAGAACTGAAACTTGGTATATATCAAGTGGCGGCTCTGCTTCTTTGATGAAATCATTGATGAATCCATCATAATATACGTAAAGTTCCTTTGAATCAGAAACAGATATTTGGTCATCCTCAAAAATGATCGGTTTGAGGACTTTGTCGATTGTTGATTGGATAAGAGGAACATTTATCTCCTTCCTCATGTTCAAAAGAAGTTTTTGTGTTGTAGAATATAACCCACTTTTGTTTTTCGGGTGTAAAGAGGACACAAACTGGGCCATGAGCTTCAGACAATCAACAGTAAGAGTTGTATTCTTGTATATCAGTGTTCCTTCCAATGTTTCAAGAAGATAATTTAGGAAATCCAAAGAAACAAGTGCTATTGAGTACTTTTTCAAGGCAGCGATCATAAATATCATTGTTCCACCAGATAATATAGTGATATCTGATCTCATATATTCAAAAAATATCTGTTTGTTCCGAATAATGAATGTGAAAACTTGAGAATACTGAAAAACAGAGGAAAGAGACTCTAAAATAAGAATTGCTCCATAGTTATCTGTCCATTCACTACTATTAAGAAGGTTTTCAACTATTTCAAGTAACGTTATTAGATAATTTGGCGTCATTACAATAAGATATCGCAATGCCATGGTTGCTGAGTAAGATATCGAGTAATCGTTACCAACACCGATATCAGTGGAGTTCTTATCGATGGTTATGATATGAGTTATAAGCTGATTCAACACTCCTTCTGAAGATAAAATATTCATCGAAATATTTTGAGGGATAAATGATGATTCACATGGTGTTTTCTCTGGATTTCGTCCATAATCTAAGATCATGAGGCGATTGCTGGAGTCGTATAAAAAGAAACTGCGATTTTTTTCTAAATACAAAGAATACTCGTAAAAAGCAATTTCGTAGATGCAATCAAGGGTTGCGATGAGATAATCGCCAGGACATGATAAGCCATTGGTAATAATATTGATGAAAAGTGGAAGATTTAAACCAAATGGAATTTTTTGAGTGTAACTGCATCTGGCTATGACTGCCAATGTATCGTATGTAATTCTGAAGAGCTGTTCGGATGATTCTGGTAGCCAAAGAACACATGCAGAGAGAAAATTTTTCACATTTTCAGATGAAGAAGAAAAGCGGCCATTACATTGAGTATCGGTATAGTAAATGGCGCATACAGCGTTGAAAAGTAATTCTTCGTAAGTTTCTGAGCTTTTAATGTTATTGATGAAATCTTCTGATAAAATAAATGATAATATTTGAATAAACGACATGTATTGCTCTCTATGATAGTTTGGATCTTTCCAGAACTTGCAATCTGCTAATTCTTTGTAAATAATAATGGTTTGTAAATATCTGTTTGGATTTCCTTCATTTTCAATGTTATTATGTATCAGCTCGTCAAAGACTTCTTGAAAATCGAACTCTGATCCTTCTGTTGGCCTCCCAGGACAGGAAACAAGCATTTGAGCACAAATATTACAGGCTAATCTAGCGATATCAGCATTTTCTGAGTAAGCATTTTCAAATGCTAGCTGGAATAAATCCATTTGCTCTTTACCAAATTCTCTTATTATTGACTGTTTATTTTCATATGGCATTGAAATTAAAACAGTAAAAGCTCTTTTCAAAATAACAAATACATAGTATCTGATATTGTCTGCTACTTCCGATCTTAGTATAAAATCTAGAATAATTACGAGTTCTATAAAATTATTTCTAAAAAAATCTTCAAAAACGCCAGTAACTTGTTGAATTTCCTCATTATTTGATTGTGCTGCTAGAACATTGACCATACCGAGAACAGCTTGAACTTGTTCATTGAAATTGTCTTCAGACATCTAAAAAAATTTTTTTTGGAAAAATATTTTTCAAAAAAGTGACAGAACAAGCAATCAACAAAAAAACAGATTAATTTGATATGACGTAAGAAATAGAGTATATTTCTTAAATTCAAAAGGTATGTTTCAAAATTATTTCATTTTCTAATAATTCGTTTATGTTACTGATATTATTGCTTCTAGGCAAAGCTGTAGCTACAGATAATGCTAAATATTTTTCTTCTTCAAGTTCTAATGATGAACAAGGAAATAATGAACAAAAAAATCAAAGATTTGATGAAATACCACTGAACAAAGAATCTATTGATAACATAAATCAAAATGAAGATGACGGACAAGTTTCAATGGATGATATATTGAAATTGCAAAGAGAAAAACAACTTCAAAATAAACAACACGAAATTGCAAAAAATGAACAAAAAGAAACACATGACACAAATACAAATCATCAAAATACACAAAATGAAGCAAAGGAACAACATCAAAAAGAAAAATCAGATGGAGATTTTGATCCTGCTGAATTTAACATACCAATTATCGATCCAGATGAAGAAGATTACGATGAAGAACTTACTCACGAGAAAATTAAAAAGCTTCGAAAACAAAAAGCGAAATTAGGAGTTCAAATCCTTCCATTCGGCGAATCATTCCATCACGAAACAAAGAAAAACGAAACAGTTAAGGAAGTATACGACGAAGAAGCTGAATATTTAGATACAATTCAATTTTACCCTCCAGACTCCGAAATGTACGATGAACAGAAGTTTAATACTTGCGAAGGACCAAATACAATTCGAATTCCAGACGGATCTTGCAAATGTTCACCTGGATTCGAATTCGGAGATCCCGCAGCAGAAAATGGCTGCTGGTCATGCGAAAGCAAATGCCATAGAGATGCTACATGCCATTACAGTGGGAAATGTCTCTGTAAAAACGGTTTTATCGGTGATGGAATTCATTCTTGCAAAAAAGTTGTTCCAAGCATCAAAGAAATCGTTCCTACGAAGGGAAGACATATAGGCGGAGAGCAAATCCGCGTCTTTTATAAAGCAGATTCTTCAACAGAAACAATTTCTTCAATTTATTGCAAATTCGGACAAGATATCATTGAAGGACAAGTTGAAACCAATGACTCAGCACTTTGCATAACTCCAAGAGGCGAAGGCGATTCAAATACAGATTTTCAGATATCATTTTCAGGAAATGATTGGAGTAATACTGTTAAATTCAATTTCTACAATGAGACTACTAAGATACGTCGGAAAGTTATATACGGATCTATAGTTTTCATAATTGTAGTTATTTTGTCTTTGCTAAAGCGAAGAGTTACAAATAACGCATCAGGAGAACAAAGACCATTCTTATATGTCAAAGAATAAAATTTCTGTTAATGCTTGTTTGTTTAAAAATTACAAATCTTCAATTTTTTTTTCTGAACCAATTTTGACGGCAAAAATCAAAATTTGACACCTCTCAATTATAAAATGATCATTATTTCTTTTAATAATTGTAACAAGTATGAAATACTGAAAGATATATATCTTGTCACTTTTGAAAATCTTATTTTTATAATAAATTTTTAATGCTTTTTGCTCTATTTATAAGCTTTCTTTCTGCCAGAACATATGCAAAAAGAGCATTACGTTTATCTCCTTATGATAAATCATTGAGAATGCGTTATCAGATCCAGCATTCCAAATACCCAGCCCACGTACAAAATTGGGGATCACGATTTGATCGAACAGTCAGCATTCATCCTCCAAATTCCTGCATATATAGGAAACATCTAAATTTTGGAAATCAAAAAGAAGATTTACCAAACTGGGATTCTCCATACTCACGTGGTGTAGGGGGTAAACCAAGAAATCCTCCAAAATACTTAGAAACAAACAAATTCATTAAATACGAAAATCGAGAAGAAGATTTACCAAACTGGGGTTCTCCTTATGAACGTGGTGTAGTAGGTAAACCAAGAAATCCTCCAAAATACTTAGAAACAAACAAATTCATTAATCACGAAAATCAAGAAGAAGATTTACCAAACTGGGGTTCTCCTTATGAACGTGGTGTAGTAGGTAAACCAAGAAATCCTCCAAAATACTTAGAAACAAACAAATTCATTAATCACGAAAATCAAGAAGAAGATTTACCAAACTGGGATCCTCCACATTCACGTGATGTAGGGGGTAAACCAAGAAATCCTCCAAAGTACTTAGAAACAAACTGGTGGCCTGCACATGAAGGCAATCTTATATTCAGACAATGGTTCCCCTAAATACTTGGAAACTAATTATTACCTAATAGGACACCCTTGCGGAGCGAGTTATGAATTTATTCCAAAATATGATATTTATTTTTGTCACAAGTAAAAAAAAAGCAAAATGAAATCAATAATATTTATTTATAGATTAAAAAGAAACCGATATATTTACTAAATTCCAAATATTTCAAAGTTGGAATGTGAACAATTTGTAGTTTGATGATTCATTATGGATCAATATTTATGTTTTGTAATGATGCCCCTTTTCAGCTACTTATTTCACTTATATTTGTTCTAATTAGTAAATTATAACTTGTACATTGAAAGGCAGGTGTTTTTGAGATGACTGAAGAAATATAATTTGTAAATGTAAGATATCTCTTCGTTCAAAACCTTGGAATCAGAATTTAGTTGGTAGAAATGTTGCATATATTGGAATTTTATACATATTTCAATTCTTATTTCAACATGATCATATATCACATATATTTTACAACAGAGGTCACTTTTTGAGTGTCAAAAAAGAGGGCCTCCCCTTTTGTGCCAATTCAGCTTTAAGTTTAGATTCTTCTTTTTTAAGTGAATCAATTTTGAGTGAAGCTTCGTATTGGGTTTTGATTCTGTAGTAACGTTCTTCTTGCTCTTCTAACTTTTTGATATCATTTGTAAGTATAGCGTTCTGATCTTTAATGTTACTTAATTTCTTTTTCAATTCAGCGAGCGATTTATCATATTCTTCTTTAGAAATATTGATTTTTTCAGAGCACTCATCATAAAATCTGTTTATTTGAGATATTCTTGTGTTCATTTTTTCTAAATATGAATCATCTAAAACTTGTAGTGCTGCTCTTGAAGAAATACAATTAGCTAAATGAATGCGTTTTCTTTTTATGAGATTTGCATTTTCTCTATCCCAATTAACTAATCGAAACATTTGTTCTGATGAAATTAATCTTTGTTTCCGTCTTAGCTCTTCAATCATCATGTTTTCAGTCGAAGGTGAGTTGAAAAATTCATCCAATAGTTTTATATATTCTTTGCTTCTTTTATTCTCCATTGAGTTATTATTTTTTTTTTGGCGGGGAAAATATTTCTTTATGATAAATATATATTGCATTTTATAGATAACATATCTTATGTTAAAAATTTAATTTATTGCTTTTTTTATCGGATTTACTGATTAATTTTTTTTTCTAGTGAAATCAAATGGCAGAAAGAATTCTTAATAAACTTACTAATAAAGAAGGAAGTGATGGTCCAGGCATTCTTAACAGAATCACTCAAAGCCAGGCTTCCGAAGCTGAGAATTTCCTGAAAAAAATGAGTGCAGCACAATTACCTGACTGTGATCAAGCTGAAATCACAAATGCATTATTCTATATACAAACAAACATAAACCAATCCTATTTCTCCAAACTCTCAATGCAAGATGGAGAAAAAGTATTTACCGAGATTTGGAAATTCCTACTTTTTGCTGCAAACCACAATGCTAGTAACATTAGATTAACATCTTATAGATCTACTGGCTTATTTTTACTCAAAATAACTCCTTATTTCACGAGATCTATTTGGAGAACGTTCTCAGACATCGCTATGCAATCAACCATCGACATCAAGAGCTCCGCCATTTTGGCTTCTTCATTTGCCTTCATAGCAAATCAAATTCCGCTTCATACTTTAGAAAAATTCTGCGATACAACTCCTATTTTCCACCACTTTACGATTTCTGATCCCATATTTTCAGAGCATCTTGCGTCTATTATTTCTAAACTTAAGAGAATGGGCTTAGAATGGATGCAAACTCTCTTACATTCATTTTTGAAAATTATTTCAGTTAAAAACGACCGCTTTTTATTCAAATCATTATCCGCGATTGTTACTCACTTCCCAGATGTATTAATGAAGGAAGTTATCGAGTTTGTTCTTCGCGAAGAAGAAGCAACAAAATTCATTCCTTTAATTTCATTTATTCTTAGCTCAGTCATCAACATTAATACCGACAGCATCGATCTTTCAGGAATATCCTTACTTTGCATTGATATTCTCAAGAATGAGCAAAATCATATTCAAGCCGAGATAGATTCATCATTTCAGATCTTAGGAGTATCATCACAATCATTCAACGTCAATTTCGAAGTCAAAGATTTCACAAAACTCGAAATTACTGTTAATACAATTTCAAATTCAGAAAATGTCACATTAGATATCCTTAAATACCGTAATATTCCAGCATTTTACAACATGAGACTTCCTTTACAGATTCTTCGTCCTAATCTCGATGACGGATCATTAATTGTTCAAACGAAAATCAAAACATTGGGATACATTGCGAAAGAAAACCAAGAAGAATACGTCAAAATATTATTTGACAGTCTTAACGAGAATAACGATGATAGACAAGCATCATGTTGTGCATCTCTTTCATTATGTATCAATAAACTCGAGTCAAATTTGGAATTAAGTCAATTATTTGCACAACTTGTTTTAACGAAACAAACATCATGGTTTAAATCATTAAATGTATTGAATCTTCTTTCTGAAACGAATGCAAACACTGTAGAGAAACTTGTAGGAATAAATGGAATTAAGAAAGTCATAGGAATATTATATGATTTAAGTTTCAACCAGAATGACAAAGTTTATCAACTTTCTCCAAATGTTTTGAGCAAATTTATTAGACCTAAAGATTATTCATTTGTTTTAATGAAAATTGCAAATAACATTGATTATTTCGATCTCGATTCTTTCCGCCGCTCAATTAATTTATTGACAATCATTGTTAGAGATCATCAACAAGACATTGATTTGAAGTTTTTTCGACTTTTTAATTGTTTCTATTGTGAAGGTTTAGATTATTTCAAAGAAGAAATCTTAATTTAATATATCAAACATCTTTATGTTCTTAAGTTACTTTGATTTGTCCTTCTTAAGTAGGTCTCAGTCAAGTTCATTAGCTCTTTTCGCTTTGGATATTGCTGCCGCAGAATTACATTTGATTAATGGTCAAAAACCTGATTTCGGAAATTCTTCAACTGTTTCTGAATTAATTAATATTCTTGATAGCGATCTTCAATCAAAGAACTTCGATATCATCTCTGGACAAGATACAGACCATGAATCTTATTTAAGCAGTTTGTTTTCTGTTGTTAAACTCTTTAATTCACTTCCAAATGATTGTTGCTATCTTCCTAGCCAACTTAATCTTGCAAATGCATTAATTAAGATCTTTCCTCATGAATCAGCTCGTCTTTACGAGAAATTATGGAAATCAATGACAGAAAACGAACAATCAACAATCTTGTCAACAATTTCCCCCTGTCTTGCAACAATGAAAGATTTTGGAGCCATTGCAATTTGGGCTTATCTTTTGTTGACAAAATTACCAGATTCTGCTTCACGTTTTATTCAAGCACGTGATGTAATTCATAAGCTTTCATACTACGCACTTCACATTTGGAAGTTGTTCCTGATGGTGTTTTGTTTGTTTTCGTAAGATACGAAGCAACTGTTGTCGCAGAAATTTCGACAATTACTCCTTTAATTTGGCAAATTCCTGAAAACAGAAGAATAGAATGCTAAACAAACTGTTGAAAGACCATCCTGATGCTTATAGGAGATTAATGGGTGATCAGCCACCTCCTTATATTGCTGAGGAAATCAAATCTGTTTCGGATAATCCTGTTTTGAATGTTGAATACAATGTTAACATGAGTAATGATTTTACAAGTGATTTGACATCACCTCACATCATTACACAATTACGGAGTAATTTATATGAGTTCCAAAAGATGTTTTACAATCACTTGCATTAACATATTGTCGTTTTAGTAATAATGTTGGATTACGTGCACTTTTGAATTACGCAACTAAATCCAAAGTTAATTTAGACTTTAATCCACATTATATTCCACATTCTCTTCTTCTATGGTTATACAATATATCCGTATCATTAAAGATCCATTTGGACCATCATTTGTTTCGGAATGTTTGAAACTATCACATTCCAAAGAAGTTTGTATTACATCTGCAACAGTTATTCCACAAACATTCATTAATTGTGTTTCTGGAGATAGAATCACTAAGAAAGGAATCACAAAAGTTTTATATGCGATTTCTAAAGTTGCTCTTCCAAAAGAAAGTGTTTTTGAATTTGTTATTAAGTGTTTGGATCCAAACACACCTCCTAAACGATATCTAACATCTTTGACACTTGCAACAGTTGCTTGTTCATTAATACCAAAAATAGAAGGAAGCTGGATTGATCAAATCATTTCCAAACTGAAAACAAATGAAAATGAAATTAATTTGTCAGTTTTAACTCGTTTCGTTTATTCCGCTGTTTCAAAAGTTCAACAAACAGTTCGTTGAACGAATTCCTTCGAACAAAAATTTGTGAAAACGTCGTAAGAACACACTCGAAAGCTGTATCTCGTCATTGAGTCTTTTATGTATCGAAACAAACCAAAAGTCATTGGAAAAAATTTATGACAACACACAGAATTATTTGACAGGAATTACTCCTTCACTTTTCTCTACGGTGTCAAATTTTTGAACATGATCTTAACGAAATCGAAAGATTCTAGTCTTGATAGTTTGATGAAGAAACAACAAGCTGAATCAAGTCATGCAAAGAGTCAGTGAATTTGACAAGATTCCATTCATCCACGAAAATGTTGTTTTGTTTTATTCTAATATCATGACAAGACAAACATTGTCAAGTTACCAGAAACTCCTTATTAAATCATTCGATCAAATCATCCCAGTTCCTTCTTCACCTTCATTCCCAGCGATGTCCGTTTTGATTCCGAAATTGATTGCTGGCGGTGACCAGGAAATACAAAAGAAATGTTTGACATTTTCAGAAAAATTGATGACGAAACCTGCATCTCTTTTCTTGATGCGATGCCAGATCCAAATCATCAGAGAGATTGCAACTAAAATGTCAACATACGAAACATTTATTTTAGACAGGTCTACAGAATTTCTTTACAAAGCACACAAAATCGATGGACCTTCTATGGCAGATATTTTGTATGAATATATTTCATTTATTACTGAATCATTAGGTTTCAGTGATGGTGTCCAGTTTGTAGTTTTGCAGTTCCACAAGTATATTCCTCGCTTTATCTCATTGTTTGTTGCTCTTGCAAGGTTGTACAGCCGCGTTGACGAAGAAAAGAAGAAACATTTTATCACTTCTTCGAATGTTCTTTTCGTCAATGCGCATAAAGTAGCTATTGAGTGCATTGGAAATAAACATAAGATGGCAGAAGCCTTAAGTTGGCATGTTATGAAGAGGATTGTGCAGAAAGTAACGAAATCATTGGAAGAATTCGTAAAATGTAAAATAAAGCATTTTTATTTATTTTTTTATTTATTTTTTTTTATTGTTATTCAATCTAAATAATTTCTCATTGTGTTTTCATATGTAATATCAAGTATGTTATTTCCATCATTATTATAAATATCAATGGAAACAAGATATTTAAAAACTTCAAGATAATCTTTATCTGATGCAACAATGAGTGAGGGATATCAGAAAAATTACCTTTTTCTATAGTTCTACACAGAAAGAAATGTATAATATGTCTTTAGATGTCTTCTTCATAAAATTTTCAAAGTGTTAAGGGTGCACTTACCACTTTCTGACATACGCTTTAAAACACAATATATCTTTATTTTTACAGCAGAAATGTATACACGTCCATTTATGCACTTATTATGATTTATAGTTACTTTTTCCCGACCGAAAATATTAACTCTTGACAACATAAAATTGGGATCAAAAGCTAGAGATTCAAAAAAATTGAGTGAATGTCTGAAAGCGGTAAGTGCAGCCTTAAAGTTTATAATATAAGTTTTTTAAAGAATGTTAGCAACGGCGTGAAGCATCATTGAAAATATTAATCGATGAAACAATTATTGTATTCTTCTTAGTTCAATAAAATTTCAAATAATCTCTTACTTCACTTTTTGCAAAGTCGAGTGCAGTTCTTCCACCATTATCCTTTGCTTCTTTATCAGCTCCATTAGAGATAAGATATTGAACAACTTCAAGATGACCATTAGCTGATGCAGAAATGAGTGGAGTCCATCCATCATTATCCTTTGCTTCTTTGTTAGCTCCAACAGAGATAAGATATTGAACAACTTCAAGTTCACCATTATATGATGCAGAAATGAGTGGAGTACATCCATCATTATCCTTTGCTTCTTTATCAGCTCCATTAGAGATAAGATATTGAACAACTTCAAGATGACCATTATCTAATGCCCAAATGAGTGGAGTATTTCCATCATTATCCTTTGCTTCTTTATCAGCTCCAACAGAGATAAGATATTTAACAACTTCAAGATGACCATTAGCTGATGCAGAAATGAGTGGAGTCCATCCATCATTATCCTTTGCTTCTTTATCAGCTCCATTAGAGATAAGATATTTAACAACTTCAAGATGACCATTATCTAATGCCCAAATGAGTAGATTCCATCCATCATTATCCTTTGCTTCTTTATCAGCTCCATTAGAGATAAGATATTGAACAACTCCAAGTTCACCATTATCTAATGCCCAAATGAGTAGATTCCATCCATCATTATCCATTGCTTCTTTATCAGCTCCAACAGAGATAAGATATTGAACAACTTCAAGTTCACCATTATCTAATGCCCAAATGAGTGGAGTATATCCATCATTATCCTTTGCTTCTTTATCAGCTCCAACAGAGATAAGATATTGAACAACTTCAAGTTCACCATTTCTTGATGCAGAAATGAGCGGAGTATATCCATCATTATTCTTTGCTTCTTTATCAGCTCCAACAGAGATAAGATATTGAACAACTTCAAGATGACCCTTTTGTGATGCTTTAATGAGTGGAGTAGATCCATTATTATTCTTTGCTTCTTTGTTAGCTCCAATAGAGATTAAATATTGAACAACTTCAAGATGACCCTTTTGTGATGCTTTAATGAGTGGAGTATATCCATCATTATTCTTTGCTTCTTTATCAGCTCCAACAGAGATAAGATATTGAACAACTTCAAGATGACCCTTTTGTGATGCTTTAATGAGTGGAGTAGATCCATTATTATTCTTTGCTTCTTTGTTAGCTCCAATAGAGATTAAATATTGAACAACTTCAAGATGACCATTAGCTGATGCTTTAATGAGTGGAGTAGATCCATTATTATTCTTTGCTTCTTTATCAGCTCCAACAGAGATAAGATATTTAACAACTTCAAGACGACCATTACTTGATGCATAATCGAGTGGAGTACATCCATCATTATCCTTTGCTTCTTTATTAGCACCAATAGCGATTAAATATTTAACAACTTCAAGATGATCACTACCTGATGCATAAGTGAGTGGAGTATCTCCATTTTTGTCTTTTGCTTCTTTGTTAGCATCCATAGTGATTAAATATTTAACAACTTCAAGATGACCATTTTGTGATGCTTTAATGAGTGGAGTAGATCCATTATTATTCTTTGCTTCTTTGTTAGCTCCAACAGAGATAAGATATTTAACAACTTCAAGATGACCATTACTTGATGCAAAATGAGTGGAGTACTCATCATTATCCTTTGCTTCTTTATCAGCTCCATTAGAGATAAGATATTGAACAACTTCAAGATGACATACTGATGCAAAATGAGTGGAGTCCTCCAATTATCCTTTGCTTCTTTATCAGCTCCATTAGAGATAAGATATTGAACAACTTCAAGATGACCATTACTGATGCAGAAATGAGTGGAGTCATCCAATTTATCTTTGCTTCTTTATCAGCTCCATTAGAGATAAGATATTGAACAACTTCAAGATGACCATTATCTGATGCAAATGAGTGGAGTATATTCATATTATCCTTTGCTTCTTTGTTAGCTCCAACAGAGATAAGATATTGAACAACTTCAAGATGACCATTTCTTGATGCAAATGAGTGGAGTAGATCCAGCATTATCTTTGCTTCTTTATCAGCTCCATTAGAGATAAGATATTTAACAACTTCAAGATGACCTTCTGATGCAAATGAGTGGAGTAGATCCATATTATCTTTGCTTCTTTATCAGCTCCAAGAGATAAGATATTTAACAACTTCAAGATGACCATTACTGATGCAAAATGAGTGGAGTATCCATTATTATTCTTTGCTTCTTTATCAGCTCCAACAGAGATAAGATATTGAACAACTTCAAGACCATTACTTGATGCATAATGAGTGGAGTACATCCATCATTATCCTTTGCTTCTTTATTAGCCAATAGCGATAAATATTGAACAACTTCAAGATGACCATTTGATGCATAAATGAGTGAAGTATCTCCTTCAATATCCTTTGCTTCTATCAGCTCCAACAGAGATAAGATATTTAACAATTTCAATATGGCCAATAAACGATGCATAATTGAGTGGAGTCAAGCCACGTGAACTCTTTGTACCTTTATCACAGCCGCATTCAATGAGAGATTTGACAAGTTTGAGATTTCCTTTATTACTTGCTACATGAAGTACATTCCTTTCATCAAACTCATCACCATCATCTCGAAAATGTACAGTAGTTGTCTTCTTCCAAAGTCCTTCTTCACATGCTTTTGAAATCATTTTTCGATTTCCTTGAGATGAAAGCTCATCAAGGAAATTGTAGATACTTTCGAATCATCTGATTCCTTTAGCTCTTTAATTTTTGATAAAATTGTTTCATCGGCTTGATTGGTGTTACTTTCCATTTCATTGAGTTTTTCTTTTAATTTGTTGCTTTCTTCATTGATTTGATTGAGTTGAGATTGAAGTGATTGTATTTCGTTGTCACTTTTTTGTTTTGGAATTTCGTTTAGCTCTGTTTGAAGTTTTTGGATTTTCTCTGTAGAATCGTATATTTCTTTTCCTTTGGAATCTAAAAAGTCAACAATACTATTAAGTATTCTGAGTTTCATGTACTTTTTGATTGATTTCAGTGTTGAAATAACATCTTCAAAGTTTTGAATATAAATATTAGCATTTCGAGTACAAGCATATAATTTATTTGCATTGATAGTAGGATGTGACTGCTCAAGAAGAGCAATGAAGCCATTTGCTGTAAAATTTGAAATTTTCATGATCTTTTTGATGTCTTCTATTTCAAATACATCAAAGAAATTACCTTCGTCAATATATTCACTGATATGAGAAGCAATATGTTCATAATCTTGAATATGAGCTTGACTCATCCAAATGAGAAAATGAAACTTTACAAATTAAAAATCCAACAAAAAAAATAAATTAAATTCAATTTAAAAAAAAAGTAATTGCTACTAAGCTTTTCTATTTATTAGATCAAGTGTTTTAACTTAAATGCCATAAATTTCAATTCTCTACATTAATATAAAACACTTTTAAAGAGACTCAGAAAAATTGAGATGAAAATGAGATTTATCGTTTTCGCCTCAGTTTCAAGATAAAAATCCAACATAAAATTAAAATTAATATTTATTATTAAAAGAAGTTAATAAAATAAATTTATATTGAACGTCGGATTTAACTTCAAAATTTAAGATTTTGAAATTTAATTCTAGCTTCAAAACAGAAATTTAAGCATAACTAGAAGCAACTACATATTGCATGTTCTGCTTATTCGGGCTCACATGTTTGATAATTTACCCTCACTCTCAGTTTAGGTACTATTATCATTAGAAATGTAAACTATTCAAAAATTGATAGTTTCCTCTTTTGATTTTCACAGTTTATGTAGAAATGTCAAATAAATTTATATTCATGTGATATGTAATCATACTAAAGCTTCATGGTGGAAGATTTCTTATGGTCAAACTTTGTCTTCATAAAAATTTTACATTTTATTCAGAATATTGATGAATATATGAAACACTCAGGTATAAATATAGATGGTTATATGAAATTTATATGTCAGATTGTGAACATAGTTAAATTTCCCATCTCATTTTCATTTTGATATTTTTTTTCATATATTAAATAGACATCAATATAACTCAGAGTATGAATTTCATCATGTATCTTGTTTTAATAGTCTACTTTTAACTGTGAATCAAAATGTGAATCTTTCAATACTATTCAAAAATTGAATATCAAAATGGAAATTATCGTTATTGTCTTAGTGAATCAATTGACACAAATCATTTCGAATAATGTTTTCAAAAAGAAATATAAACAAGATCGATATTTATGATATGTTGCTCGATGTATAGGCCTTCGTTTGGCTAGAACATAATTTCTGGCCAAAAGCTCCACACACGCGAAATATTTATTTATTTGTATTTCATTTTTGTAACAAATGTTTTTATCCCTTTTAAGAAAATGGTGGGAAACCGTATGTGGTGGTGCCGCCAGCGAATTGACCATCCATTACGTCAGTTGATGACATTTCCAAAAGACGACCAACTTATCTACAAGATCCAGTTTTTAGGATTAGAACTCGATGATTTACGATCAGCCGATTTAGGTGAATTAAAATCTATGTTCCGTAATGAACAAATGGCAATCAACGCACAAGACATTGCACGCAAATTCCCTATTGTCGAAATCGACACTCGTTATCAACCGATTTCCGATCAAATCATCAACATCATCATCGAAGCATCATTTCCATTCAAATGGGATCCACATGTTACTCACGACACATTGAGTTTCTGGATCTTCATTGAAGACGGTAACGGAGAAAAGATGTATCTTGCTCAAGAAGTCCAAATTGATCGACATCTTGCTAATGATGGCTTCAAATTCGAATACCTTGTTCCAGTTTGTGAAAGTCATAAGTATTTAGTTACTATGACATCTAGCCGCTTTTTAGGTGTTGGTGATTCACAATCCATTTACATCAAAAACTCAGACCGGCTACATTCGATAGTTTCGAATCTAATCCACCTAATTTGCGTCACTCCCAGTTACATCTATTGAAAACATTGAACATCGAAAACTGTTTGGTTTTGAGTTCTTTAACCCAGTCCAGTCACAAGTTTTCTTCCAGACATATCGCACTGATGAAAGTCTCTGATTTGCGCTCCTACAGCTGCAGGCAAGACATCAATTGCCGAACTTGCGATTTGTCGCCTTTTCTCAACACATCCCGAACAAAAAGCAGTTTACCTGGCTCCTCTTAAAGCTATTGTCACAGAACGTGTTCAAGACTGGCGCATGAAATTCGGCGATAAATTGATTGAATTGACAGGTGAATTCACCCCAGATTCTAATGCTATTGCTAAAGCAAGTCTTATTGTTGCCACACCAGAGAAATGGGATGCCGTTTCTCGTGGATTTGTTGTTCGTCGTTTTGTCCAAACAGTTGGTTTAGTTGTTATTGATGAAGCACATTTACTTGGTACAGACCGTGGCCACATCATTGAAGCAGTTGTTGACCGAATGAAATCGATGCCAACTAAAGTCCGATTCATTGGTTTGAGCACATGTTTATCAATCCACTTGATGTTGCAGAGTTCTTAGGTGTTTCTCGTCGTGGTACATACAACTTCCCTCCACAAATGCGCGCTGTTCCATTGAAGACATTCATCCGTGGATTCCCTGGTCGTCATTTCTGTCCTCGAATGGCATCTATGAACAAACCACTTTCAGATGCTATCCGTGAGTACTCTAATGACAAACCAACACTTGTTTTCGTTCCATCACGTCGTCAGACTCGTTTGACAGCATTCGACCTTATTTCATACGCAACGAACAGAGGCGAACCATTCTATTACACTACACCAGAGACCGCATTGGCCAGCCAGAAAGTTCAAGACCAAACATTGTCACATTGTCTTAGTTTAGGTATTGGTTTGCATCACGCAGGTTTAGTTTCCAGTGACTGCGAGATTGTTGAAGAATTGTTTGCATCAGGTAAGATGAAGTTGTTAGTTGCTACAGCCACATTGGCATGGGGTGTCAATCTTCCTGCACATTTTGTTGTCATCAAAGGCACTGAGTTCCACGACGCTAAGACATGCCAATACGTTCCATACTCTAGCACTGAAATGCAGCAGATGATGGGTCGTGCTGGTCGTCCTCAGTTCGACACAGAAGGCATTGTCATGATTCTTTGCGAGGAAGGTCGTAAAGATTTCTTGAAGCGATTCATCAACTCTCCTCTTCCAGTCGAATCTAACTTATTCGAACACGCTAGTGAACACGCCAATGCTGAGATTGCATCAGGTCGTATCAAATCTAAGAAGTCACTTATGTCATGGCTTAAACGTTCATTCTTTGCAATCCGTCTTGATAAGAATCCCGGTTATTACGAGAACATCACATTGGAAGAAGTTTCATCGAACATCATCAAAGCGTTGACAGACAAACACTGCATCAGTGTCAACTTGGAAGGACACATCAATCCAACACCAGAAGGACGCATTGCATCCATCTTCTATGTCTCTCCCGACGACGTTAAGTTGTTTATTGATCGCATGAATGAGTCATCCAATGTTGTTTCTCTTCTTCGTCTTATCTGCATGGCACAGGAATTCAAACAAGTCCCAGTTCGTCACTCAGAAGACGAAGTTGTCATGGACATGACTCCACGCTTCAAGACCGAAGATCCCATTGATTCTCCTCACACCAAAGCATTCTTCATGTGCCAGTACTACTTTTCTCGTCGTGAGATGCCTATTCCCGATTTCATCACCGATTTGGCATCGGTTCTTGACCAAGCTCTTCGAATTGTCGGATGTTTCTCGGAGATCGCCGCCATCCGAGGCGAACTTAACGCCGTCATCAATGCAAGCATTCTCACCCAGATGCTTGTCCAAGGCTGCTGGCACGACCAGAACTCTATCCAAGCATTAGTTGATGTTCAGTTATTCAAACAACTTCAGCAACAAAACATCAACTTGCTTCCTCAAATCTTGTTCAAAGACACACCTCTTCCAGGCACCGAATTCATCAAAGATCGAGTTGTTCTTTTCAAGAACAAGTCACATTTGATTTCCACCAACGGCATGGCAGTCCGTATCACATTGGAACACATCTCAGGAACACTTGGTTCACAAGTCATTTCTCCACACTTCACGCGTAAAGGTATCCAAAGTCTTTTCATTCTTGTTGGCGATCCATCCACAGGTAAGTTGTTTGGTCACCGCCGTGTTCAACTTAAGAAGGAAACACATGTTGTCACCATCCAATGCCAAGAAAGAATTCCAGGAAGTGCATGGATTTACATGCTTTCCGATTGTTACCTTGGCATTGACCAGATGTATCCAATCATTTCATCAGAGATGAACAACTTGAAATCAGCAAGTGGAAAACTTGTTGAATCACATCTTGAATTCGATTCTCATCTTGTCCAAATCGACCGCAACCGTAATCGAAAGAAACGAGATATATTCCTTAAGAAACCAGATTCCAATCCAGAACAACAACCACAACAAAATGAAACATCCAAACCAAAACAACAAGAACAACAAAACAAGGACAAAGACAAAGATCAAGATAAAACCGGAAACAAAAACAAACAGAATCAAAAGAAACAACAAAATCAAAACCAAAAGAATAAGAAACAGAAACAGAAAACAATTTTGCAGAGTATGTTGGTGATGAACATAAAACAGAAGAAAAACCAAAACATCCAGAATCTCAAAAACAAAATTCTAAGTTCGCCGAGTACAAACTACCGAGATCTTCCGAAGAACAAAGTAACAATAATAACAACAATAAGAATAACAAGAACAAGAAACTTCAACAGCCAGTTCACGAAATCAGAATCGAGCGTCCTAAACGAGATGAACCTCATCTTGATATTCCCGAAGGTGTTCGTAACGAAAACTTTGAAGCACATCGAAACGAAGAAGTTCGTCGTCAACCAAGAACTCGTTCCCGTGGTGGTGGTCGAGGTAACATCGACATTAGATAAATTTGTATTTATATATATCTATATATATTTATGTTATATTACAAATAAAAGATATCTTTTTATTTATTTATCTCCATTACAACTTAAATTATTATAATCTACAGTCTTCATAAAGATTTTAGATAATTTTTTACATTGTCTGTTGCAAGATCTAATGCCGTTTTTCCATCATTATTCTTTGCTTCTTTATCAGCTCCATTAGAGATAAGATATTGAACAACTTCAAGATGACCTTCTTCTGATGCACAAATGAGTGGAGTAGATCCATTATTATTCTTTGCTTCTTTATCAGCTCCATTAGAGATAAGATATTTAACAACATCAAGATGACCATATCTTGATGCCCAAATGAGTGGAGTCCATCCATCATTATCCTTTGCTTCTTTGTTAGCTCCATTAGAGATAAGATATTGAACAACTTCAAGATGACCGGTAACTGATGCAAAAATGAGTGGAGTATATCCATATTTATCCTTTGCTTCTTTATCAGCTCCATTAGAGATTAAATATTGAACAACTTCAAGATGACCATATCTTGATGCCCAAATGAGTGGAGTCCATCCATTATTATTCTTTGCTTCTTTATCAGCTCCATTAGAGATAAGATATTGAACAACTTCAAGATGACCATTATCTGATGCAGAAATGAGTGGAGTATATTCATATTTATCCTTTGCTTCTTTGTTAGCTCCAACAGAGATAAGATATTGAACAACTTCAAGATGACCATTTCTTGATGCATAATCGAGTGGAGTAGATCCAGCATTATCCTTTGCTTCTTTATCAGCTCCATTAGAGATAAGATATTTAACAACTTCAAGATGACCTTCTTTTGATGCCCAAATGAGTGGAGTAGATCCAGCATTATCCTTTGCTTCTTTATCAGCTCCATTAGAGATAAGATATTTAACAACTTCAAGATGACCATTAGCTGATGCAGAAATGAGTGGAGTAGATCCATTATTATTCTTTGCTTCTTTATCAGCTCCAACAGAGATAAGATATTTAACAACTTCAAGACGACCATTACTTGATGCATAATCGAGTGGAGTACATCCATCATTATCCTTTGCTTCTTTATTAGCACCAATAGCGATTAAATATTGAACAACTTCAAGATGACCATTTCTTGATGCATAAATGAGTGAAGTATCTCCTTCAATATCCTTTGCTTCTATATCAGCTCCAACAGAGATAAGATATTTAACAATTTCAATATGGCCAATAAACGATGCATAATTGAGTGGAGTCAAGCCACGTGAACTCTTTGTACCTTTATCACAGCCGCATTCAATGAGAGATTTGACAAGTTTGAGATTTCCTTTATTACTTGCTACATGAAGTACATTCCTTTCATCAAACTCATCACCATCATCTCGAAAATGTACAGTAGTTGTCTTCTTCCAAAGTCCTTCTTCACATGCTTTTGAAATCATTTTTCGATTTCCTTGAGATGAAAGCTCATCAAGGAAATTGTAGATACTTTCGAAATCATCTGATTCCTTTAGCTCTTTAATTTTTGATAAAATTGTTTCATCGGCTTGATTGGTGTTACTTTCCATTTCATTGAGTTTTTCTTTTAATTTGTTGCTTTCTTCATTGATTTGATTGAGTTGAGATTGAAGTGATTGTATTTCGTTGTCACTTTTTTGTTTTGGAATTTCGTTTAGCTCTGTTTGAAGTTTTTGGATTTTCTCTGTAGAATCGTATATTTCTTTTCCTTTGGAATCTAAAAAGTCAACAATACTATTAAGTATTCTGAGTTTCATGTACTTTTTGATTGATTTCAGTGTTGAAATAACATCTTCAAAGTTTTGAATATAAATATTAGCATTTCGAGTACAAGCATATAATTTATTTGCATTGATAGTAGGATGTGACTGCTCAAGAAGAGCAATGAAGCCATTTGCTGTAAAATTTGAAATTTTCATGATCTTTTTGATGTCTTCTATTTCAAATACATCAAAGAAATTACCTTCGTCAATATATTCACTGATATGAGAAGCAATATGTTCATAATCTTGAATATGAGCTTGACTCATCCAAATGAGAAAATGAAACTTTACAAATTAAAAATCCAACAAAAAAATAAATTAAATTCAATTTAAAAAAAAAGTAATTGCTACTAAGCTTTTCTATTTATTAGATCAAGTGTTTTAACTTAAATGCCATAAATTTCAATTCTCTACATTAATATAAACACTTTTAAAGAGACTCAGAAAAATTGAGATGAAAATGAGATTTATCGTTTTCGCCTCAGTTTCAAGATAAAAATCCAACATAAAATTAAAATTAATATTTATTATTAAAAGAAGTTAATAAAATAAATTTATATTGAACGTCGGATTTAACTTCAAAATTTAAGATTTTGAAATTTAATTCTAGCTTCAAAACAGAAATTTAAGCATAACTAGAAGCAACTACATATTGCATGTTCTGCTTATTCGGGCTCACATGTTTGATAATTTACCCTCACTCTCAGTTTAGGTACTATTATCATTAGAAATGTAAACTATTCAAAAATTGATAGTTTCCTCTTTTGATTTTCACAGTTTATGTAGAAATGTCAAATAAATTTATATTCATGTGATATGTAATCATACTAAAGCTTCATGGTGGAAGATTTCTTATGGTCAAACTTTGTCTTCATAAAAATTTTACATTTTATTCAGAATATTGAATATATGAAACACTCAGGTATAAATATAGATGGTTATATGAAATTTATATGTCAGATTGTGAACATAGTTAAATTTCCCATCTCATTTTCATTTTGATATTTTTTTTCATATATTAAATAGACATCAATATAACTCAGAGTATGAATTTCATCATGTATCTTGTTTTAATAGTCTACTTTTAACTGTGAATCAAAATGTGAATCTTTCAATACTATTCAAAAATTGAATATCAAAATGGAAATTATCGTTATTGTCTTAGTGAATCAATTGACACAAATCATTTCGAATAATGTTTTCAAAAAGAAATATAAACAAGATCGATATTTATGATATGTTGCTCGATGTATAGGCCTTCGTTTGGCTAGAACATAATTTCTGGCCAAAAGCTCCACACCACGCGAAATATTTATTTATTTGTATTTCATTTTTGTAACAAATGTTTTTATCCCTTTTAAGAAAATGGTGGGAAACCGTATGTGGTGGTGCCGCCAGCGAATTGACCATCCATTACGTCAGTTGATGACATTTCCAAAAGACGACCAACTTATCTACAAGATCCAGTTTTTAGGATTAGAACTCGATGATTTACGATCAGCCGATTTAGGTGAATTAAAATCTATGTTCCGTAATGAACAAATGGCAATCAACGCACAAGACATTGCACGCAAATTCCCTATTGTCGAAATCGACACTCGTTATCAACCGATTTCCGATCAAATCATCAACATCATCATCGAAGCATCATTTCCATTCAAATGGGATCCACATGTTACTCACGACACATTGAGTTTCTGGATCTTCATTGAAGACGGTAACGGAGAAAAGATGTATCTTGCTCAAGAAGTCCAAATTGATCGACATCTTGCTAATGATGGCTTCAAATTCGAATACCTTGTTCCAGTTTGTGAAAGTCATAAGTATTTAGTTACTATGACATCTAGCCGCTTTTTAGGTGTTGGTGATTCACAATCTATTTACATCAAAAACTCAGACCGTGCTACATTCGATAGTTTCGAATCTAATCCACCTAATTTACGACCACTCCCAGTTACATCTATTGAAAACATTGAACATCGAAAACTGTTTGGTTTTGAGTTCTTTAACCCAGTCCAGTCACAAGTTTTCTTCCAGACATATCGCACTGATGAAAGTCTCCTGATTTGCGCTCCTACAGCTGCAGGCAAGACATCAATTGCCGAACTTGCGATTTGTCGCCTTTTCTCAACACATCCCGAACAAAAAGCAGTTTACCTGGCTCCTCTTAAAGCTATTGTCACAGAACGTGTTCAAGACTGGCGCATGAAATTCGGCGATAAATTGATTGAATTGACAGGTGAATTCACCCCAGATTCTAATGCTATTGCTAAAGCAAGTCTTATTGTTGCCACACCAGAGAAATGGGATGCCGTTTCTCGTGGATTTGTTGTTCGTCGTTTTGTCCAAACAGTTGGTTTAGTTGTTATTGATGAAGCACATTTACTTGGTACAGACCGTGGCCACATCATTGAAGCAGTTGTTGACCGAATGAAATCGATGCCAACTAAAGTCCGATTCATTGGTTTGAGCACATGTTTATCTAATCCACTTGATGTTGCAGAGTTCTTAGGTGTTTCTCGTCGTGGTACATACAACTTCCCTCCACAAATGCGCGCTGTTCCATTGAAGACATTCATCCGTGGATTCCCTGGTCGTCATTTCTGTCCTCGAATGGCATCTATGAACAAACCACTTTCAGATGCTATCCGTGAGTACTCTAATGACAAACCAACACTTGTTTTCGTTCCATCACGTCGTCAGACTCGTTTGACAGCATTCGACCTTATTTCATACGCAACGAACAGAGGCGAACCATTCTATTACACTACACCAGAGACCGCATTGGCCAGCCAGAAAGTTCAAGACCAAACATTGTCACATTGTCTTAGTTTAGGTATTGGTTTGCATCACGCAGGTTTAGTTTCCAGTGACTGCGAGATTGTTGAAGAATTGTTTGCATCAGGAAGATGAAGTTGTTAGTTGCTACAGCCACATTGGCATGGGGTGTCAATCTTCCTGCACATTTTGTTGTCATCAAAGGCACTGAGTTCCACGACGCTAAGACATGCCAATACGTTCCATACTCTAGCACTGAAATGCAGCAGATGATGGGTCGTGCTGGTCGTCCTCAGTTCGACACAGAAGGCATTGTCATGATTCTTTGCGAGGAAGGTCGTAAAGATTTCTTGAAGCGATTCATCAACTCTCCTCTTCCAGTCGAATCTAACTTATTCGAACACGCTAGTGAACACGCCAATGCTGAGATTGCATCAGGTCGTATCAAATCTAAGAAGTCACTTATGTCATGGCTTAAACGTTCATTCTTTGCAATCCGTCTTGATAAGAATCCCGGTTATTACGAGAACATCACATTGGAAGAAGTTTCATCGAACATCATCAAAGCGTTGACAGACAAACACTGCATCAGTGTCAACTTGGAAGGACACATCAATCCAACACCAGAAGGACGCATTGCATCCATCTTCTATGTCTCTCCCGACGACGTTAAGTTGTTTATTGATCGCATGAATGAGTCATCCAACGTTGTTTCTCTTCTTCGTCTTATCTGCATGGCACAGGAATTCAAACAAGTCCCAGTTCGTCACTCAGAAGACGAAGTTGTCATGGACATGACTCCACGCTTCAAGACCGAAGATCCCATTGATTCTCCTCACACCAAAGCATTCTTCATGTGCCAGTACTACTTTTCTCGTCGTGAGATGCCTATTCCCGATTTCATCACCGATTTGGCATCGGTTCTTGACCAAGCTCTTCGAATTGTCGGATGTTTCTCGGAGATCGCCGCCATCCGAGGCGAACTTAACGCCGTCATCAATGCAAGCATTCTCACCCAGATGCTTGTCCAAGGCTGCTGGCACGACCAGAACTCTATCCAAGCATTAGTTGATGTTCAGTTATTCAAACAACTTCAGCAACAAAACATCAACTTGCTTCCTCAAATCTTGTTCAAAGACACACCTCTTCCAGGCACCGAATTCATCAAAGATCGAGTTGTTCTTTTCAAGAACAAGTCACATTTGATTTCCACCAACGGCATGGCAGTCCGTATCACATTGGAACACATCTCAGGAACACTTGGTTCACAAGTCATTTCTCCACACTTCACGCGTAAAGGTATCCAAAGTCTTTTCATTCTTGTTGGCGATCCATCCACAGGTAAGTTGTTTGGTCACCGCCGTGTTCAACTTAAGAAGGAAACACATGTTGTCACCATCCAATGCAGAAAGAATTCCAGGAAGTGCATGGATTTACATGCTTTCCGATTGTTACCTTGGCATTGACCAGATGTATCCGAATCATTTCATCAGAGATGAACAACTTGAAATCAGCAAGTGGAAAACTTGTTGAATCACATCTTGAATTCGATTCTCATCTTGTCCAAATCGACCGCAACCGTAATCGAAAGAAACGAGATATATTCCTTAAGAAACCAGATTCCAATCCAGAACAACAACCACAACAAAATGAAACATCCAAACCAAAACAACAAGAACAACAAAACAAGGACAAAGACAAAGATCAAGATAAAACCGGAAACAAAAAACAAACAGAATCAAAAGAAACAACAAAATCAAAACCAAAAGAATAAGAAACAGAAACAGAAAACAATTTTGCAGAGTATGTTGGTGATGAACATAAAACAGAAGAAAAACCAAAACATCCAGAATCTCAAAAACAAAATTCTAAGTTCGCCGAGTACAAACTACCGAGATCTTCCGAAGAACAAAGTAACAATAATAACAACAATAAGAATAACAAGAACAAGAAACTTCAACAGCCAGTTCACGAAATCAGAATCGAGCGTCCTAAACGAGATGAACCTCATCTTGATATTCCCGAAGGTGTTCGTAACGAAAACTTTGAAGCACATCGAAACGAAGAAGTTCGTCGTCAACCAAGAACTCGTTCCCGTGGTGGTGGTCGAGGTAACATCGACATTAGATAAATTTGTATTTATATATATCTATATATATTTATGTTATATTACAAATAAAAGATATCTTTTTATTTATTTATCTCCATTACAACTTAAATTATTATAATCTACAGTCTTCATAAAGATTTTAGATAATTTTTTACATTGTCTGTTGCAAGATCTAATGCCGTTTTTCCATCATTATTCTTTGCTTCTTTATCAGCTCCATTAGAGATAAGATATTGAACAACTTCAAGATGACCTTCTTCTGATGCACAAATGAGTGGAGTAGATCCATTATTATTCTTTGCTTCTTTATCAGCTCCATTAGAGATAAGATATTTAACAACATCAAGATGACCATATCTTGATGCCAAATGAGTGGAGTCCATCCATCATTATCCTTTGCTTCTTTGTTAGCTCCATTAGAGATAAGATATTGAACAACTTCAAGATGACCGGTAACTGATGCAAAATGAGTGGAGTATATCCATATTTATCCTTTGCTTCTTTATCAGCTCCATTAGAGATTAAATATTGAACAACTTCAAGATGACCATATCTTGATGCCCAAATGAGTGGAGTCCATCCATTATTATTCTTTGCTTCTTTATCAGCTCCATTAGAGATAAGATATTGAACAACTTCAAGTTTACAATATGCATCAGAAAAGTGGAATATTCTGATATTCAACAAGATGAGATGATTCTTGATGCAAATGAGTGGAGTATTCCCATTATCCTTTGCTTCTTTATCAGCTCCATTAGAGATAAGATATTGAACAACTTCAAGATGACCTTTGATGCAAATGAGTGGAGTATCCATCATTATCTTTGCTTCTTTATCAGCTCCATTAGAGATAAGATATTGAACAACTTCAAGATGACCATTAGCTGATGCAAAATGAGTGGAGTATCCATTATTATTCTTTGCTTCTTTATCAGCTCCATTAGAGATAAGATATTGAACAACTTCAAGATGACCATTACTGATGCATAATGAGTGGAGTACATCCATATTATCCTTTGCTTCTTTATCAGCTCCATAGAGATAAGATATTGAACAACTTCAAGATGACCATTGATGCATAAATGAGTGGAGTATCCACATTATCCTTTGCTTCTTATCAGCTCCAAGAGATAAGATATTTAACAATTTCAATATGGCCAATAAACGATGCATAATTGAGTGGAGTCAAGCCACGTGAACTCTTTGTACCTTTATCACAGCCGCATTCAATGAGAGATTTGACAAGTTTGAGATTTCCTTTATTACTTGCTACATGAAGTACATTCCTTTCATCAAACTCATCACCATCATCTCGAAAATGTACAGTAGTTGTCTTCTTCCAAAGTCCTTCTTCACATGCTTTTGAAATCATTTTTCGATTTCCTTGAGATGAAAGCTCATCAAGGAAATTGTAGATACTTTCGAAATCATCTGATTCCTTTAGCTCTTTAATTTTTGATAAAATTGTTTCATCGGCTTGATTGGTGTTACTTTCCATTTCATTGAGTTTTTCTTTTAATTTGTTGCTTTCTTCATTGATTTGATTGAGTTGAGATTGAAGTGATTGTATTTCGTTGTCACTTTTTTGTTTTGGAATTTCGTTTAGCTCTGTTTGAAGTTTTTGGATTTTCTCTGTAGAATCGTATATTTCTTTTCCTTTGGAATCTAAAAAGTCAACAATACTATTAAGTATTCTGAGTTTCATGTACTTTTTGATTGATTTCAGTGTTGAAATAACATCTTCAAAGTTTTGAATATAAATATTAGCATTTCGAGTACAAGCATATAATTTATTTGCATTGATAGTAGGATGTGACTGCTCAAGAAGAGCAATGAAGCCATTTGCTGTAAAATTTGAAATTTTCATGATCTTTTTGATGTCTTCTATTTCAAATACATCAAAGAAATTACCTTCGTCAATATATTCACTGATATGAGAAGCAATATGTTCATAATCTTGAATATGAGCTTGACTCATCCAAATGAGAAAATGAAACTTTACAAATTAAAAATCAACAAAAAAATAAATTAAATTCAATTTAAAAAAAAAGTAAATTGCTACTAAGCTTTCTATTTATTAGATCAAGTGTTTTAACTTAAATGCCATAAATTTCAATTCTCTACATTAATATAAACACTTTTAAAGAGACTCAGAAAAATTGAGATGAAAATGAGATTTATCGTTTTCGCCTCAGTTTCAAGATAAAAATCCAATAAAATTAAAATTAATATTTATTATTAAAAGAAGTTAATAAAATAAATTTATATTGAACGTCGGATTTAACTTCAAAATTTAAGATTTTGAAATTTAATTCTAGCTTCAAAACAGAAATTTAAGCATAACTAGAAGCAACTACATATTGCATGTTCTGCTTATTCGGGCTCACATGTTTGATAATTTACCCTCACTCTCAGTTTAGGTACTATTATCATTAGAAATGTAAACTATTCAAAAATTGATAGTTTCCTCTTTTGATTTTCACAGTTTATGTAGAAATGTCAAATAAATTTATATTCATGTGATATGTAATCATACTAAAGCTTCATGGTGGAAGATTTCTTATGGTCAAACTTTGTCTTCATAAAAATTTTACATTTTATTCAGAATATTGATGAATATATGAAACACTCAGGTATAAATATAGATGGTTATATGAAATTTATATGTCAGATTGTGAACATAGTTAAATTTCCCATCTCATTTTCATTTTGATATTTTTTTTCATATATTAAATAGACATCAATATAACTCAGAGTATGAATTTCATCATGTATCTTGTTTTAATAGTCTACTTTTAACTGTGAATCAAAATGTGAATCTTTCAATACTATTCAAAAATTGAATATCAAAATGGAAATTATCGTTATTGTCTTAGTGAATCAATTGACACAAATCATTTCGAATAATGTTTTCAAAAAGAAATATAAACAAGATCGATATTTATGATATGTTGCTCGATGTATAGGCCTTCGTTTGGCTAGAACATAATTTCTGGCCAAAAGCTCCACACCACGCGAAATATTTATTTATTTGTATTTCATTTTTGTAACAAATGTTTTTATCCCTTTTAAGAAAATGGTGGGAAACCGTATGTGGTGGTGCCGCCAGCGAATTGACCATCCATTACGTCAGTTGATGACATTTCCAAAAGACGACCAACTTATCTACAAGATCCAGTTTTTAGGATTAGAACTCGATGATTTACGATCAGCCGATTTAGGTGAATTAAAATCTATGTTCCGTAATGAACAAATGGCAATCAACGCACAAGACATTGCACGCAAATTCCCTATTGTCGAAATCGACACTCGTTATCAACCGATTTCCGATCAAATCATCAACATCATCATCGAAGCATCATTTCCATTCAAATGGGATCCACATGTTACTCACGACACATTGAGTTTCTGGATCTTCATTGAAGACGGTAACGGAGAAAAGATGTATCTTGCTCAAGAAGTCCAAATTGATCGACATCTTGCTAATGATGGCTTCAAATTCGAATACCTTGTTCCAGTTTGTGAAAGTCATAAGTATTTAGTTACTATGACATCTAGCCGCTTTTTAGGTGTTGGTGATTCACAATCCATTTACATCAAAAACTCAGACCGCGCTACATTCGATAGTTTCGAATCTAATCCACCTAATTTGCGTCCACTCCCAGTTACATCTATTGAAAACATTGAACATCGAAAACTGTTTGGTTTTGAGTTCTTTAACCCAGTCCAGTCACAAGTTTTCTTCCAGACATATCGCACTGATGAAAGTCTCCTGATTTGCGCTCCTACAGCTGCAGGCAAGACATCAATTGCCGAACTTGCGATTTGTCGCCTTTTCTCAACACATCCCGAACAAAAAGCAGTTTACCTGGCTCCTCTTAAAGCTATTGTCACAGAACGTGTTCAAGACTGGCGCATGAAATTCGGCGATAAATTGATTGAATTGACAGGTGAATTCACCCCAGATTCTAATGCTATTGCTAAAGCAAGTCTTATTGTTGCCACACCAGAGAAATGGGATGCCGTTTCTCGTGGATTTGTTGTTCGTCGTTTTGTCCAAACAGTTGGTTTAGTTGTTATTGATGAAGCACATTTACTTGGTACAGACCGTGGCCACATCATTGAAGCAGTTGTTGACCGAATGAAATCGATGCCAACTAAAGTCCGATTCATTGGTTTGAGCACATGTTTATCTAATCCACTTGATGTTGCAGAGTTCTTAGGTGTTTCTCGTCGTGGTACATACAACTTCCCTCCACAAATGCGCGCTGTTCCATTGAAGACATTCATCCGTGGATTCCCTGGTCGTCATTTCTGTCCTCGAATGGCATCTATGAACAAACCACTTTCAGATGCTATCCGTGAGTACTCTAATGACAAACCAACACTTGTTTTCGTTCCATCACGTCGTCAGACTCGTTTGACAGCATTCGACCTTATTTCATACGCAACGAACAGAGGCGAACCATTCTATTACACTACACCAGAGACCGCATTGGCCAGCCAGAAAGTTCAAGACCAAACATTGTCACATGTCTTAGTTTAGGTATTGGTTTGCATCACGCAGGTTTAGTTTCCAGTGACTGCGAGATTGTTGAAGAATTGTTTGCATCAGGTAAGATGAAGTTGTTAGTTGCTACAGCCACATTGGCATGGGGTGTCAATCTTCCTGCACATTTTGTTGTCATCAAAGGCACTGAGTTCCACGACGCTAAGACATGCCAATACGTTCCATACTCTAGCACTGAAATGCAGCAGATGATGGGTCGTGCTGGTCGTCCTCAGTTCGACACAGAAGGCATTGTCATGATTCTTTGCGAGGAAGGTCGTAAAGATTTCTTGAAGCGATTCATCAACTCTCCTCTTCCAGTCGAATCTAACTTATTCGAACACGCTAGTGAACACGCCAATGCTGAGATTGCATCAGGTCGTATCAAATCTAAGAAGTCACTTATGTCATGGCTTAAACGTTCATTCTTTGCAATCCGTCTTGATAAGAATCCCGGTTATTACGAGAACATCACATTGGAAGAAGTTTCATCGAACATCATCAAAGCGTTGACAGACAAACACTGCATCAGTGTCAACTTGGAAGGACACATCAATCCAACACCAGAAGGACGCATTGCATCCATCTTCTATGTCTCTCCGACGACGTTAAGTTGTTTATTGATCGCATGAATGAGTCATCCAACGTTGTTTCTCTTCTTCGTCTTATCTGCATGGCACAGGAATTCAAACAAGTCCCAGTTCGTCACTCAGAAGACGAAGTTGTCATGGACATGACTCCACGCTTCAAGACCGAAGATCCCATTGATTCTCCTCACACCAAAGCATTCTTCATGTGCCAGTACTACTTTTCTCGTCGTGAGATGCCTATTCCGATTTCATCACCGATTTGGCATCGGTTCTTGACCAAGCTCTTCGAATTGTCGATGTTTCTCGGAGATCGCCGCCATCCGAGGCGAACTTAACGCCGTCATCAATGCAAGCATTCTCACCCAGATGCTTGTCCAAGGCTGCTGGCACGACCAGAACTCTATCCAAGCATTAGTTGATGTTCAGTTATTCAAACAACTTCAGCAACAAAACATCAACTTGCTTCCTCAAATCTTGTTCAAAGACACACCTCTTCCAGGCACCGAATTCATCAAAGATCGAGTTGTTCTTTTCAAGAACATGTCACATTTGATTTCCACCAACGGCATGGCAGTCCGTATCACATTGGAACACATCTCAGGAACACTTGGTTCACAAGTCATTTCTCCACACTTCACGCGTAAAGGTATCCAAAGTCTTTTCATTCTTGTTGGCGATCCATCCACAGGTAAGTTGTTTGGTCACCGCCGTGTTCAACTTAAGAAGGAAACACATGTTGTCACCATCCAATGTCAGGAAAGAATTCCAGGAAGTGCATGGATTTACATGCTTTCCGATTGTTACCTTGGCATTGACCAGATGTATCCGATCATTTCATCAGAGATGAACAACTTGAAATCAGCAAGTGGAAAACTTGTTGAATCACATCTTGAATTCGATTCTCATCTTGTCCAAATCGACCGCAACCGTAATCGAAAGAAACGAGATATATTCCTTAAGAAACCAGATTCCAATCCAGAAAACAACAACCACAACAAAATGAAACATCCAAACCAAAACAACAAGAACAACAAAACAAGGACAAAGACAAAGATCAAGATAAAACCGGAAACAAAAACAAACAGAATCAAAAGAAACAACAAAATCAAAACCAAAAGAATAAGAAACAGAAACAGAAAACGAATTTTGCAGAGTATGTTGGTGATGAACATAAACAGAAGAAAAACCAAAACATCCAGAATCTCAAAAACAAAATTCTAAGTTCGCCGAGTACAAACTACCGAGATCTTCCGAAGAACAAAGTAACAATAATAACAACAATAAGAATAACAAGAACAAGAAACTTCAACAGCCAGTTCACGAAATCAGAATCGAGCGTCCTAAACGAGATGAACCTCATCTTGATATTCCCGAAGGTGTTCGTAACGAAAACTTTGAAGCACATCGAAACGAAGAAGTTCGTCGTCAACCAAGAACTCGTTCCCGTGGTGGTGGTCGAGGTAACATCGACATTAGATAAATTTGTATTTATATATATCTATATATATTTATGTTATATTACAAATAAAAGATATCTTTTTATTTATTTATCTCCATTACAACTTAAATTATTATAATCTACAGTCTTCATAAAGATTTTAGATAATTTTTTACATTGTCTGTTGCAAGATCTAATGCCGTTTTTCCATCATTATTCTTTGCTTCTTTATCAGCTCCATTAGAGATTAAATATTGAACAACTTCAAGATGACCATATCTTGATGCCCAAATGAGTGGAGTCCATCCATTATTATTCTTTGCTTCTTTATCAGCTCCATTAGAGATAAGATATTGAACAACTTCAAGATGACCATTATCTGATGCAGAAATGAGTGGAGTATATTCATATTTATCCTTTGCTTCTTTGTTAGCTCCAACAGAGATAAGATATTTAACAACTTCAAGACGACCATTACTTGATGCATAATCGAGTGGAGTACATCCATCATTATCCTTTGCTTCTTTATTAGCACCAATAGCGATTAAATATTGAACAACTTCAAGATGACCATTTCTTGATGCATAAATGAGTGAAGTATCTCCTTCAATATCCTTTGCTTCTATATCAGCTCCAACAGAGATAAGATATTTAACAATTTCAATATGGCCAATAAACGATGCATAATTGAGTGGAGTCAAGCCACGTGAACTCTTTGTACCTTTATCACAGCCGCATTCAATGAGAGATTTGACAAGTTTGAGATTTCCTTTATTACTTGCTACATGAAGTACATTCCTTTCATCAAACTCATCACCATCATCTCGAAAATGTACAGTAGTTGTCTTCTTCCAAAGTCCTTCTTCACATGCTTTTGAAATCATTTTTCGATTTCCTTGAGATGAAAGCTCATCAAGGAAATTGTAGATACTTTCGAAATCATCTGATTCCTTTAGCTCTTTAATTTTTGATAAAATTGTTTCATCGGCTTGATTGGTGTTACTTTCCATTTCATTGAGTTTTTCTTTTAATTTGTTGCTTTCTTCATTGATTTGATTGAGTTGAGATTGAAGTGATTGTATTTCGTTGTCACTTTTTTGTTTTGGAATTTCGTTTAGCTCTGTTTGAAGTTTTTGGATTTTCTCTGTAGAATCGTATATTTCTTTTCCTTTGGAATCTAAAAAGTCAACAATACTATTAAGTATTCTGAGTTTCATGTACTTTTTGATTGATTTCAGTGTTGAAATAACATCTTCAAAGTTTTGAATATAAATATTAGCATTTCGAGTACAAGCATATAATTTATTTGCATTGATAGTAGGATGTGACTGCTCAAGAAGAGCAATGAAGCCATTTGCTGTAAAATTTGAAATTTTCATGATCTTTTTGATGTCTTCTATTTCAAATACATCAAAGAAATTACCTTCGTCAATATATTCACTGATATGAGAAGCAATATGTTCATAATCTTGAATATGAGCTTGACTCATCCAAATGAGAAAATGAAACTTTACAAATTAAAAATCCAACAAAAAAATAAATTAAATTCAATTTAAAAAAAAAGTAATTGCTACTAAGCTTTTCTATTTATTAGATCAAGTGTTTTAACTTAAATGCCATAAATTTCAATTCTCTACATTAATATAAACACTTTTAAAGAGACTCAGAAAAATTGAGATGAAAATGAGATTTATCGTTTTCGCCTCAGTTTCAAGATAAAAATCCAACATAAAATTAAAATTAATATTTATTATTAAAAGAAGTTAATAAAATAAATTTATATTGAACGTCGGATTTAACTTCAAAATTTAAGATTTTGAAATTTAATTCTAGCTTCAAAACAGAAATTTAAGCATAACTAGAAGCAACTACATATTGCATGTTCTGCTTATTCGGGCTCACATGTTTGATAATTTACCCTCACTCTCAGTTTAGGTACTATTATCATTAGAAATGTAAACTATTCAAAAATTGATAGTTTCCTCTTTTGATTTTCACAGTTTATGTAGAAATGTCAAATAAATTTATATTCATGTGATATGTAATCATACTAAAGCTTCATGGTGGAAGATTTCTTATGGTCAAACTTTGTCTTCATAAAAATTTTACATTTTATTCAGAATATTGATGAATATATGAAACACTCAGGTATAAATATAGATGGTTATATGAAATTTATATGTCAGATTGTGAACATAGTTAAATTTCCCATCTCATTTTCATTTTGATATTTTTTTTCATATATTAAATAGACATCAATATAACTCAGAGTATGAATTTCATCATGTATCTTGTTTTAATAGTCTACTTTTAACTGTGAATCAAAATGTGAATCTTTCAATACTATTCAAAAATTGAATATCAAAATGGAAATTATCGTTATTGTCTTAGTGAATCAATTGACACAAATCATTTCGAATAATGTTTTCAAAAAGAAATATAAACAAGATCGATATTTATGATATGTTGCTCGATGTATAGGCCTTCGTTTGGCTAGAACATAATTTCTGGCCAAAAGCTCCACACCACGCGAAATATTTATTTATTTGTATTTCATTTTTGTAACAAATGTTTTTATCCCTTTTAAGAAAATGGTGGGAAACCGTATGTGGTGGTGCGCCAGCGAATTGACCATCCATTACGTCAGTTGATGACATTTCCAAAAGACGACCAACTTATCTACAAGATCCAGTTTTTAGGATTAGAACTCGATGATTTACGATCAGCCGATTTAGGTGAATTAAAATCTATGTTCCGTAATGAACAAATGGCAATCAACGCACAAGACATTGCACGCAAATTCCCTATTGTCGAAATCGACACTCGTTATCAACCGATTTCCGATCAAATCATCAACATCATCATCGAAGCATCATTTCCATTCAAATGGGATCCACATGTTACTCACGACACATTGAGTTTCTGGATCTTCATTGAAGACGGTAACGGAGAAAAGATGTATCTTGCTCAAGAAGTCCAAATTGATCGACATCTTGCTAATGATGGCTTCAAATTCGAATACCTTGTTCCAGTTTGTGAAAGTCATAAGTATTTAGTTACTATGACATCTAGCCGCTTTTTAGGTGTTGGTGATTCACAATCTATTTACATCAAAAACTCAGACCGTGCTACATTCGATAGTTTCGAATCTAATCCACCTAATTTACGACCACTCCCAGTTACATCTATTGAAAACATTGAACATCGAAAACTGTTTGGTTTTGAGTTCTTTAACCCAGTCCAGTCACAAGTTTTCTTCCAGACATATCGCACTGATGAAAGTCTCCTGATTTGCGCTCCTACAGCTGCAGGCAAGACATCAATTGCCGAACTTGCGATTTGTCGCCTTTTCTCAACACATCCCGAACAAAAAGCAGTTTACCTGGCTCCTCTTAAAGCTATTGTCACAGAACGTGTTCAAGACTGGCGCATGAAATTCGGCGATAAATTGATTGAATTGACAGGTGAATTCACCCCAGATTCTAATGCTATTGCTAAAGCAAGTCTTATTGTTGCCACACCAGAGAAATGGGATGCCGTTTCTCGTGGATTTGTTGTTCGTCGTTTTGTCCAAACAGTTGGTTTAGTTGTTATTGATGAAGCACATTTACTTGGTACAGACCGTGGCCACATCATTGAAGCAGTTGTTGACCGAATGAAATCGATGCCAACTAAAGTCCGATTCATTGGTTTGAGCACATGTTTATCTAATCCACTTGATGTTGCAGAGTTCTTAGGTGTTTCTCGTCGTGGTACATACAACTTCCCTCCACAAATGCGCGCTGTTCCATTGAAGACATTCATCCGTGGATTCCTGGTCGTCATTTCTGTCCTCGAATGGCATCTATGAACAAACCACTTTCAGATGCTATCCGTGAGTACTCTAATGACAAACCAACACTTGTTTTCGTTCCATCACGTCGTCAGACTCGTTTGACAGCATTCGACCTTATTTCATACGCAACGAACAGAGGCGAACCATTCTATTACACTACACCAGAGACCGCATTGGCCAGCCAGAAAGTTCAAGACCAAACATTGTCACATTGTCTTAGTTTAGGTATTGGTTTGCATCACGCAGGTTTAGTTTCCAGTGACTGCGAGATTGTTGAAGAATTGTTTGCATCAGGAAAGATGAAGTTGTTAGTTGCTACAGCCACATTGGCATGGGGTGTCAATCTTCCTGCACATTTTGTTGTCATCAAAGGCACTGAGTTCCACGACGCTAAGACATGCCAATACGTTCCATACTCTAGCACTGAAATGCAGCAGATGATGGGTCGTGCTGGTCGTCCTCAGTTCGACACAGAAGGCATTGTCATGATTCTTTGCGAGGAAGGTCGTAAAGATTTCTTGAAGCGATTCATCAACTCTCCTCTTCCAGTCGAATCTAACTTATTCGAACACGCTAGTGAACACGCCAATGCTGAGATTGCATCAGGTCGTATCAAATCTAAGAAGTCACTTATGTCATGGCTTAAACGTTCATTCTTTGCAATCCGTCTTGATAAGAATCCCGGTTATTACGAGAACATCACATTGGAAGAAGTTTCATCGAACATCATCAAAGCGTTGACAGACAAACACTGCATCAGTGTCAACTTGGAAGGACACATCAATCCAACACCAGAAGGACGCATTGCATCCATCTTCTATGTCTCTCCCGACGACGTTAAGTTGTTTATTGATCGCATGAATGAGTCATCCAATGTTGTTTCTCTTCTTCGTCTTATCTGCATGGCACAGGAATTCAAACAAGTCCCAGTTCGTCACTCAGAAGACGAAGTTGTCATGGACATGACTCCACGCTTCAAGACCGAAGATCCCATTGATTCTCCTCACACCAAAGCATTCTTCATGTGCCAGTACTACTTTTCTCGTCGTGAGATGCCTATTCCCGATTTCATCACCGATTTGGCATCGGTTCTTGACCAAGCTCTTCGAATTGTCGGATGTTTCTCGGAGATCGCCGCCATCCGAGGCGAACTTAACGCCGTCATCAATGCAAGCATTCTCACCCAGATGCTTGTCCAAGGCTGCTGGCACGACCAGAACTCTATCCAAGCATTAGTTGATGTTCAGTTATTCAAACAACTTCAGCAACAAAACATCAACTTGCTTCCTCAAATCTTGTTCAAAGACACACCTCTTCCAGGCACCGAATTCATCAAAGATCGAGTTGTTCTTTTCAAGAACAAGTCACATTTGATTTCCACCAACGGCATGGCAGTCCGTATCACATTGGAACACATCTCAGGAACACTTGGTTCACAAGTCATTTCTCCACACTTCACGCGTAAAGGTATCCAAAGTCTTTTCATTCTTGTTGGCGATCCATCCACAGGTAAGTTGTTTGGTCACCGCCGTGTTCAACTTAAGAAGGAAACACATGTTGTCACCATCCAATGTCAGGAAAGAATTCCAGGAAGTGCATGGATTTACATGCTTTCCGATTGTTACCTTGGCATTGACCAGATGTATCCGATCATTTCATCAGAGATGAACAACTTGAAATCAGCAAGTGGAAAACTTGTTGAATCACATCTTGAATTCGATTCTCATCTTGTCCAAATCGACCGCAACCGTAATCGAAAGAAACGAGATATATTCCTTAAGAAACCAGATTCCAATCCAGAACAACAACCACAACAAAATGAAACATCCAAACCAAAACAACAAGAACAACAAAACAAGGACAAAGACAAAGATCAAGATAAAACCGGAAACAAAAACAAACAGAATCAAAAGAAACAACAAAATCAAAACCAAAAGAATAAGAAACAGAAACAGAAAACGAATTTTGCAGAGTATGTTGGTGATGAACATAAAACAGAAGAAAAACCAAAACATCCAGAATCTCAAAAACAAAATTCTAAGTTCGCCGAGTACAAACTACCGAGATCTTCCGAAGAACAAAGTAACAATAATAACAACAATAAGAATAACAAGAACAAGAAACTTCAACAGCCAGTTCACGAAATCAGAATCGAGCGTCCTAAACGAGATGAACCTCATCTTGATATTCCCGAAGGTGTTCGTAACGAAAACTTTGAAGCACATCGAAACGAAGAAGTTCGTCGTCAACCAAGAACTCGTTCCCGTGGTGGTGGTCGAGGTAACATCGACATTAGATAAATTTGTATTTATATATATCTATATATATTTATGTTATATTACAAATAAAAGATATCTTTTTATTTATTTATCTCCATTACAACTTAAATTATTATAATCTACAGTCTTCATAAAGATTTTAGATAATTTTTTACATTGTCTGTTGCAAGATCTAATGCCGTTTTTCCATCATTATTCTTTGCTTCTTTATCAGCTCCATTAGAGATAAGATATTGAACAACTTCAAGATGACCTTCTTCTGATGCACAAATGAGTGGAGTCCATCCATTATTATTCTTTGCTTCTTTATCAGCTCCATTAGAGATAAGATATTGAACAACTTCAAGATGACCATTATCTGATGCAGAAATGAGTGGAGTATATTCATATTTATCCTTTGCTTCTTTGTTAGCTCCAACAGAGATAAGATATTTAACAACTTCAAGACGACCATTACTTGATGCATAATCGAGTGGAGTACATCCATCATTATCCTTTGCTTCTTTATTAGCACCAATAGCGATTAAATATTGAACAACTTCAAGATGACCATTTCTTGATGCATAAATGAGTGAAGTATCTCCTTCAATATCCTTTGCTTCTATATCAGCTCCAACAGAGATAAGATATTTAACAATTTCAATATGGCCAATAAACGATGCATAATTGAGTGGAGTCAAGCCACGTGAACTCTTTGTACCTTTATCACAGCCGCATTCAATGAGAGATTTGACAAGTTTGAGATTTCCTTTATTACTTGCTACATGAAGTACATTCCTTTCATCAAACTCATCACCATCATCTCGAAAATGTACAGTAGTTGTCTTCTTCCAAAGTCCTTCTTCACATGCTTTTGAAATCATTTTTCGATTTCCTTGAGATGAAAGCTCATCAAGGAAATTGTAGATACTTTCGAAATCATCTGATTCCTTTAGCTCTTTAATTTTTGATAAAATTGTTTCATCGGCTTGATTGGTGTTACTTTCCATTTCATTGAGTTTTTCTTTTAATTTGTTGCTTTCTTCATTGATTTGATTGAGTTGAGATTGAAGTGATTGTATTTCGTTGTCACTTTTTTGTTTTGGAATTTCGTTTAGCTCTGTTTGAAGTTTTTGGATTTTCTCTGTAGAATCGTATATTTCTTTTCCTTTGGAATCTAAAAAGTCAACAATACTATTAAGTATTCTGAGTTTCATGTACTTTTTGATTGATTTCAGTGTTGAAATAACATCTTCAAAGTTTTGAATATAAATATTAGCATTTCGAGTACAAGCATATAATTTATTTGCATTGATAGTAGGATGTGACTGCTCAAGAAGAGCAATGAAGCCATTTGCTGTAAAATTTGAAATTTTCATGATCTTTTTGATGTCTTCTATTTCAAATACATCAAAGAAATTACCTTCGTCAATATATTCACTGATATGAGAAGCAATATGTTCATAATCTTGAATATGAGCTTGACTCATCCAAATGAGAAAATGAAACTTTACAAATTAAAAATCCAACAAAAAAAATAAATTAAATTCAATTTAAAAAAAAAGTAATTGCTACTAAGCTTTTCTATTTATTAGATCAAGTGTTTTAACTTAAATGCCATAAATTTCAATTCTCTACATTAATATAAACACTTTTAAAGAGACTCAGAAAAATTGAGATGAAAATGAGATTTATCGTTTTCGCCTCAGTTTCAAGATAAAAATCCAACATAAAATTAAAATTAATATTTATTATTAAAAGAAGTTAATAAAATAAATTTATATTGAACGTCGGATTTAACTTCAAAATTTAAGATTTTGAAATTTAATTCTAGCTTCAAAACAGAAATTTAAGCATAACTAGAAGCAACTACATATTGCATGTTCTGCTTATTCGGGCTCACATGTTTGATAATTTACCCTCACTCTCAGTTTAGGTACTATTATCATTAGAAATGTAAACTATTCAAAAATTGATAGTTTCCTCTTTTGATTTTCACAGTTTATGTAGAAATGTCAAATAAATTTATATTCATGTGATATGTAATCATACTAAAGCTTCATGGTGGAAGATTTCTTATGGTCAAACTTTGTCTTCATAAAAATTTTACATTTTATTCAGAATATTGATGAATATATGAAACACTCAGGTATAAATATAGATGGTTATATGAAATTTATATGTCAGATTGTGAACATAGTTAAATTTCCCATCTCATTTTCATTTTGATATTTTTTTTCATATATTAAATAGACATCAATATAACTCAGAGTATGAATTTCATCATGTATCTTGTTTTAATAGTCTACTTTTAACTGTGAATCAAAATGTGAATCTTTCAATACTATTCAAAAATTGAATATCAAAATGGAAATTATCGTTATTGTCTTAGTGAATCAATTGACACAAATCATTTCGAATAATGTTTTCAAAAAGAAATATAAACAAGATCGATATTTATGATATGTTGCTCGATGTATAGGCCTTCGTTTGGCTAGAACATAATTTCTGGCCAAAAGCTCCACACCACGCGAAATATTTATTTATTTGTATTTCATTTTTGTAACAAATGTTTTTATCCCTTTTAAGAAAATGGTGGGAAACCGTATGTGGTGGTGCCGCCAGCGAATTGACCATCCATTACGTCAGTTGATGACATTTCCAAAAGACGACCAACTTATCTACAAGATCCAGTTTTTAGGATTAGAACTCGATGATTTACGATCAGCCGATTTAGGTGAATTAAAATCTATGTTCCGTAATGAACAAATGGCAATCAACGCACAAGACATTGCACGCAAATTCCCTATTGTCGAAATCGACACTCGTTATCAACCGATTTCCGATCAAATCATCAACATCATCATCGAAGCATCATTTCCATTCAAATGGGATCCACATGTTACTCACGACACATTGAGTTTCTGGATCTTCATTGAAGACGGTAACGGAGAAAAGATGTATCTTGCTCAAGAAGTCCAAATTGATCGACATCTTGCTAATGATGGCTTCAAATTCGAATACCTTGTTCCAGTTTGTGAAAGTCATAAGTATTTAGTTACTATGACATCTAGCCGCTTTTTAGGTGTTGGTGATTCACAATAATCTATTTACATCAAAAACTCAGACCGTGCTACATTCGATAGTTTCGAATCTAATCCACCTAATTTACGACCACTCCCAGTTACATCTATTGAAAACATTGAACATCGAAAACTGTTTGGTTTTGAGTTCTTTAACCCAGTCCAGTCACAAGTTTTCTTCCAGACATATCGCACTGATGAAAGTCTCCTGATTTGCGCTCCTACAGCTGCAGGCAAGACATCAATTGCCGAACTTGCGATTTGTCGCCTTTTCTCAACACATCCCGAACAAAAAGCAGTTTACCTGGCTCCTCTTAAAGCTATTGTCACAGAACGTGTTCAAGACTGGCGCATGAAATTCGGCGATAAATTGATTGAATTGACAGGTGAATTCACCCCAGATTCTAATGCTATTGCTAAAGCAAGTCTTATTGTTGCCACACCAGAGAAATGGGATGCCGTTTCTCGTGGATTTGTTGTTCGTCGTTTTGTCCAAACAGTTGGTTTAGTTGTTATTGATGAAGCACATTTACTTGGTACAGACCGTGGCCACATCATTGAAGCAGTTGTTGACCGAATGAAATCGATGCCAACTAAAGTCCGATTCATTGGTTTGAGCACATGTTTATCTAATCCACTTGATGTTGCAGAGTTCTTAGGTGTTTCTCGTCGTGGTACATACAACTTCCCTCCACAAATGCGCGCTGTTCCATTGAAGACATTCATCCGTGGATTCCCTGGTCGTCATTTCTGTCCTCGAATGGCATCTATGAACAAACCACTTTCAGATGCTATCCGTGAGTACTCTAATGACAAACCAACACTTGTTTTCGTTCCATCACGTCGTCAGACTCGTTTGACAGCATTCGACCTTATTTCATACGCAACGAACAGAGGCGAACCATTCTATTACACTACACCAGAGACCGCATTGGCCAGCCAGAAAGTTCAAGACCAAACATTGTCACATTGTCTTAGTTTAGGTATTGGTTTGCATCACGCAGGTTTAGTTTCCAGTGACTGCGAGATTGTTGAAGAATTGTTTGCATCAGGAAAGATGAAGTTGTTAGTTGCTACAGCCACATTGGCATGGGGTGTCAATCTTCCTGCACATTTTGTTGTCATCAAAGGCACTGAGTTCCACGACGCTAAGACATGCCAATACGTTCCATACTCTAGCACTGAAATGCAGCAGATGATGGGTCGTGCTGGTCGTCCTCAGTTCGACACAGAAGGCATTGTCATGATTCTTTGCGAGGAAGGTCGTAAAGATTTCTTGAAGCGATTCATCAACTCTCCTCTTCCAGTCGAATCTAACTTATTCGAACACGCTAGTGAACACGCCAATGCTGAGATTGCATCAGGTCGTATCAAATCTAAGAAGTCACTTATGTCATGGCTTAAACGTTCATTCTTTGCAATCCGTCTTGATAAGAATCCCGGTTATTACGAGAACATCACATTGGAAGAAGTTTCATCGAACATCATCAAAGCGTTGACAGACAAACACTGCATCAGTGTCAACTTGGAAGGACACATCAATCCAACACCAGAAGGACGCATTGCATCCATCTTCTATGTCTCTCCCGACGACGTTAAGTTGTTTATTGATCGCATGAATGAGTCATCCAATGTTGTTTCTCTTCTTCGTCTTATCTGCATGGCACAGGAATTCAAACAAGTCCCAGTTCGTCACTCAGAAGACGAAGTTGTCATGGACATGACTCCACGCTTCAAGACCGAAGATCCCATTGATTCTCCTCACACCAAAGCATTCTTCATGTGCCAGTACTACTTTTCTCGTCGTGAGATGCCTATTCCCGATTTCATCACCGATTTGGCATCGGTTCTTGACCAAGCTCTTCGAATTGTCGGATGTTTCTCGGAGATCGCCGCCATCCGAGGCGAACTTAACGCCGTCATCAATGCAAGCATTCTCACCCAGATGCTTGTCCAAGGCTGCTGGCACGACCAGAACTCTATCCAAGCATTAGTTGATGTTCAGTTATTCAAACAACTTCAGCAACAAAACATCAACTTGCTTCCTCAAATCTTGTTCAAAGACACACCTCTTCCAGGCACCGAATTCATCAAAGATCGAGTTGTTCTTTTCAAGAACAAGTCACATTTGATTTCCACCAACGGCATGGCAGTCCGTATCACATTGGAACACATCTCAGGAACACTTGGTTCACAAGTCATTTCTCCACACTTCACGCGTAAAGGTATCCAAAGTCTTTTCATTCTTGTTGGCGATCCATCCACAGGTAAGTTGTTTGGTCACCGCCGTGTTCAACTTAAGAAGGAAACACATGTTGTCACCATCCAATGTCAGGAAAGAATTCCAGGAAGTGCATGGATTTACATGCTTTCCGATTGTTACCTTGGCATTGACCAGATGTATCCGATCATTTCATCAGAGATGAACAACTTGAAATCAGCAAGTGGAAAACTTGTTGAATCACATCTTGAATTCGATTCTCATCTTGTCCAAATCGACCGCAACCGTAATCGAAAGAAACGAGATATATTCCTTAAGAAACCAGATTCCAATCCAGAACAACAACCACAACAAAATGAAACATCCAAACCAAAACAACAAGAACAACAAAACAAGGACAAAGACAAAGATCAAGATAAAACCGGAAACAAAAACAAACAGAATCAAAAGAAACAACAAAATCAAAACCAAAAGAATAAGAAACAGAAACAGAAAACAAATTTTGCAGAGTATGTTGGTGATGAACATAAAACAGAAGAAAAACCAAAACATCCAGAATCTCAAAAACAAAATTCTAAGTTCGCCGAGTACAAACTACCGAGATCTTCCGAAGAACAAAGTAACAATAATAACAACAATAAGAATAACAAGAACAAGAAACTTCAACAGCCAGTTCACGAAATCAGAATCGAGCGTCCTAAACGAGATGAACCTCATCTTGATATTCCGAAGGTGTTCGTAACGAAAACTTTGAAGCACATCGAAACGAAGAAGTTCGTCGTCAACCAAGAACTCGTTCCCGTGGTGGTGGTCGAGGTAACATCGACATTAGATAAATTTGTATTTATATATATCTATATATATTTATGTTATATTACAAATAAAAGATATCTTTTTATTTATTTATCTCCATTACAACTTAAATTATTATAATCTACAGTCTTCATAAAGATTTTAGATAATTTTTTACATTGTCTGTTGCAAGATCTAATGCCGTTTTTCCATCATTATTCTTTGCTTCTTTATCAGCTCCATTAGAGATAAGATATTGAACAACTTCAAGATGACCTTCTTCTGATGCACAAATGAGTGGAGTAGATCCATTATTATTCTTTGCTTCTTTATCAGCTCCATTAGAGATAAGATATTTAACAACATCAAGATGACCATATCTTGATGCCCAAATGAGTGGAGTCCATCCATCATTATCCTTTGCTTCTTTGTTAGCTCCATTAGAGATAAGATATTGAACAACTTCAAGATGACCGGTAACTGATGCAAAAATGAGTGGAGTATATCCATATTTATCCTTTGCTTCTTTATCAGCTCCATTAGAGATTAAATATTGAACAACTTCAAGATGACCATATCTTGATGCCCAAATGAGTGGAGTCCATCCATTATTATTCTTTGCTTCTTTATCAGCTCCATTAGAGATAAGATATTGAACAACTTCAAGTTTACAATATCTTGATGCCCAAATGAGTGGAGTCATTTCCCGATTATCCTTTGCTTCTTTATCAGCTCCATTAGAGATAAGATATTGAACAACTTCAAGATGACCATTAGCTGATGCAAAAATGAGTGGAGTATTTCCATCATTACTCTTTGCTTCTTTATCAGCACCAACAGAGATAAGATATTGAACAACTTCAAGATGACCATTAGCTGATGCAAAAATGAGTGGAGTATTTCCATCATTATTCTTTACTTCTTTATCAGCTCCATTAGAGATAAGATATTGAACAACTTCAAGATGACCATTATCTGATGCCCAAATGAGTGGAGTCCATCCATATTTATTCTTTGCTTCTTTATCAGCTCCATTAGAGATAAGATATTGAACAACTTCAAGATGACCATTAGATGATGCATAAATGAGTGGAGTAGATCCAGCATTATCCTTTGCTTCTTTATCAGCTCCATTAGAGATAAGATATTTAACAATTTCAATATGGCCAATAAACGATGCATAATTGAGTGGAGTCAAGCCACATGAACTCTTTGTACCTTTATCACAGCCGCATTCAATGAGAGATTTGACAAGTTTGAGATTTCCTTTATTACTTGCTACATGAAGTACATTCCTTTCATCAAACTCATCACCATCATCTCGAAAATGTACAGTAGTTGTCTTCTTCCAAAGTCCTTCTTCACATGCTTTTGAAATCATTTTTCGATTTCCTTGAGATGAAAGCTCATCAAGGAAATTGTAGATACTTTCGAAATCATCTGATTCCTTTAGCTCTTTAATTTTTGATAAAATTGTTTCATCGGCTTGATTGGTGTTACTTTCCATTTCATTGAGTTTTTCTTTTAATTTGTTGCTTTCTTCATTGATTTGATTGAGTTGAGATTGAAGTGATTGTATTTCGTTGTCACTTTTTTGTTTTGGAATTTCGTTTAGCTCTGTTTGAAGTTTTTGGATTTTCTCTGTAGAATCGTATATTTCTTTTCCTTTGGAATCTAAAAAGTCAACAATACTATTAAGTATTCTGAGTTTCATGTACTTTTTGATTGATTTCAGTGTTGAAATAACATCTTCAAAGTTTTGAATATAAATATTAGCATTTCGAGTACAAGCATATAATTTATTTGCATTGATAGTAGGATGTGACTGCTCAAGAAGAGCAATGAAGCCATTTGCTGTAAAATTTGAAATTTTCATGATCTTTTTGATGTCTTCTATTTCAAATACATCAAAGAAATTACCTTCGTCAATATATTCACTGATATGAGAAGCAATATGTTCATAATCTTGAATATGAGCTTGACTCATCCAAATGAGAAAATGAAACTTTACAAATTAAAAATCCAAAAAAAAATAAATTAAATTAAATTTAAAAAAAAAGTAATTGCTACTAAGCTTTTCTATTTATTAGATCAAGTGTTTTAACTTAAATGCCATAAATTTCAATTCTCTACATTAATATAAACACTTTTAAGAGACTCAGAAAAATTGAGATGAAAATGAGATTTATCGTTTTCGCCTCAGTTTCAAGATAAAAATCCAACATAAAATTAAAATTAATATTTATTATTAAAAGAAGTTAATAAAATAAATTTATATTGAACGTCGGATTTAACTTCAAAATTTAAGATTTTGAAATTTAATTCTAGCTTCAAAACAGAAATTTAAGCATAACTAGAAGCAACTACATATTGCATGTTCTGCTTATTCGGGCTCACATGTTTGATAATTTACCCTCACTCTCAGTTTAGGTACTATTATCATTAGAAATGTAAACTATTCAAAAATTGATAGTTTCCTCTTTTGATTTTCACAGTTTATGTAGAAATGTCAAATAAATTTATATTCATGTGATATGTAATCATACTAAAGCTTCATGGTGGAAGATTTCTTATGGTCAAACTTTGTCTTCATAAAAATTTTACATTTTATTCAGAATATTGATGAATATATGAAACACTCAGGTATAAATATAGATGGTTATATGAAATTTATATGTCAGATTGTGAACATAGTTAAATTTCCCATCTCATTTTCATTTTGATATTTTTTTTCATATATTAAATAGACATCAATATAACTCAGAGTATGAATTTCATCATGTATCTTGTTTTAATAGTCTACTTTTAACTGTGAATCAAAATGTGAATCTTTCAATACTATTCAAAAATTGAATATCAAAATGGAAATTATCGTTATTGTCTTAGTGAATCAATTGACACAAATCATTTCGAATAATGTTTTCAAAAAGAAATATAAACAAGATCGATATTTATGATATGTTGCTCGATGTATAGGCCTTCGTTTGGCTAGAACATAATTTCTGGCCAAAAGCTCCACACCACGCGAAATATTTATTTATTTGTATTTCATTTTTGTAACAAATGTTTTTATCCCTTTTAAGAAAATGGTGGGAAACCGTATGTGGTGGTGCCGCCAGCGAATTGACCATCCATTACGTCAGTTGATGACATTTCCAAAAGACGACCAACTTATCTACAAGATCCAGTTTTTAGGATTAGAACTCGATGATTTACGATCAGCCGATTTAGGTGAATTAAAATCTATGTTCCGTAATGAACAAATGGCAATCAACGCACAAGACATTGCACGCAAATTCCCTATTGTCGAAATCGACACTCGTTATCAACCGATTTCCGATCAAATCATCAACATCATCATCGAAGCATCATTTCCATTCAAATGGGATCCACATGTTACTCACGACACATTGAGTTTCTGGATCTTCATTGAAGACGGTAACGGAGAAAAGATGTATCTTGCTCAAGAAGTCCAAATTGATCGACATCTTGCTAATGATGGCTTCAAATTCGAATACCTTGTTCCAGTTTGTGAAAGTCATAAGTATTTAGTTACTATGACATCTAGCCGCTTTTTAGGTGTTGGTGATTCACAATCCATTTACATCAAAAACTCAGACCGCGCTACATTCGATAGTTTCGAATCTAATCCACCTAATTTGCGTCCACTCCCAGTTACATCTATTGAAAACATTGAACATCGAAAACTGTTTGGTTTTGAGTTCTTTAACCCAGTCCAGTCACAAGTTTTCTTCCAGACATATCGCACTGATGAAAGTCTCCTGATTTGCGCTCCTACAGCTGCAGGCAAGACATCAATTGCCGAACTTGCGATTTGTCGCCTTTTCTCAACACATCCCGAACAAAAAGCAGTTTACCTGGCTCCTCTTAAAGCTATTGTCACAGAACGTGTTCAAGACTGGCGCATGAAATTCGGCGATAAATTGATTGAATTGACAGGTGAATTCACCCCAGATTCTAATGCTATTGCTAAAGCAAGTCTTATTGTTGCCACACCAGAGAAATGGGATGCCGTTTCTCGTGGATTTGTTGTTCGTCGTTTTGTCCAAACAGTTGGTTTAGTTGTTATTGATGAAGCACATTTACTTGGTACAGACCGTGGCCACATCATTGAAGCAGTTGTTGACCGAATGAAATCGATGCCAACTAAAGTCCGATTCATTGGTTTGAGCACATGTTTATCAATCCACTTGATGTTGCAGAGTTCTTAGGTGTTTCTCGTCGTGGTACATACAACTTCCCTCCACAAATGCGCGCTGTTCCATTGAAGACATTCATCCGTGGATTCCCTGGTCGTCATTTCTGTCCTCGAATGGCATCTATGAACAAACCACTTTCAGATGCTATCCGTGAGTACTCTAATGACAAACCAACACTTGTTTTCGTTCCATCACGTCGTCAGACTCGTTTGACAGCATTCGACCTTATTTCATACGCAACGAACAGAGGCGAACCATTCTATTACACTACACCAGAGACCGCATTGGCCAGCCAGAAAGTTCAAGACCAAACATTGTCACATTGTCTTAGTTTAGGTATTGGTTTGCATCACGCAGGTTTAGTTTCCAGTGACTGCGAGATTGTTGAAGAATTGTTTGCATCAGGTAAGATGAAGTTGTTAGTTGCTACAGCCACATTGGCATGGGGTGTCAATCTTCCTGCACATTTTGTTGTCATCAAAGGCACTGAGTTCCACGACGCTAAGACATGCCAATACATTCCATACTCTAGCACTGAAATGCAGCAGATGATGGGTCGTGCTGGTCGTCCTCAGTTCGACACAGAAGGCATTGTCATGATTCTTTGCGAGGAAGGTCGTAAAGATTTCTTGAAGCGATTCATCAACTCTCCTCTTCCAGTCGAATCTAACTTATTCGAACACGCTAGTGAACACGCCAATGCTGAGATTGCATCAGGTCGTATCAAATCTAAGAAGTCACTTATGTCATGGCTTAAACGTTCATTCTTTGCAATCCGTCTTGATAAGAATCCCGGTTATTACGAGAACATCACATTGGAAGAAGTTTCATCGAACATCATCAAAGCGTTGACAGACAAACACTGCATCAGTGTCAACTTGGAAGGACACATCAATCCAACACCAGAAGGACGCATTGCATCCATCTTCTATGTCTCTCCCGACGACGTTAAGTTGTTTATTGATCGCATGAATGAGTCATCCAACGTTGTTTCTCTTCTTCGTCTTATCTGCATGGCACAGGAATTCAAACAAGTCCCAGTTCGTCACTCAGAAGACGAAGTTGTCATGGACATGACTCCACGCTTCAAGACCGAAGATCCCATTGATTCTCCTCACACCAAAGCATTCTTCATGTGCCAGTACTACTTTTCTCGTCGTGAGATGCCTATTCCCGATTTCATCACCGATTTGGCATCGGTTCTTGACCAAGCTCTTCGAATTGTCGGATGTTTCTCGGAGATCGCCGCCATCCGAGGCGAACTTAACGCCGTCATCAATGCAAGCATTCTCACCCAGATGCTTGTCCAAGGCTGCTGGCACGACCAGAACTCTATCCAAGCATTAGTTGATGTTCAGTTATTCAAACAACTTCAGCAACAAAACATCAACTTGCTTCCTCAAATCTTGTTCAAAGACACACCTCTTCCAGGCACCGAATTCATCAAAGATCGAGTTGTTCTTTTCAAGAAACATGTCACATTTGATTTCCACCAACGGCATGGCAGTCCGTATCACATTGGAACACATCTCAGGAACACTTGGTTCACAAGTCATTTCTCCACACTTCACGCGTAAAGGTATCCAAAGTCTTTTCATTCTTGTTGGCGATCCATCCACAGGTAAGTTGTTTGGTCACCGCCGTGTTCAACTTAAGAAGGAAACACATGTTGTCACCATCCAATGCCAAGAAAGAATTCCAGGAAGTGCATGGATTTACATGCTTTCCGATTGTTACCTTGGCATTGACCAGATGTATCCAATCATTTCATCAGAGATGAACAACTTGAAATCAGCAAGTGGAAAACTTGTTGAATCACATCTTGAATTCGATTCTCATCTTGTCCAAATCGACCGCAACCGTAATCGAAAGAAACGAGATATATTCCTTAAGAAACCAGATTCCAATCCAGAACAACAACCACAACAAAAATGAAAATCCAAACCAAAACAACAAGAACAACAAAACAAGGACAAAGACAAAGATCAAGATAAAACCGGAAACAAAAACAAACAGAATCAAAAGAAACAACAAAATCAAAACCAAAAGAATAAGAAACAGAAACAGAAAACAAATTTTGCAGAGTATGTTGGTGATGAACATAAAACAGAAGAAAAACCAAAACATCCAGAATCTCAAAAACAAAATTCTAAGTTCGCCGAGTACAAACTACCGAGATCTTCCGAAGAACAAAGTAACAATAATAACAACAATAAGAATAACAAGAACAAGAAACTTCAACAGCCAGTTCACGAAATCAGAATCGAGCGTCCTAAACGAGATGAACCTCATCTTGATATTCCCGAAGGTGTTCGTAACGAAAACTTTGAAGCACATCGAAACGAAGAAGTTCGTCGTCAACCAAGAACTCGTTCCCGTGGTGGTGGTCGAGGTAACATCGACATTAGATAAATTTGTATTTATATATATCTATATATATTTATGTTATATTACAAATAAAAGATATCTTTTTATTTATTTATCTCCATTACAACTTAAATTATATAATCTACAGTCTTCATAAAGATTTTAGATAATTTTTTACATTGTCTGTTGCAAGATCTAATGCCGTTTTTCCATCATTATTCTTTGCTTCTTTATCAGCTCCATTAGAGATAAGATATTGAACAACTTCAAGATGACCTTCTTCTGATGCACAAATGAGTGGAGTAGATCCATTATTATTCTTTGCTTCTTTATCAGCTCCATTAGAGATAAGATATTTAACAACATCAAGATGACCATATCTTGATGCCCAAATGAGTGGAGTCCATCCATCATTATCCTTTGCTTCTTTGTTAGCTCCATTAGAGATAAGATATTGAACAACTTCAAGATGACCGGTAACTGATGCAAAAATGAGTGGAGTATATCCATATTTATCCTTTGCTTCTTTATCAGCTCCATTAGAGATTAAATATTGAACAACTTCAAGATGACCATATCTTGATGCCCAAATGAGTGGAGTCCATCCATTATTATTCTTTGCTTCTTTATCAGCTCCATTAGAGATAAGATATTGAACAACTTCAAGTTTACAATATCTTGATGCCCAAATGAGTGGAGTCATTTCCCGATTATCCTTTGCTTCTTTATCAGCTCCATTAGAGATAAGATATTGAACAACTTCAAGATGACCATTAGCTGATGCAAAAATGAGTGGAGTATTTCCATCATTATCTTTGCTTCTTTATCAGCACCAACAGAGATAAGATATTGAACAACTTCAAGATGACCATTAGCTGATGCAAAAATGAGTGGAGTCCATCCATATTTATTCTTTGCTTCTTTATCAGCTCCATTAGAGATAAGATATTGAACAACTTCAAGATGACCATTAGATGATGCAAAATGAGTGGAGTAGATCCATTATTATTCTTTGCTTCTTTGTTAGCTCCAATAGAGATTAAATATTGAACAACTTCAAGATGACCTTCTTCTGATGCACAAATGAGTGGAGTATTTCCATCATTATTCTTTGCTTCTTTATCAGCACCAACAGAGATAAGATATTTAACAACTTCAAGATGACCATTTCTTGATGCCCAAATGAGTGGAGTCCATCCATCATTATTCTTTGCTTCTTTATCAGCACCAACAGAGATAAGATATTTAACAACTTCAAGATGACCATTAGATGATGCATAAATGAGTGGAGTAGATCCAGCATTATCCTTTGCTTCTTTATCAGCTCCATTAGAGATAAGATATTTAACAATTTCAATATGACCATGCCATGATGCATAATTGAGTGGAGTCAAGCCACGTGAACTCTTTGTACCTTTATCACAGCCGCATTCAATGAGAGATTTGACAAGTTTGAGATTTCCTTTATTACTTGCTACATGAAGTACATTCCTTTCATCAAACTCATCACCATCATCTCGAAAATGTACAGTAGTTGTCTTCTTCCAAAGTCCTTCTTCACATGCTTTTGAAATCATTTTTCGATTTCCTTGAGATGAAAGCTCATCAAGGAAATTGTAGATACTTTCGAAATCATCTGATTCCTTTAGCTCTTTAATTTTTGATAAAATTGTTTCATCGGCTTGATTGGTGTTACTTTCCATTTCATTGAGTTTTTCTTTTAATTTGTTGCTTTCTTCATTGATTTGATTGAGTTGAGATTGAAGTGATTGTATTTCGTTGTCACTTTTTTTTTTTGGAATTTCGTTTAGCTCTGTTTGAAGTTTTTGGATTTTCTCTGTAGAATCGTATATTTCTTTTCCTTTGGAATCTAAAAAGTCAACAATACTATTAAGTATTCTGAGTTTCATGTACTTTTTGATTGATTTCAGTGTTGAAATAACATCTTCAAAGTTTTGAATATAAATATTAGCATTTCGAGTACAAGCATATAATTTATTTGCATTGATAGTAGGATGTGACTGCTCAAGAAGAGCAATGAAGCCATTTGCTGTAAAATTTGAAATTTTCATGATCTTTTTGATGTCTTCTATTTCAAATACATCAAAGAAATTACCTTCGTCAATATATTCACTGATATGAGAAGCAATATGTTCATAATCTTGAATATGAGCTTGACTCATCCAAATGAGAAAATGAAACTTTACAAATTAAAAATCCAATAAAAAAAATAAATTAAATTAAATTTAAAAAAAAAAGTAATTGCTACTAAGCTTTTCTATTTATTAGATCAAGTGTTTTAACTTAAATGCCATAAATTTCAATTCTCTACATTAATATAAACACTTTTTAAGAGACTCAGAAAAATTGAGATGAAAATGAGATTTATCGTTTTCGCCTCAGTTTCAAGATAAAAATCCAACATAAAATTAAAATTAATATTTATTATTAAAAGAAGTTAATAAAATAAATTTATATTGAACGTCGGATTTAACTTCAAAATTTAAGATTTTGAAATTTAATTCTAGCTTCAAACAGAAATTTAAGCATAACTAGAAGCAACTACATATTGCATGTTCTGCTTATTCGGGCTCACATGTTTGATAATTTACCCTCACTCTCAGTTTAGGTACTATTATCATTAGAAATGTAAACTATTCAAAAATTGATAGTTTCCTCTTTTGATTTTCACAGTTTATGTAGAAATGTCAAATAAATTTATATTCATGTGATATGTAATCATACTAAAGCTTCATGGTGGAAGATTTCTTATGGTCAAACTTTGTCTTCATAAAAATTTTACATTTTATTCAGAATATTGATGAATATATGAAACACTCAGGTATAAATATAGATGGTTATATGAAATTTATATGTCAGATTGTGAACATAGTTAAATTTCCCATCTCATTTTCATTTTGATATTTTTTTTCATATATTAAATAGACATCAATATAACTCAAAAAAAAAAAAAAAAAAAAAAAAAAAAAAAAAAAAAAAAAAAAAAAAAAAAAAAAAAAAAAAAAGGTAGTGGGGCTTCCAGGCACTTCGTGCCCTCTAGCCCCGAAGATGTTTAGTATAAATGAAGTCTTGACAAAACATTTACGAAGAAATCTCAACAAAGTCTTTACGAAGAAATCTCAACAAAGTCTTTACGAAGAAATCTCAACAAAGTCTTTACGAAGAAGTCTTGACAAAGTCTTTACGAAGAAGTCTTAACAAAACATTTACGAAGAAGTCTTAACAAAACATTTACGAAGAAGTCTTGACAAAGTCTTTACGAAGAAGTCTTGACAAAGTCTTTATGAAGAAATCTTGACAAAGTCTTTATGAAGAAGTCTTGACAAAATATTTACGAAGAAGTCTTGACAAAGTCTTTATGAAGAAATCTTGACAAAGTCTTTACGAAGAAATCTCAACAAAGTCTTTACGAAGAAATCTTAACAAAACATAGACAAGAAAGTTCATGAGTGTAAATGACCCAAAAATATACTACTAGGGTAGAAGGGTATATCTACCCCGTTTTCTACCCTCTTTTCTACCCTCTTGAATTTTCATGAATTTTACACCAAAAATATACTACTAGGGTCATTTACGAAGAAATCTCAACAAAGTCTTTACGAAGAAATCTTAACAAAACATAGACAAGAAAGTTCATGAGTGTAAATGACCCAAAAATATATTTTAGGGTAGAAGGGTATATCTACCCCGTTTTCTACCCTCTTTTCTACCCTCTTGAATTTTCATGAATTTTACACCAAAAATATATTTTAGGGTAGAAGGGTATATCTACCCCGTTTTCTACCCTCATTTCTACCCTCTTGAATTTTCATGAATTTTACACCAAAAATATACTACTAGGGTCATTTATGAAGAAATCTCAACAAAGTCTTTACGAAGAAATCTTAACAAAACATAGACAAGAAAGTTCATGAGAAATTAGATGAAGAAGTCTTAACAAAGTCTTTACGAAGAAATTCATGAAAATTCAAGAGGGTAGAAAAGAGGGTAGAAAACGGGGTAGATATACCCTTCTACCCTAAAATATATTTTTGGGTCATTTACGAAGAAATCTCAACAAAGTCTTTACGAAGAAATCTTGACAAAACATAGACAAGAAAGTTCATGAGAAATTAGATGAAGAAGTCTCAACAAAGTCTTTACGAAGAAGTCTCAACAAAGTCTTTACGAAGAAGTCTTAACAAAGTCTTTACGAAGAAGTCTTAACAAAGTCTTTACGAAGAAATTCATGAAAATTCAAGAGGGTAGAAAAGAGGGTAGAAAACGGGGTAGATATACCCTTCTACCCTAAAATATATTTTTGGGTCATTTACACTCATTTACGAAGAAATCTCAACAAAGTCTTTACGAAGAAGTCACAATAAAACATCTGTCAAAAACCTTAACCGAGTAGTTTTCATGTTTGTCACTTTTCTGTCACTTTTCAGGAAAAAACATTTTTATTATATATATAAAATGAATTTTACAAAACCACCGTTACCCTTCTTTGGAAATAAGAGTAGATGTAAAGATATTCTATTGAGAGAACTTAAGAAACTACCGAATGGTCTAACATTTGTAGATTTGTTCGGTGGAAGTTTCTATATATCCCATCTGTGCCATACCGTATTCCCAGACTCAAAGATTATATGCAATGACTTCGACAACTATATGAACCGTCTCAAACATATACCAGACACAAACAAAATATTGAAAGAGTTAAAAGAAAAGATACCTATAGGTAAGATGGAACGTATACCATTAGATAAGAAAAATACTGTCAGAGAGGTTTTGAAAAAGGCAGAGTATATTGACTGGGATAGTATATCTGCTAGACTATTATATAGTGGTGCTATAAGAGTTCATGACATTGAAACACTTATGTCAAAAGTTTTATATCTTAACTATACAAATGTTTTCAAAGAGAACATAGAAAAATATATTGAGGGTATAGAGTTTGTGAGATGTCATTGGACAGAGTTGTATGAAAAATATAAAGACAAGGAAAATGTTTTCTTTATAGTGGACCCGCCGTTCTATAACACATGGGATTTTCAATACCAAGTAGACTGGACTTTGAGAGACTCTTTAGAAACTTTAGACGTTTTACATAACCATCCATGCTTTTACTTTACATCCGATAAAAGTGGTTTGGAAAGTGTCATGAGATGGTTAGAGGACATACATGACTATGAGTTTAGATACGATAAGATAGAATATGAGAGAGGTCTATAAACTGGAGAAAGTGTCATAACAAAGAAATTTTACTAGTAAGTAAATGTGGTTTGAAATAGGACTACTTGTTTTAGGTTTTTTCCATTGTGTCATTTACTTATTTGACGTGGCAGAAAGATATAGAGAATATGAAGATGAACCAATGCCTGCAAATGTTCAGCATATGTACTCGTAAGAGATATTTTTATCTAATATTAAATGGACGCACAGAACTTAGCGAATGCACAGCAACCTGGAACCAAACCCAGAGAATATTTCCAAATGAAGTTAGAATACAAACTGCAATGGCAAACTATGGTCAAGTGCCAACAGATGTACAAATGCAAACTGCCATGTCAAATGACGCTGCGTTAGGTTTGCCACCATGGTATGCAATATGAGATGGAAAGAGTTTTATACAAACCCTGAGGTGGGATATAAACAACTTTATGCAGATGACGCGAACACAGGAGTTGACCCAGAGTATGTTTTCTACCAGAGGAGAAACAGAATGTATGAGCTCCAGTTAAAGAATGCTATGGAACTCAACAGGAAACGTAAGAGACTAGGCGGACATTAGATTTTTACATATAGTAAAATGGGTTTCTTTGGAAGAATAGGAAACTTCTTTCGAAATGTTGGAAGAGGTATATGGAATGGAAAAAAAACCGTAGAAGAGGAATTTGGAACGGAGTCAAAAATATTGGTAAAAGAGTAGGTCAGTTTGTTGGTATTATACCTAAAGACCCTGAACCAGAAGAGCAAGCTCCTGTTATACAACAGCCTGAACCTGCACCACAGTCTAGTTGGCAACCAAATCCAAACCTCAACCGTATTAAAAAATTATATTTTTACCGTTCGATAGTAGTTGTATATGAAACTAAGTTCTAAGTAAAACGCATGGTATAATGGAATTATTCTTTTTCTTCCATCTGTAGTAAACCATACTTGAAAGTCTGAAATACTTCCACTCGGCGGTTCATATAACTTTGTAGGTTTTCGTAAAAGTCATTTGCCAAGCATAAGAAAGAGTTTTTGGGCGCCAGAAAATGAAGCATGAACAATAATAGCAGCTGGGTCGAAAACATCTTTAAATAAATATGGTTATCATCTTTGCATATCGACTGTAAATATTTGCTAAAGGAAGTTCGACTTTCTGATTTAAACATTCTTTGCAAATAATACCATGACATTGCAGTGAATTCTGTATATATTTGTTCGTCTTTCTTTGGATTGTCTTCGTAGATTTGAAATGACACTTGTGGAATTTTGTTTGTCATATACAATTCTCACATAAAGTGTGCTCTCGGTATTTGCATATTCATCAGCATATTTTAATCATGAATTTATTATCTTCTATATTTTTTAACGCAGTCTGTAGAGAAGATGAAAGGTCAACTTGTATTAGCTCAATTTCTTCCCACATTTTTCGTTTCCCTTCAGATATATAATCTATATGAAACCTTACAATAAATGGAAAACTTTTATCTTCTACAGACACAAACTTCATTCTACGAAAGCCAATAGCTTTTGTGACAGATGGGTCTCTTAGCCATCTTAATGGGTAGTCAAAACGATAGCCTTCATGCTTTACGGTCTCTGTCTCAAACTTTTGACCGACATTCGTAAAAAGTTCATCTAATGGTTTAGTTGTAGCAACTCTTGAATTTTCTTTTTCTATTGAAAGCATATTTTATCTAGAATAAAAATGTCGAAAGAAACAGCGTCTATGAGAGAAATACAACACAACCGACAACTCATTGTACAAGCTCTAAATAAGAACACAACAAACTTTTCAAACTATTCTAAGATATCTGAGTCATTGAAAGAAGGAAACTTAAAACTGACATTAAACCCAATGACAGACGAGTTTCTATTTCAAGACAGTAAGAACCATACTGTTTGTATAAATCCAACAAAAAGAACTTTAAACGAGAAACCTATAGATGAACTTCTTTTGAAGGCAGATATTGACAACAAAGCTGACAAAGAGTATGTTGACGATGAGTTAGCACGTGTGGCTAGTGCGTTAGTGAAGAAGGCAGATAAGGAATATGTGAATGAAAAAGATGAAAAAATTATAGAAAGGGTTGAATGGTACCATGAACGGACAACAAAGATTTTAAAAGGTAAAGCCGATACAGGGTGGGTTTCAGGATGTTTAGACCTTAAAGCGGATAAGAACCATACACATACCATTGCAAATATTACAAACTTACAAGAAACCTTAAACAGGAAAAGTGACGTTGGACATACACATACCATTGCAAATATTACAAACTTACAAGAAACCTTAAACAGGAAAAGTGACGTTGGACATACACATAGCTTCTTCGCAACTGTTGGTATAGAAAATATTGAAGGAACGGTTGAAGAAACTGGTGGGGATGCAATATATTGTAAACCTCCTAACTTTCCACAAGGTTTAACATCGGATGACGACATAACAACGATGAGATACATTAGATGTAGAGATGTTTATGTCATGGAGGATGAAAATAAAGTTAAATTCACTGCTCAAGATTTATATGACAAGAAAGCAGACAAAACAGAGCTTCAAACATTAAAGACAGAAATACTTCAAACCATTTACCCAGTTGGTTCTATTTATACGTCAATGAACTCTACCAGACCAGAAGTAGTACTTGGTTTTGGAACTTGGACTCAAATACTCGAAAGTTTTTTGTATTGTGCACACACTCCAAAGAAAACAGGTGGAAGTAAAACGATATCTGTCGACAACTTGCCACCACATAGTCATTCTGGTACAACAAACTTTTCTGGCGACCATAGCCACTCATTAAGAGACCACCCATTATACAACTCAGAGTATGAAGCTGGCTATGACGTTTTATCTCCAGATTATAACCATTCAGCAAAAAAGACTTTTCGACAAACTGAACCAGGAGGAAACCACCAACATACTTTTACAACAACATCTACAGGACTAGGTAAAAAATACATGCCACCTTACATGACAGTTTGTGCATGGTATAGAATTGCTTAGTCGTCATTTTCAACTTCTTTAGCATATTCGTCAGGAGTTGTCTTATATTTGTTAGGAACTGTCTTTGAAAGTATACCACCTTGAACTTTGACAAGTTTGAAACGAGGTCTGACAATAGTAGTTTTATCTTCTGCTTGCAGTGTGTACATTTTGCCATGTTTGCCTAAAACTTCATAATATTCTCTTGTATACTTTCTTCTATTTTTACGAACACGAATGCGAGTACCTGTCGAGTTCCCATTGTTGTCATAGTCAATAGTATTTTCATATGGGTCGCGTTTAGGTATTTCTATTTTTACTTTGTCACCTTTCTTAAGTTTGAAGCCTGGCATTCTTTCTTGTTTGTCTCTTTTGACTAAACTATTAAATATATAGTCTTTCTCTAAGTCAGGGTTGTTTTTCATTTCTTCAGGGGAATGGTTTCCCAAACCTTTTTGTTTACGGCTATTGTAAATATTTAAAACTTGTCTCATCTTTGCCATGGAGAAGTGTCTGTACTTGTCGTCATATGACATTTCATCTACCTCACCACCTTGTGGTTGGTTTAAGTCTCTTAAGATTTTTATACAACTGTCAATGACACCAAGAGCAGAATGGTTTTGGTCGACAATGAAATATTGGTTTACATTTTTTGAACGCAGATAGTTTTTAATATCGTCTGATTTGAAAGAACTTTCACAGTCAGATGTCAGTTTTGTTGGATGGTATTTGTCAACGAATATTGTCAAAGCAGTTTTCACATCTAAAATATTTTTGGACTGCAATGGTATGGCTTCACAGTATCTTGTGTTTTGACCGACAAATATTAGCCAGTATGGTGGTCCATCTTCTCTATACCTCGGAATGTTTTCCAAGATATCCATAAACCAAGCATTTGGTGTTGAACTAAAGATTTTTATCATGAGTGCTTTCTTTGTCGCTTTAGAAACATAGGGGTCCTTGTTTGGATTCGTCATTTTTTAACCCATAAGAAATGGGTTTATTTGGCGCATTAGCAGGAGTTGCATCCAGATTTTTGCCCGCAGTGGGAACAATAGCTAGAGGTGCATTTGGAATTGGAAGGAAGATTTTGAGTACATTAGGTATACTGAAAGAGAAAGCACAACCTATTATACAAACTGTACAGAAAGGTTGGGAGGTAGCACGAGATGCAACAAATCTTATTCCAAATCCTGAAACAAGAGGAAAAGTTCAAGGATGGATGGACAATGTAGGAAGACAAGCAGGAAACTACTATAACAAAGCAAATGACTACTATAACCAAGCAGGGCACTATATGGACCAAGGTGAAAGATTCTTTAACAGAGGATATAACCATGCACAACAATGGGTAAACAACAACCAACCGCAACCACCTCAAACGTGGGGAATGTAAATTTTTTTACTGAGATGAAATGAACAATACAGCATTGAGACAAATGGGTTCAAGATGGATTTGTCGACTTCCAGCAGTTACACAACCACGTGTTTGTCAAGTTCTTCCTATACCTCAGGAAGTTTTAGACCGACTTAAAAAACCTAAACAACCAGTTGAAAACAAACCAAACTAAAATTTTTTACTGAGATGAAATGACCGAAGAAGTTGAAACCGTAGATTTGACACCACAAACAAAAAGTTCAGAACCATTGTCAAAACCTGTCAAAGAACTTACAGATGAAGAGAAAAATTCAATAATAGAAAGTGCCAGGTCTGGAAATACAAACCCTAACTATAAAGTCACTTTTCATAGAAATGGAACGGCTAGTATCTCAAAAAAGAAACAGACTCTCACAAATAAAATATTGAAGTCTGAAGGAGCTTTCGAGACAACAGATGGAAAAGTTTACTTCACTGACCAACAGTTCATTATAGAACATCTCATTGACTTAGAGTCGAAATATTCTAAACTTTACAACAAACACAAAAAGTTGAAAGGAAAACAAAAACAAATGGCATATGATATTTATGAAGATGTTGACGACACAACTGTTCCTGCAGGTGAAGTAAAGTCAGAGGAACCGAAAAGTGACGAAAAACCGATAGAAGAAGAGAAACCAAAAACTGAAGATAAACCAAAACCAAAGGTTAGTTTCCAAACTAAACCAAGTCAACCTTCATTAGCTGGTATGGGTTGGCGTCAAAGACTTATGGCAGCAGGCGGTTATGTAAAGTAAAGAAAAAAAAACATTTTTTTATTTTTATAAAAATGCCCCCGTATAGAATGGATAGAAGGTCTGCTAGAATAAAAGCAGAGTTAGAAAGATATGGTTGGAAAGTTTCAAAGAAGTTTAAATATAGGAAGGGAAGACCCATAAAAGTCTATGACAAACTGGCTGGTCTGACCTATGAAATGGACTTGGAAACAGCACGTGCAAATTATCCAAACAGACTAGAGAGGTTAGAAGAAGAACGTCTTATGGACATGCCTTTCGATGTTAGTGAACCTCAAGTTGAAGGACACGACGGCTTTGCCAGATTCTACTGGAAACATGACGAACAATTGCATCCTTTGAGAAGGAAAAAAGGGAAGGGTGAAGACAAACATGCTCCCATGGAAAGAACAAGATATGCATATGAGAAGTATCGTGAAGTTAGAAGTCAAATTACATCTGGTCGAACCTTTACAGTAAACTTTGACGAAGGAAAGAACAAAGAAGGCTTCATGGGAGTACTTGCTGCCATACAAGACGGAAATAAGAAAGGATACAATCTCAGATTGACCATAACAGATTTGGATGGTCACATTTACTATGCACATGGCAATGTCACAACAGCTGCAATGCTTCTTGACGCTTTCAAGACTACAAAGAGAGAACAAATGGTTGACTCCGACTCAGACATTTTGAATGCAATTGAAGGAATTGCAAGTGTAAAATTTGAATGGTACCAACCTAACCCTCAAGCAGTCAGACAACATGCTGGATACTTCCCGTTCATAAATAAGTCTGACATTGACTTGACAAGGTATGGAATTTACAATTCAATTGAAACAATTGTCAATGAACCTTGTATTCTTACATGTCTCAGGAACTCTGGTCTTGTTACAGAAGAGAAGATGAAGTATCTTGAGTCATGTGTGAAGACAAGGTACATTCTCAGAGGTCAATTGTCAAAAATTGCACCGTTGGCAAATGTCAATATCCGAGTCAACATTCCGACTGAGAAAGGTTCTTCACATGACGACTATGTTGTTGACAAAGACTTACCATGGTTGAAGATTGTAATTTCCACAACCACTTCATGTTGAACGAAAGTCTTACAAACCCATTGTTCGGAAAAGGCAAATGCAACATTGTCAGAGCTGTTAACATTCTTTTCGAGAAAGGTTTGTTGGAACCAATTCCAGATGACAAGCTGACAGAAACTTTTGTACCAAAAGATGAAACAAACTTTTCATTGTTGGTAAGACCAAAAGTTGTTCCAGACAAAGTTATAGCACAAAAGAAGTACACTGTTCCAAAAGGAGTTGGATTGTTCGGATACCAACCTGAACCAGAAGAACTTCCAATGAGGTTGCAAGAACTTCAAGATGCTATAAACAAACTTCCATTGAGACATCCAATTGACGTCAAATTGTATTGGAGAGCATCGGAGTTAGGTCAGAAGGTTTTATATGAAACAGGTTGCTTCGACGATGTTTATGAGATAGCAGGCGAAGTTTCTCAGAAGATAAGAGACTCACTTGAATTTCCACGAACTGGACCCATTGGTTGCGACAAGTTCGACTCAAACGAAAAGATATACTATGTCGACCTTAACGCCGCATACATGAGGTTCGTCCAATATATCCCGACTGGAATTCCAAACGAAGATGGTGAGTTCCCAGGAAGGAACTATACAGTTGGAAAAGTCATACAACAACTCTATGATATTAGGAAAGCTTCAAACCCCAAACTTGCAATGACAATCAAATTGCTTATGAATTCGACATGGGGGTATTCCATTAAAAAACCTCAAGAGATGAAGAGTAAACATTATGAGAAGGTCGACAACTTTGTTGAAAGGTTCTCCCCTTTTGTTTTGAAATACGAATTTACTCAAGGTCAAGGTGGCTTAGTAACCACAGTAAAACCTATTGTCGAACATTGGTCTTATCCTCAGTTCGCAAAAGCAGTCCTTGACAACTACAACAAATTCTTCTCCGAGGTCAAATCGAAAGTTGTGGTATACTACGAGAACATCGATGCACTCATGACGAACGAAGAAGGGTATAACAAACTCATTGAAATGGGAATGGTCGGTGAGAAAATGGGCTGTTTTAAGCTAGACAAGGTATTTTCCGAAGTTCATGTTCTCTCCAAGCGTAAGTACTGGGGTGTACTTGAAGACGGGACAGAAATAAAACATTGCATGAAATAAAACATTGCATACCATTTTAAAACATTTTTTAAAACAGTATATTTTTACATATATTAAATGTTTCAGGTTGAAAAACAAAGAACAAAAGTAGCAGATACAAAACCGTTAGACTATATCTTCACAAATGCCGGTAGGACTATATCAGATGAAGAAATTTCATCCCGTACTTACAGGTTTGACTATCCAATTCGTTGGCTTCAAAGTCCTTCAGATGCAAAGGCAATAGGATTTAGAAGAGTTTTGTTTTCAAATAGAACGAACGCTTTTATGTTCGCAGTATATTTTCACGGGCAGTATAGAGGTGATGATGGTCTAATAGACAAATTTGATGAAATGAGAATCTTTACAATTCGTTCAGACGAAAACCTTGAGAAGACTCTAAATGACTTTCAAACTCAAATAAACAAATACTACTGGGAATTTCAAGAAAAATACGATTCTTTACTAAATGGAACATACTATCTGAAACTAGAATATGACAAGATGAACTCCACAGTTTCATTTCAAAGGATTGAAAATAACCCTCCAAGAGATACACAGTTTTTATTTTGGGAAGTAGACAAACGTTCTTGGGCACAATTTCTTCGGTTACTAAACCAGAACGAACCATTACCACCTGACGGTCCGTTTAAATTTATACGCCCACCAACAGATTTGACAGTTTATAGAAACGTGTTTGACCCTCAAAATGTCATGTGTCATGCAAGTTTCAGTTCAAGCAACAACAGTTTTCTGTGTATCGGTAAGGACTTTTATGACTTTGCTTCTAAATTCTACGAACCACCTAGTAACAGTTTCTCTGACTTTCAAGTTTGGTTCACAACAAACGGTGTGCAGCATATTATTCCATTATACTATGACTTTTATCTCGAATTGTCTTTCATATACAACTACGGAAAAGTGCTGAAAAAGTATTGAAAAATATATTTTAGGGTAGAAGGGTATATCTACCCCGTTTTCTACCCTCTTTTCTACCCTCTTTTCTACCCTCGTAGAAAACACACAAAACTCTTGAATTTTGTATAAAAAAAGCAACCCGCCGTTTTCCGCGGGTTGGTATATTCTTCACAAAATGCTTGTTTTGAGGTCGAGCCATTTTTGGCTCCACCGTATTTTTAAACCAAACTCGTTCATTTTGTGCTGAAATAAAATAAAGGTAGTCCCACCAAAAAATATTTTTTTATTTTTATTGTAAGAACATGTCAGCAACAACAGCACCAAACTCGTTAGTCATGAACCCAACTTCTATGTTAGTAGAGATGAAAAGCTTCATTCCTTCTTCATATACTTTCGAAACAGAAATCCAGAAGATAAAGCAAGAACTTCTCCAAGGAGATTTAGACTGTAGTGCGAAAGATGAAACAAATGAACAGTATCTTTATGAAATGCAGGATATTATTGACCATCTACCTAAACTTCCTGAAATCCAACAACAAAAACTCACTATTCCAGAATTCGATGAAATAGAAGTCAAAGCAACTGACTCAGTAGAAATAAAGAAGTTCATACGAAAGGTAAACTATGAGTTTCTTGGATTTCATTACAACCACAAAGACTGCGATATGGTATATTTCATTGACATATATAAATCTGAAGAATTTAAGACCTACGACAACTTTGTTTCGTTAGTTGCTGAGTGTGTCTTGCAGATAAGAGATAAAGATAGAAGAGGTAAGGTATGGAACCAACAGATAAAACCAGCAGCCTTTGAGTTAAAGAAGACCATCTACGCCTTACTTGTTTTAGCAGGACAAATTTCAGAATATAACGCAAAAATGAACTCACAATGTTCAAAATGTAAAGCAGCAACAAGGAAATATAACTACTCCGTCAAAGAGATAGAAAGAATGAGAAAAGACCATACTGACTTAAAGAAAGAAGTAGAGAAACCAGCAGAAGATAAAATGGACATGTTGACATTTCTGAACAAAAACTATCCAACTGCTAACGATTTCCTTCTTTCAGATGTCAAGAAGAAATATAAAGAAACCTTCGGCATAGTTAAAATTTTTGATATCCTTCGTGAAGAAATAGAAGCTACAAAACTGTTTAAAGTCATGAACCATCACAACATATACCATGTAAAACGCTTGTAAATAGTTATGGTAGAAATGAGGGTAGAAAACGGGGTAGATATACCCTTCTACCCTAAAATATATTTTTATTGAATTCTGTATAAAATTCTGAGTAAAATGACATATGGAACACATACTTTTTCAGTAAGGACATATGGGGTAGAAATGAGGGTAGAAAACGGGGTAGATATACCCTTCTACCCTAAAATATATTTTTATTGAATTCAGCAACAAATTTCATGAATTTCCTCATATGTTTGCTACCCTCGGAAAACCGAGGATAGAGATTCCATTCGAAAATCGTAAAAAATTGCGACCCGCGGAAAACCGAGGAACGCCTAAAACACATGAAAATCGTAAAAAAATGACCAAATTTCATGATATAACTGTATCTTTTATACAAAATAAAATTAAAGTTAGTTTTTTTAAAATATTTTTTTTTATTTTGTATGTAAGAACAGGAAATGACAAACACTGAGTTTGAAACAGTTAAAAAGATAGACAATAACACCAAAGTGGTTAGAATAGGGGATTTAAACGTAAGATACTCAAAGAAATACAACAAATATTCTTTGTCAGACATTTTAACACTATCTGAAAAGAAAACATCCCACGACTGGGTTAGAAATGCTTCTACTCAGAAAATTTTGACAAGAAATCCTGAGCTTATGATATCGGTAAGATTCTATGGAACAAGAACATATCTCATCGACAAAAGTCTTATACCAGTAGTTTTGTTCTGGTTAGACCCAGTTGTTGGATATAATTTCATAACATATGGTTCATTCGATACGGAACGTTGCAGTGAAGGCTTACTTTACATCGTTCAGAAACCGAAAGACTTCAATACAAAGAGATATAAGATAGGAAGAACATTTAATATAACTAAAAGATATGACTCTACAGTCAATAGAGTTAAGGTTGTGTTTGTTAACGATATGAGAGCTGCAGAAACAGAACTGCTTGAAAAGTTTGAGAAAATGTATGGTGCTCCCACGAAAGGTAAAGAAACGTTTGAAGTAGATGAGATAGATAGTGCTATAAAATTATTTGACGAAGTTGCTGAAAAATACATGTAAAGCGTTTATTTTTGGTCTTTTATACAAGATAGAAAATAACGCTAATTTTATTTTTTTTTATTTTTTTATTTTGTATGTAAGAACAGAAATGTCAACAACAGAGAACACAACAACTGCTATCGTTCATGAAGCTATAAATGAAGAATATGAGTACATACAGTATAACAAACAGTTACGTCTCATTCGTTCGGTCAAAGATGACATGTACCAAATGCAAAGTATTTTGACAGCATGTTTTGCTCCAGATACTAAGCTTCCTAAAGACTGGTTTAGGAACCAAAGCACTATTGAACTATTAAATGAAGCACAGCGAGACATACTTTTTTCTGAAAATCGTGAAGAACAGCGAGTGGGAGAAAAACCCCAGTCGCCAAAACTCTATGAAAATCGTGAAAAATTGCCAAACGGTTTGAGAGGATATTATGTACATAGACTTCTTGTAAATAATGTGGCACAATGGGCTTCAGCTCGCTATTCATGGTATATTTGTAAACTTCTTGACGAACTTCACAGACAAGAACGCGAAGAGCTAGAGAACAAGCTTGAAGCAAAAGACAAAAATACAGAAAAGAATACCACGTTCGGTACCAAAAGGAAAGGAAAAGAACTATAAGTATATGATTTACACTGAAGAGATGGAAAATGAAGAAGACAGAGATATGGTTATGTTGCATTTAGTCAGAAGAAACAACAAAAGCTTTTACGACCTTGCTAAGATTTACAAATCTGACAGAAATTGGTTCTATCGCGAAAACTTACCGATTTCAATGACCCCAAATGAAGATGTGAAACAAATAGTTCAAGATACTTTACCTCAAACACACTATGATATTAAAGGTTGTACAATTCTTACCTTCAAAGAAGATTTGCCATTGTTAAAGGAAAAAATAACAGAGTATTTTGACAACTTCAAACAAGCAGAGTAAATTTCAATCTTTATTTTTCAAGCTTGCCTTTTACATTCTGCCTGAGGAAGTCTTTAACAAGCTCGTTAATTTCAATTAGATAAATTGCTTCGTCTAAGGGGTCAAGCTCCATACTGAGTCAGTACAATATTGTACTTTTTCAAGACAATGTTGTATAAATTCAGTACAATATTGTACTTTTTCAAGACAATGTTGTATAAATTCAGTACAATATTGTACTTTTTCAGAACAATGTTGTATAAATTCAGTACAATGTCTCTCAAATTTGAGTACAGCTGTACTTTTTCAGAACAATGTCTCTCAAATTTGAGTACAGCTGTACTTTTTCAGAACAAGTCTTGAACTTTTTCAGAACAATGTTGTACTTTTTCAGAACAATGTTGTACTTTTTCAAGACAATGTTGTACTTTTTCAAGACAATATTGTACTTTTTCAAGACAATATTGTACTTTTTCAAGACAATATTGTACTTATTCAAGACAATATTGTACTTATTCAGTACAATATTATATTGTTTCAGAACAAAGACGGTTAAGACACAAACGGATGACTGACGTTCCTCTTCCTGAATGCCTTCCAAAGCCAGAAGAACCGACAACCCCAGCACCACAACAGACTTACTAAGACTAAACATTTATTTTTCAAGCTTGACTTTTTACAATTTGAACTTTGTTCGCGTAGATGTGAATTCTGAAAGAAGTATGAGGGTCTTGTATGACTTTGTACTTCTCCCATAGTTCATGTCTGTCAAACTTACCTGCCATGGACTCTTTCATAAGTTCCATGAAATCGTCTTCGGACAATCCAGGGAAAAGTATGATATCAGTAAGTATTCTTTTAACATCCTTACTTAAACTCTTGGCTGTCTGTACACAAATGACAACTGAAATGTTAAAGTGTCTGAGCTTCTTAAGAATTCGACACATGTCTTGTTCTCTATTCTTTAACAAAGGATGAGAAGCAAAGTCATCTAAAATAAGAAGACATCTATGAGGGTAAGTCTTCCAATCGTAAGATTGCAATTTCTTCGAAATGTATTCTATCTCTTTCTGTTTGTTTCTGAAGTGTTTCTTCTCTAATATTCTCTGCATTTCCTCATTTGGGTCTTTAAACTTCGAATTGACATACTCATTTATAGCATTGTACTTCAAAACTCTTCTTTGGTACTTCTTTATCCAATCTAACAACTCAGAGTCTTTTATACATACTAACTTAGACTTTTTTATAATATCTTTGAACGAATTTACGGTTTGGTCAAATTGACCCGAAGTACTACAAATAACAACTAACTCATAGAATGGGTTCTTCTCATCTAGTTCTTGTTGTTGTGCAGCCATTTTAAGATAAGTGAAAGTCTTACCCGACCCAGGCGGTGCAATTAGACCTGTTATACCATTCTGAGCAAATAAGAACTTGTCATGTATGGGTTTTATCTGAGCATTTTCTAACTTCCTCTTGTTCTTGTTTAAAACATTCTCAAATTTCTTGTCAATGTCAGCAAACTTTTTTTCTAACATATTTTTAGAAAAATTAAAATTTTTATCTTTTTGAAAATGTCTAGCGATTTCGCTATCTATATTCGAGACAAGCTTTTCGACAGCAAAACATCTGTCGACCATAAAATCTTACATAGTGTAAACAGAAAGGTGAATTTGTTCTAAAGTTCTGTTTCTGGGAATATGACAAGAACGCATAAAACATTACAAAGAGCAGTCTTAAAATTTGTCAATGACAGACTTGTTGACAGAGATGACGCCGATTGGAAAGATGAAGTCCAACAAAAGTTCTTAGAATGCAAAGAAGGCACATGCGCTGTTCTTGAAGATGAAATAGAAAAC